ATGTTGTTGATGAATAACGATTTTCCTGAATTGCTTGATCCAATTACGGCAAAATATAACTCAAGCTTCTCCCATGTAGCTTCTAGTTCATTGTGGAAACTACGTATATCATCAAGTCCTTCTTTCTTCACATATTGTCTGGCTTTTTCTAAAAGTTGTTCTTCTTCTTTTTTTAACACTAGTTTTGACCAGGATGAACCCATAATAAGCCAATAAGAAATGGAAAATTTAATGGTAAAATTACAAAGAAATTTGGATCACCGTAAACATTATTGTTGTCGCAAAGCTTACAGCAAACTGCAGGGTTCCTCTATTCTTTACATTATATGATAAATAGTTCCAGGAATATGATTCAACACAAAAAACGAAAGCATTTTGTTCAGAGCTTTAAACATAGTCATCGAGTAAGAAAAAATTATAAATGTACTTATGACGACAGCAGTTATTAGAACTCGCCGTTTTGTAACGATATAACAAAATTGAGTTGAACTTCGATTTGCTCTATTGAAATTAACATAAAGATGCTAATATCGACGACACAAGAAGTTCCAAAGGTCGATCTCAAGATTTGCATTTACCTCTTGCAGCTGGAGATGCACGTGAAATACACGTGCCTTTGTTTTACGACAAATAAAAGAATGGACGAGAACTGCATGGTAAACTACACAGTAAAATCTCGCTTGACTTGCTTTTGAATAAAGTTCTTTATAACTTTAAAATTCCGCATGGAAATTGACATCTCTCCACACTCCCAGTAAATACACCCTTGACATACCTTACACATATGACGCAAGAAAACCCCCAAAGCTCCCATCATGTTCATTATTTTCTTTGTGATAACATACAATAGCAGAAAGCGCATTATGATTGGTTGTTTAACGCCATCATGTCACGATCTACAGGTCCAACTTTTAAACTGAAAGATAAGAAATTGGAGCTTTTTAAGGACATATTTAACTCAATAACAAAATAATAAGAAAGCATTGCAAAAAGTTCATTGTTGTTAATGAAAAAAATTGAAGTTATAAAACTGAAATGACCATTGGAATACAACTGCTCAAAGATTTAAGACATTTTCTGATTTGTCCACAAGTAAGTGGTTTACTTATGACAAAATTATTTTGTTTTAGATGTAGATTTACAATTAATGTCAATATTTAATGCAGGAACTTTATTATCTGCTTATACTTAATGATGATTTGTAACAATGTTTATAAGTTATTTGCTTTTTAAGCGTGCTACCTTTTGTTATGAGGCTGACACCCTCTCATGGAAATAAAACACGAATAAAACAATTCATGGTAGACAAATACATTAATTCACAAAGTACCATGAAATTTAGTGTTTACAACATCTTGTAGCCTAGCTGCTTGAAGTCCCTAGGTATTTATATTTTGGCATAGTTAACCTTCAATGTAAAATTTGGTTGTTAGGAATGCTCCATTTCAATCTGTAAATAAACTTATCACATCTCACATAAATTCCTTTAATCTCATCTATGATGTCTTACCACACAAATTCCAAATTACTAAAGCCATGTGTCAAAGATGGAAGTATAATTTAAATTTAAAATACTCTCAAACTTTTGTAGGCAATGAATACATGGAGAATTGGGATTTTAACAAATTTGGCTATTAAATATAAATACTTTAATGATTTCAGAATTTTGATATTTCTCATTTAGGTGATAGTCAATTTCCTCACCAAAACATGTCGAAACCAAAAACTGTTTAGTAAAATTGTTTCCAAACCAAATGATCTGGAATCAATGAAATGAAGTGAAACAATTAAAATTCCCTTCTTACTTTGATAAGGAGTCAATGTATTCACAACAGCACCATTCATATGACCAAATTACAATTATTTCCAGCATTTTGACAAAGTCGTGAGTAAAAGATTCACAATGTAATTTGGTACCACAGTTGACGGTTTATGGCATTGCTTAAAGGGGTTATATCACGAATTTTAGCCCCCGTTTTTTATTAGCTTAATTGAAAATTTGGATTATTTGAAGAACTATGACATGTCGCTGGACTTAAACAGATAAATATAAGTTCCTTAATTTTGCCTCCAAAGTCGGGTACTTTTTGCGAATTTTTTACGACGCCATATTGATACTTGTGACGTAGATAGTTGAACACGTCTGTTTCCGTCAATATAATATTATATTATAGGAGGTGATTTTGTTGTCGTTTTTCTTGTGTTAAAAACAAATAATGACAGTATTTTCAATAAAATATTAAAAAAACAAGTTGTCCGGAAAGTATGGCTTCAAATCAGTGCTCAGATAATTCGAATTCGATGTCTGAATGCGTATCTGATTCGAGCTCGGAATCCGTGGGTTATGTCGAGCATTTAAACGACTTCGCATATGACGATGAACCGCTCGCAGGAGATGGTGATGAAGTGCATACTCCAGATGATCCCGATGGAATTCTCCTGCGACCTTAGAACAACGAAGTGATGGCGTAATTCCACTCGGTGAATGGTAAGTTGTTGTTTTCTCCTGTTTGTAATATACATAAAGTTACTTTATAAACCACAATGCTCCCACGTTTCAGGTGTAATTGTCAATGCTGTCATACCGATTTGTTAGAAGGCGCATTAGAGTACAGATGCTGTAAGGAAATAGGACCAGCTTTGCAGAAAATGACATTCGATGGCAGCATTGAGAAAATATCATGCATAATACAGCATGCCAAATTTGGGCCTTTAGTTCATGAGGCTGTCCTTGAAAACGTCGGGCCACTATTGAGAGATAGAATTGGCATACAGATGGTTGATGCGATGGTTTTGTGGGTCTATGGGATGGGAGAATACTCGGCCTTTACCTGCTTGTGTTTACCACTTTATTCGGAAAGCATATCCAAGTGGTAACACAAAAGGTTACATACCATCAGAGGGGCGATGATGGAAAGGTCTTTTAACTTGTGCACTGTAGAGACTGTTGGCCTTCTTTGCTGAGTTTAGAATGGTCAGGAAATATGCCTAGATGAAAACCAAATAGGAGATACATGGATGCACTATACGGTAAAGAAAATCTTTTCTTCAATGTCAGTCTGGGAAAAAAAAAGAAAAATTATATGGAATTAAATCATAGCATAAATGTAAAAATGGAAAATAGCAAGCCACATGAACTTATCTTATAAGGTCTTCACACTTGAGTGCACTGCATCCACAAAGGGCATGTTGAGCATTAAGCTACAAGAAAAAAAATTATTCATGAAAATTAATTAGTTGCACAATCGAGTGAGATAGTCATCTTCAATCTGACAAGTATACATACCATTCAATGTTATATTAATACTGTAATCATCAGGAAAGGTGTGTATATCAGTGCTCAGATAGGGAGGCTATCAATGAGATGTAAAATACCATGAACATAGGTTGTTCATGCGAGCTTGCTCCTTCATCAATTCTGTAACACGATTAAGAAAATTCATTATTATGAAATACAACAGAGATCTAATTCTTTATAAGATAAAATACCTGACTGTATTACTTGTGGTATCTTCATCTAAATCTTCACTCTGACTAGACTCTTCGAAAGAGGAGTAGTCCATGTATGATTCTTCTTCGAAAAGCTCTTCAGCACTCCCCTGCATTTCATCGTCTATATCAATGCTGGTAACCACGGATGTATTACGATTTTCCCTGATTTCGCGTCGATATTCATTTTGCAACTTCTGGGCCTTTTTCTTCAAAGATGCTTTTGTCTTTTTATACCAGCTTAAAGTCTTTTGTAAAGATGTAAGTTTTTTCTTAAGACGATGGCACGATTTACATGGAGACTGGGATTCACAAATATCTTCACCAACTGCATGTAGTTCTTCTTCAAATGGCGAATCGTTTGCTTCCCCAGTGCATACTTCAACATGCTCAGCTCCATCACTAGTAGATGGTACTTCCTCATCGAGAGAACATGTTTCCTTCAGCGATGGCTTATGGAGAGTATGTCGAATAATCTACAAAACATATATCGAATTTACATATGACAAAAGAAAATTAACATAAACAAGCGTAAACTTACTTGTCTGCGCTTTCGATCGGTTATTTCGTCCTGTAATGGTTCAGGAATCCCAGCCACGTCAATGGTTGGGATAGCATCTTTCTTCAACCTTCTTTGAGCTTGACTTGCACGCTCAAATTAAGGTCAAAACAAGAATCTTCAATGCGCAGAACACAGACACGAGGTAGAGGAAGCCTCAAAACCCGGTCTATGTTTACGCACAAAATTTACCCATTTTCTATGTCTTTGCGGCTCTGTTTCTTTATTAGGAAACAGATGCATCGACATTCCTTCTGTTTTGAATCATTGGCGCAACTAATTTGATTAGGTCCGCCAGCAACACAGCGTTTTCCTCCGCGTTTCTTATTAAGATTACTAGTAGAATACGCCATGTTGATATATGTGTTCAACTATCTACGTCACAACTCATTAGCATACCGATCAAAAAGTTCGCAAAAAAAATGCTGAAAATCGTGACTTTGAACGTCCATAAAATCACTTTCACCAATCCAATTTCAATTATAATTGCAGATTTAAAATCACTGAAATAAGGTCTTTCAATTTAGCTAATAAAAAAGGGGGGCTAAAATTCGTGATATAACCCCTTTAACACGTGCTAAATTGATTATACTTGTATAATTGACATTGAAAGATAGTTCTACGGCAGAAAAAAGACCTTACTTAACCAAAAACTAACCAAATCAAAAAAAAGACACCAATTTTAGACCAAAAAGAGTAGTCTAAGGTAAATAATATAAAATTTCTCGTTTTTCTATCAGTATTGAGCGTCTGCATGGTGAATGAATACAAGGAAGAGATTACATATTGGTTTGTTACTTCATGTAATCAAAACGATAGTGATATATGTGCTATTTTGTATTTACGCCTGGATGGAAAAATATTTTCCGGACATTTTACGTATTCTGTTGTCACAACTTTCTTTTTTTCCCTTCTGATTTATTGCCAAATACCTCAGATGAATGAAAATGAGTTCCAGTGAGTTTTATTATTTATTAAAAAACCAACAACTTACAAGGTTGGATTCTATCCATGAAAGACAAATGCAGAATTTAAAAAAAGTTTTTTGGTTTAAATTTATATTTAAAAGAAATCATTTTGCTGATTCTCAAGAAATTAAAAGAGTGTTTGCCAAGTTGCATGTTTAGTTAAAATAGAGAAATCACACGCGCGAGTCTTGTGAAACGTGATATTAGGTGCATGAACTTCAGAATAATATGTGTTATTTACTACGCATAAAGTGCTTTCGATTAAAAAATATTTTGTGATGTTTATATAATTTTGACTGTTAAGTTTTTTTTCATGTTTGTGAATTTTCTCCCTCTTTGTTTGCCGCATCGTAAGGCTTCAAAGCTTCCATTTCTAAACTTTTGATGCAATTCAAAAGATAATCATACGCCCATTTGACTTTGGCTGGTGATTCTACTACTGACTTATCTTTCATAAGCTCTTCTTTGATTTCTTCAGATTTCTTTTTCTGAATCGTTTCATCGATTTTTCTTCGTATTTTTTTCTCATGCTCTTCTTCTTTGTGACACAATTCATCGATTTCTTCCGATGTCACCAGATTTTTTTTCAATTGATCATACAAACCAAATACGCGATGATATCGAATGACTTCCATCGATATCAGTTCCACAAAAACTTCAGGATTAGATTCAGCAATTACGAACAAAACAATCATCAATTGTATATGAGCTGAAATATTTTTGAAAATATGAAAGAAATTAAAACTAGGTACAGATATAAGTATTTAGTTGTAGCAACTGAAAGAGCAATATAATGGTAGTGACACAAATGCACAAGAAAATTCCTCTTTTCTGAGATAAGTGACCATTGTACATCACTTTTTATCAAATTAAAAAATCTGATCACAAGTCTTTTGAGTATGCCGACATTGTTGTTATTTTCTTATGTGAAGTAACTGAAGTGATTATCTGAAAGTAACTATTTGCATTTGAACTGTTGAAACGTACAACACAATAATCATATTTTAAAACAATTTATAAGCAGTTGCATTGCTAAAATGCATGGAATTCAAAATTCAAGTGCTAAATTAAGTGATTTTAAAATACGTTACTTATTATAACTTCTCCAATGTGTTATCCTTGCTCTCTGTGAATACAACTGCACACTATACCTTTTTCATTAACTGGAGCTGTAGATAAATTCCTGAGTCAAATAACTATTTTATGAAATTATATTAGCTACTTTTATGAATCATTACTAGTTCTTTCAAACACAACCTTTCTAACATACCTCTCCAAAAAACGCCTTTCATTTTTATAGTAGCATGAGTTAATTTGGATAAAGAAACATCGAAGCTCTCTCTTTTTTTGCCTGACATTGCTTCACGAACAGCTTGAACCAAACGATCAAAATCATATTTCTCTGTAGCCTTGTTGTCAATCAAGAAGATATCTCTTTCATCGTGAATCAGACATATCAGGTTTTCCAAACAGTTTGTCCTCATACGTTTCAAGACAGATGCTTCATCAAACTTAGATCCTTCGTCATCCTTCGCATTCTCGAGTTCGGTGTCAACGTTGGTGCGAACAAAAAAGAAAGGTTTGTCGAGATCTTTTGAAACTTTCTCTGCCAGCTTTATGTCATAGTGAGTGAATCGTATTTTATAAAAAATAAGAAATGCATCGTACTTCTTTAGACCACCAACTTTTTTAGTGTATTCTTTGAGATTGGAGTATCCAGGCGTTCCAATACCAGGAAGATCCCAGAAAATGATGTTTTTATGCTGTGGGTGTAAATACTTAGTGGGCTTATTTGTCATTTCTGTAACACCAACGGGTGCAGCCCCTTTTTCGTAAGCTTTAATGCTGAAGGAAATAAATTTTATAAATTTAGTTATGTCAAGATATACTTGTCTGTTACCTCTTTAAAAGATCTCTCTATACTGTATACAATTAATGTCTACCACATAAAATTAGCAGCTGTTTGGTTAATTGTACGAATAAAGTGCTCAAAACTTAGCAATTTTAAACATTTCATCCAGCGATTATCAAGCTTATGAAAATTACGTTAAAAAACAATGTGGGAATATAACTATAGCAAACTGAAGACTATTACACATCTCTAAGAACAAAGACAATGTTTTCGAAACACATTAACCTATGTTACTGGCTGTTATTGACTCTTTTAATGTTTCACTGTTTAGTAAAAATACAGCTTTTAAATCAGTTTATTCAATACTTAAAGAAAAACATTATTACCCTCTCACAGCGTTGATGAAAGATGATTTCCCTGTTCCAGAGTCTCCTGCTATGGCAAAATTAATCTCTGTGTCAGTCCACAAAGGAATGGAATCACTGCTGTAAAAGTCCAGAATATTATCAACACCGTGTTTCTGAGCTTGTTGAAAGATATTTTTGGTATCCTTAGTATTTACGAAAATGGCATAATTCAAATAATTCACAAACAAATTTTTTCGACGTTTCATTAGCTTCAAGATGATATCTTCAAACTGATTTTTATTCACGAATTTGTTGTCAATTACGTAAATATCAGATTCATCAATAGCCAAATCTTTAACAAAGTCAAAGCATATTGTTTTGATGTTTTTTAGCATAGCTTCCTTATCTTTCTTGACATTTTTTTTGTCGTCTTCAGCAAGGGTGCAAACGAAAATAAAAGGTTTTCGGAGATTTTTTGAAATATTTTCGGCTATTTTTTTCTCTATATCAGATATTCTTGATTTGACAAAAATGACAAATGCGTCAAAATTCTCAGCACAAGGCGACTTTGAGCAAGGCGCATTAGATGGAAAACAACATCTTGATGGTAAACAAGTTAATGTTTTGATGTCAGGTAAATCCCAGAAGATGATGTTTTTGTTCTCAGAATAACGATAAATTGCAGGATTCTTCTTTTTCTTTTTGTCATTTATAAGTCTACAGAAAAAGCATGAACAAATATACATTACTTTAAGAACTATATGAATTTTAATTTGGCAAAGAAATTGCACATACAAGTGTTATCAATCACAAGAAACATACGAGATCACTTGAAGTTATAAAACAACAAACAATAATAATGCAATAGATATTCCAACAGCGAACGTTTTTATATATATAGTTGCGAGGAAGGATGAGAATACCAGTAGCGGATGCAGGATAAGAAAGAATGCATTAAATTGGATGCATTTCAAATTAAAATACTTTACAAACCCTCTTATTAATGATAATTTGATTTGGCTCTAAATTGCTTTTTAAGTTTTTTAATGAATTTCGTGTTGTTAGTATTTTAAATTTAAAATGAGCAGATGTAATGCATTCTGACTTACTCTGAACCATTCAACTGAGAATACCTTATTCTTTCTGTAGGGAATGCATCTGTCGAGTTGTCGTGGCGATCTTCAAATCTACAAAGAATAAAATCTTTCAATATGATGTATTTCAAACGGTTAAAAACAAAATAAATGAGATGAGCTTCCTCATCAACTTTTGTTTTAAATACGTTCGGTTCGTGTAAAGTTCGACGTTGTAACTAGGCCTAAATGCACATTTTCCTTATGATCGAAATTTGTTAAAGCTTAATTATGCATTTCTAAGACATTTTAGTTACTTTGTGATGTGTCACACAAATATGTACAAATTGTCTTAAGTCAACTTTAGACTTTGAAGAACCTATGATTGCTTCTAAACAAGCTATTGCATTATTTGCTTCTTAAGGCAATAAGGGATATAATAATACCGGTTTAATATAACAGACTGCCACGAAATAGATGAATATTTTGTCACGCTTTGTGCTTACAGAAGCAGATGCTATGAATATTATGATAAACAAGTACACAAATTATTGTGGACATGGTGACTTTAATTCTTCATTTTATGCCTGATATTTATTAAATACTTTGGATGTGAATAACTGTTCATCGAAAGCTCGTTTTACTAAATTTGTCAAAGTATTTAGCACAGTCAAACGAAAACTATTTTAACAAACGGCCAAATGTCTGCGGTCGTCCTTATTGTAAATTAGACATCTTACCCAGGGAGAGCGTTCATGAAAGATGATTTTTCCGATCTGCTCAATCCAAGTAAACCAAAATGTAATGGGGTAAGCTCACGGTGCCACTTCTCGATTTGATTATTGTAGAATTCATTTATACCATTAAGTCCTTTATTCCTCACTTCTAGTTCAGCCTCAATGATATAAATTTCTTCCTTTTCTGTTAATGTTAATGCTGGTTTACAGAGGCATAAACCCATGTTGATAGATAGACAAGATCGTATTTATAAGAATGTTTCCGATGGTAAACGCTCAGCAAAGTAATTGAACGTTGAACTTTAATCATAGCATTTGTAAAAAGTCGTTGAAAAGCAACAGTGGATTCAAAAAGGACTGAGTCTTTTTGAGTCCCCTTCGAGGCTCAAACATTCCTTAAATACAATCGTTCTGTTTGTCTTTGTGTCGAATGCCTCAAAATTTTACTGTGTAGGTGTAGTATAAAGTATTTTTATCTGTTTGTAAATTATGTACGTATTCAAAACATTTGTTGTAAGATAAAAGTTACCTGATCATGCAAGACGTCAAAACTGACCTTTGAACAAGGTATTATTATTCAAATCAATGTGTCATTATTTGAACTTTCATCCAAATATTTATTAGTAGAGAAATAAAAACTTTACTCGGTACTTTCTATTTTAATATTCTAGCGATGAAAAGAAATCATTCTTGTATTTCAGATATTTTTATCATAAAGTTACAAATGAGATCCTTATCATACTATGCCTTCAGACGAAAGTCACGAAACCCCACGCTTCCGACTGTTTACAAGGTTGCAAATTTGCTTAAATCTTACAGACATCCTCTGCAACAGTCGTTATAAACGTTTTTTGGTTCTTCGTTAGCTCAACATTGCCAAAACATTTGGTCCTCAAATAAAATGGTTTCAAAAAAGAGTGAAATCGAAATAGATTGAAATTTGGCCTCATTTGATCTTTAACTCCTGATAAATCCCTGTATGAATGAGTGAATGAAAAGTTTTATTTTGACACGCTGGCCTCGTCAACTGAGGTTAATTTCCACGATTCAATTATTCGAACGAAATTTACCAATCAATAAAATAGCTGCGGAGGTAAAAGAAAAGTTTAAATATTACAAATTTTAATTTTGCCATAGATTGATCAAACATGCAAAACTCGTGTTAACATACTTTTAATTTGTCAAAATGCTTAAACTGCTATATAAAAAAATAAATTTTTGACATGAAGTTTAAGAAAAATAACACCGTCTGTATAAAGACGTTTTGGGCAAGTTGCAACGTCGACTGCAAAATAAATGCATTTTAACTTAACTCGTTTTCACAGTATGAGGAGAAAACTGATAAGGTTTATGAAGATATGATTGAGTCATGGAATAGATAATCTTGGAAAAAAAGGAAGCAACCCGCATTTTAAAATATTTTCGTCTATTTTATCAAGATCAAGTTGTTATATTTAGTATTAATCATGTTTTTAGGTTCAATACATATTTTAATAGTCGCTTCCGATGAACAGTGTAGTTCAATAGAGATGTTCTTTGTTATATTAGGTCCCTACGTTTGCAAGACAACAACTCAAATATTAGCAATCTGATTAACAGAGAATAAAAATGTACACAAATTTTAGTGACTGGCGAAAAAATTCCATACACTGGCATAAAGACGGGTATGTAAAAAAGTGTACACTTGTATAGTAATGAACACAAATAAGAGCACGTAGTGTGAATTAGAAACTAATAACTAATCGTGAATCGTTTTGACATCTGCAAGCTACCAACATGTACGCAAGAGTATCTACACTATAGTTTTAAATATGATCAAACAAGATTATCTTTTGACACCAAAACTGTTCGTAATTGACATTTGTTTTAGTATAATCAGGTAAAACTAAAGCTTTGTTTCAAAGCTTTTCTTGAAATTTTTTTCACGTACATGCACGTCAACTACCGCTGCTTTTTGCTCTTACCTCCCAAATCTCAAGAGCAAATTTTTCTAGATCGTTGACGTACGTTGAAAAAAGTCATAAACCATATTAAATCAATGCACAAAGAGGGCTTCCCGTCCAACATATGGAATGAATCTTTTCAATCCAACATCTTTCTTTTAACATCAATTACAGGCATCGCCTTCTTGACTTTTCTTTAGTGTACTTTGAAAAAACAGCAAGCCATTCTTCGTTTGACTTCAGTTCTTTGGACGCTTCGTCAGGAAGGTCAAATATCTGACGGTATTCCTCTACTTCCTTCACAATCACATCAAACTTAAATTTGGGATCAACCAGTGTAAAGATAGCATTAACACAAGCTGAAGTAGTAGCTGCTGCTCGAACTAAAAAGCTCTAAGAAGCATTGTGTTTAATAAAATGAGTGATCATGCAGGTAGAATTTAGAAAATTCTTAGAAAGATCTAGTTCTAGATCTTGTAAAATTCTAAAGATCTAGTAAAATTCAAAAACCCAGATGACATATAGGGAGGAAGAGATGTCCATGCATAAAAGAAAAAAGAATTCTACGTCACTATAGATTTTGTTAATAAATAACAAACCTTTCCATAACTTGGCCTTTCTTTTTATACAGTCACGTGTCACATTGGTCAAAGAAAGAATGAAGCATTCTCTTTTACGTTCGGGCAACTTTGAAGAGATAGATTCAATCAAACGATCAAAATCATGTTTTGCTGGAGCCTTGTTGTCAATAAAGAAGACACTACTTTCATCCTCGATCAAATGTTTTGAGTGGGTTAAACAATCTTTTCTCATACTTTTCAAGACATCTGCCTCATTAAACTTTGGTCCTTTGTCATCCTTCGCATTATTAAATTCGGTGTCAACATAGGTGCGAGCAAAAAAGAAAGGTTTGTCGACATCTTTTGAAACTTTCTCAGCCAACTCTTTGTCATATTGAGTGAATCATAATTTATATAAAATTAAAAATGCATCATACTTCTTAAGACCACCAATATTTTTAGTGTACTGTTTGAGATTGGAGTATCCAGGCGTTCCAATACCAGGAAGATCACAGAAAATTATGTTTTCAGTTTTTGGATGAACATATTTAGTGGGAACATTGGTTGTTTCATTAACACCAACTGCTGCAGCTCCCTGTTCGTGATCTTTGAGTCCACAAATGATAATTCAATATTAAATGTCGTCATTGCGCACTGCGCTATGTTCTTTTTCTGTACATGCAAGATCATAACAAAAAAATTCCCAAATGCTTTGTTATTTTAAATGAAAGTCTGTCAAACGTTTTATGAATGGCTATGTTATGCTCTTTTCAATACATTTAAATTAGTTACCCTCTCACAGCATTGATGAAAGATGATTTTCCTGTTCCAGAAAATCCCGTTATGGCTATATCTATCTTCATCTCCTTCATCAAATTTATTTGACGACGATAGAAATCACCAATTCCTGAAATACAATAGCTATCATCCCTATACTTCCCTTGGTAAATTACACCAGCCAAAGACTGTAGAAAATTATCACTTTGACGTTCAACTAACTTAATATGGCATCTTCGCGCAAACGATTGAAATCAATTTCTCTAGAAAGTTGTTGTCAATGATGTAGATATCGTTTTCATCGTGAACCAAATCTCGAATGTTTTTCAAAACGTCTTTTTTAACTTTTTCCGATATAAATGTTTCATTAAAATTTGCTTCTTCTTCTTTTCTGGCTTTTTTGAGATCTCGGTCAACGTCGGTAGAAACGCAAAAGAAAGGTTTTCTTTCTCTGTTGAAACTCTCATAACTAGGTCTTGTACATGGTTAGTAAACTGAGATTTCGAAAAAATAAGAAAAGCATCGTACTTTTCAAGACAACCAATGTTTTCACAGTATTTTTCAATATAAGGATATGTTGGTGCTCCAATACCAGGTAGATCCCATAGTTAAATATTTGCATTTTCATGATAAGTATACTCAGTCGGCACAATGGTTGATTCGTTTTCACCAACTGGTGCTGCACCATTTTCATACCCTTTAAGTCTAAAAAAAATATATCATATGGCTGTCACACGTTGATGCTAATTCTAAATTTTATTTTAACACCCTAAATCATGAAAAACGGGTTTCTAAAAGAAATTTAACACCCGTAAAAAAGTTAAAAGAAAGCTAAAACAAATCTAACATCTGATACATGCAACAGCCGATACAGATTAAAATTGAAAGAAAACTTTTTTAGCTTTTTTACTTCATAAAATTTCAGAGAAAATTTTCCGTCTATTTCATTGTTATTAAAAAATAAAAGTTGATTACCCTGTAACGGCTTTGATAAAAGATGATTTTCCTGATCCAGCATCTCCAGTTATGGCGATATGTATTTCCATGTTTCTCCATGATTCATTTTGATTTAGAATAAAATTATGAACATCATGTAAACCTTGTTTTTTAACACGAAATTCGGCTTCTTCTAAACGCTTTTCTTGTTCGGTCAATTCTTTGTTTCCGTAAAAGACACGGTTCAGAGAATCTAAAAAGTATTCTTTTCTACGTTTAAGCAACTTTAAGGTGACATCTTTGCGTAGACGATCGAAGTCATATTTCTCTTTGGCATTTTCATCAATGAGGTAGATATCAGTTTCATTATTCACCAAACCTTTCAGGCTTTCCAAGCAAGATTCTTTTATTTCCTTTATTGAAGTTTCTTCGTTAACCTGTTTACCATTGCCATCTTTAGCATTCTTGACGTCACCATGGACATGCGTACAAACACAAAGGAAAGGCCTGTGAAGCTCTTTTGAAACTTTTTCAACCAGTTCTTTCTCATCATTTCTGAATATTGATTCGCTAAATATCAGAAAAGCGTCGTGCTTCTTTAGACCACCAAAGTTTTTACAATATGTCTCAAGATTGGGATTTTCAGTGACGTGTAAGTCGCAGAGTTTGATATTCTTGAATTTAGGATGAGAATATGTAGTTTCCAAAGTTGATTTGTCAACTGGCTCTGCCTTCTTTCTGTATAAAATATTGATACATTATAACTTGAATATGTTGCATACACAATGACAACTACAATAATGTGTGATCTTTATGCAGCCTTGTTATGTAATAAACAAAAAGTGAGTTACCCTGTAATGGCTTTAACGAATGACGACTTTCCTGATTCACTTGATCCAATTATGGCAAAATATAGGTCAGATTTCTCCCATTCAGTAACTTGTTCATTGTGGAAGTGAGTTCTACCAGCAAGTCCATTTTGTTTCTTAAATTGTCTGGCCTTCTTTAAAATCTTCTTTTCGTCAGATTCTATTTCAACCGATTTCGATAAAGATGAACCCATAATATGCCAAAAAATTGAAACTTCAAGAATTCTCACGTTAAATTGCGAACAATTTCGTCCAAGTTAAACGTTATAGTTGTTGCAAAGCTTACAGCAAGCTGCAAGGTTTCTGTTCCTTTCATTATATGATAAATAGTTCCTTGAATATGATGCAATAAAAATAAATGAAAGGGCTTCATTCTAAAAAAGTACAAAGAAGAAATGATATATTTTTTAAATGTATTCACCCAGCCCTCCACTCCAATTATTTGCTCTTTTTATAAAGCTTCGTGGGCTTAAAACAGACATAAGTTAGATTTTGATATGCTTCGTTGAAAATGACATACATAAACAAGCCGATATTAAATCATTAATATTAGAACAGAGTCCAAAGGTCGCAATAAAAAAACTTTTCTTTTTTCATTTATTGTGCATTCTGCTTCTTGAGATTGAAAGAAAGAAGGTGTCATTAATAAGTTCAAAAGAAGTCATAGAGCTTCAAATGAACATTGAGTTAAAAGAAACCGAGTTTGTTTAACAGAAAGTCTTAAAAATGTTAACGTGCCATGTCAACTAGAGCAGGTACAATTGGAACCTTGCTTTCAATTAGAAAGACATCTTTTTAGTCTTGGATATAATCTCTCAAGTTTTTCAAACTATCTTTCTTATGTTTTCCAAGACAAAAAATTCATTAAACTGTGGTCCTTTATCGTCTTCGGCGTTCTTGAGATCTTGATCAATGTTAGTGCGAATGAAAATGAAAGGTTTGTTGAGCTCTTTCGAAAATTTTACAGCAAGTTCTTTGTCATCGTTAGTGAACCGTGTTTTTGAAAAAATAAGAAATGCGTCGTAACTTTTCAAGTCCATTTTTTCGAAGTATTTTTGAAGATTTGGATATTTAGTTGATCCAATACCAGGAAGATCCCAGAGCTTGATGTTTTTATTTTTTGGATGAATATACTCTGTGGGTTCTGTTTGGATTTCGGTAACATCAGCTGGTGCTGCGCCCTTTTCATAAGCTTTAAATCTACAAAATATAATATCAAACGTTTGTCACACGTTGATGATATTAATAATTTTTTTTGCAAAATTTGCTCAAAAATATTCATCCATTTTATTGTGATTTGAAAGAATGTTAACTAACCCTCTTTAACAAACAAAAACAGAACGAAATTTTTTTTTTAATTTGAACTAAGCTGGATATAATTTTTGATCCAACATTTTTTTTTAATTTAACAGATAAATTTTCTTAATTCCTCCAGTAACAGACAGGAGAAGCAATGCAAGCTAAAAGAGCTTTTCTCTAAAAAACAGCTTGTAATGGTGGAAAATAAACTACTAACATTTGAGCAATAAGAGAACTACCAACAGCTATGAGAAACATACGGTTTGTAGATAAATCGATGAAAAAACTGCTTTTCCGCCATCAGATCCAATTGATCTCTAAATAATGAACGTCGAAGACTTGCCACACTACGAGTGGGAAGGGCTTTTTATGTTTGTTTATAATAAGTTGGAATTTATGGCATAATGGCTTTGTGAAGAACACTTAAAAATGTTTGAAAACTGGTCATATCGAGGAATTTTCAACCAATACTTGTTGTGTGTCTTTAATTTAGCAAGCAAATAATTTTTCCCATAGTGCATTATGTGCATAGTCACAAAAATAGTTCTAACTTCATATCAAATCCTAGTTCACCATCGCATACAATTTATAAACGAATAATTGACCTCCATTCTAGAATCTCCTATATTTCATCGTGTGCAAAAACATTGAATAAACTAACCTTTATGTAAAGCAGACTATAAGTATATGTGTAAAAGAATATAAGAAAATAAAAATAAAAAGTTAACATACATATTTCAGGTTGGATAGTTAGAAACCAAAATCACAAAATAAAATTGTTTGTTAATATAAATATAGTGCTGTATACTAGTTGACAAGGTTTGAGTATATACAGCTTTTGTTCTGAAGCAAACTTTCACCCTTGTAACACAAGTCTTGCCTTTCATTCATGCATACATGGTTATATTAAAAACCTATTAAAAAAACAATCATACAGTTTTCGCTCATCCTATTTGATTTCAGAAATATTAAGGTTTGTGTGATGTCGAAATTAACTAATAAAAATGATCATCTTCGTTCATTGACTTAATTTTTGTAAATAACAATGTTCAAAGACTTTAGAAAGCTCTCAATTCGACGTTTTTGCAACCTTGAAATGATATCTTCATGCAAACGATTGAAATCATATTTTTCTGGAACCTTGTTGCCAATCATGTAGATATCTTTTTCACTATGAATTAAGCATTTCAGGTTTATGAAACAATCTTTCTTCATTTTTTCCAAGGCAGATGCTTCATCAAACTTTGGTCCTTCGTCCTCCTCGGCATATTTGAGTTCGGTGTCAACATTGGTCCGAACGAAGAAGAAAGGTTTGCCGAGGTCTTTTGAAACTTTCTCAATCAGTTCTTTGTCATGGTAAGTGAACCGAGATTTGGAAAAAATAAGAAAAGCATCATACTTCTTTAGACCACCCTCAATCTTGCAATATTCTTCAATATTAGGATATTTATGTGTTCCAATGCCAGGTAGATCCCAGAGTTTGATGTTTTCATTTTCAGGGTGAATATATTCAGTGGGCACTGTTGTAGTTTCACAGAAGCCAATTGGTGCTGCACCCTTTTCATAAGGTTTAAGTCTAAAAAAATATATTATGTTAAATGTATGTTATGTTATTATACGTTGACAAACAAAGTGCGACAAAGTAAAAGTGAAAACATGCAACAGTAAGGTACATAGAAGACATAACAATTTTCTTACTTTGTGAGCTTCAAAAAGAAAATTACCTTTATAATAATTTGCAAAGTATTATTGTAATTAAAAAAAGGAGGTAGTTACCCTCTCACAGCGTTGATGAAAGATGATTTCCCTGCTCCAGAACCTCCTGTTATGGCAATGTGTACACCATGTTTCTCCATGATTTAATTTGATCTTGAATAAAATCATCAACATCAATCAAACCATGTTTACCAACGTGAAACTTTGCTTCTTCTAGATGTTTTTCTTGTTGGCTTAAATCCTTGTTACCGTAAATGACACCGTTCAAACAATTCAAAAAATACTCTTTACGACGTTTAAGCAACTTTAAAATGACATCGTCGCGTAGACTGTCAAAGTCATATTTTTCTGTATCATTGTTGTCAATTACGTAGATATCACTTGTATCTTTTACCAAACCTTTCAGCTTGTCAAAGCAGTCTTCGTCATTCGTTACATCGACATGCCCATGCGTATGAATACAGACGAAAGGCCTTTGGAGCTCTTTTGAAACTTTTTTAACCAGTTCTATCTCATGGTTTGTGAAGCTGGATTTGCTACAAATTAGAAATGCGTCGTACTTCTTGAGATCACCGATGTTCCTGCAATATGTTTCAACATTGGGATTTTCAGGTGTTCCGATGCCTGGCAGATCACAGAGTTTGACATTTTGGTATTTAGGATGAGGATACGTTTTCCTCGAAGGTGATACGTCATTTAGTGATGACACTTCTTCGTATGCTTCAGATCTGTTCAAAGTTTTGCAAAAAGAAATTAGCCAAGCCTTAGTATCCTGCTCAAGTTATCGTCAATAGCAAGATTAAAAAATGAATTACCCTATTATGTTGTTGATGAACGACGACTTTCCTGAATTGCTTGATCCAATTACGGCAAAATATAACTCAAGCTTCTCCCATGTAGCTTCTAGTTCATTGTGGAAACTACGTATGCCATCAAGTCCTTTTTCCTTCACATATTGTCTGGCTTTTTCTAAAAGTTGTTCTTCTTCTTTTTTTAACACTAGTTGTGACCAGGATGAACCCATAATAAGCCAATAAGAAATGGAAAATTTAATGGTAAAATTGCAAAGAAATTTCGAACACCGTAAATGTTATTGTTGTTGCAAAACTTACATCAAACTGTAGGGTTCCTATATTCTTTACATTATATGATAAATAGTTCCAGGAATATGATTCAACACAGAAAAACGAAAGCATTTTGTTCAAAGCTTAAAATACAGTCATCGACTAAGAAAAAATCATAAATGTACTTATGACGACAGCAGTTATTAGAACTTGCCGTTTTGTAACGATATAACAAAATTGAGTTGAACTTTGATTTGCTCTATTGAAATTAACATAAAGATGCTAATATCGACGACACAAGATATTCCAAAGGTCGATCTCAAGATTTGCATTTACCTCATGCAGCTTGAGATGAACGTGAAATACACGTGCCTTTGTTTTACGACAAATAAAAGAATGGACGAGAACTGACTATAAAATCGCTAGTACGAGTCCGTTTTTCTTAAATATGCACCCCCCTGTAAACTTTCTGGTTACGTCCATGGTTTCTTATGCTTTACGTGTAAATTAAATCTCTTGAGAAAAAATCTCTGACATTGAATATAAAGGTGAGGAAATTTTTGTTTTTCATTGCTTGTCACACACACAACCATCTGTCAAAGGTAAGTTATACCACTATTTAAATTTACAATTGGCCGAACAGTTGTAACTATATAACTCATATTGACTTACAAAAAACCCGAAACTTTACCTTAGCTAAATAGAACTATCTAGTATCTACGTCCAAAACAGATCACTTAGTAGGGTGCGTGCTCTAGTTTGAATTAGATTTTTGTTTTGTAAAATTCTCTTGCTATTATACCATGATGGAGAGATTTTTTTGGAAGTAGGCTGCACCAAACAAAAATCTCGCTTGAATTGTTTTTGAATCAAGTTCTTTATAACTTTAAAATTTCGCATGGAAATTGACATCTCTCCACACTCCCAGTAAATACAGCTTTGACATACCTTACACAAATGAAGCAAGAAAACCCCCAAAGCTCCCATCATATTTATCATTTTCTTCGTGATAACATACAATAGCAGAAAGCGCATTATGATTGGTTGTTTAACGTCATGACGTCACGATCTACAGGTCCAACTTTTAAACTGAAAGATAAGAAATTGGAGCTTTTTAAGGACATATTTAACTCAATAACAAATAATAAGAAAGCATTGCAAAAACTTCATCGTTGTTAATGAAAAAAATTGAAGTTATAAAACTGAAATGACCGTGGAATACAACTGCTCAAAGATTTCCAAACTAATAAAGAGAAATAGGAAACAATAGCCAAGTTCAATTTAGGCCTCCATTGTAAAAAAATATAGATGGGCCTCTCCACCAATTGTTTTGCTTCTATAATTGTGCAAAGACTAGCAGTTCGGCATCAGTTAGCAAGTGCAAAACTTTGAGAAATTTACACTTCTGTTAACCTAGGAATTTTACAATTTTACTAAGAAATCAAAGAGTAGAAGAACAAAAAAGTCTTGATTCAGCATTTAATGATGCAACATCATTACCATATTGTTATAAGAAATATACTGATGTGTCCACAAGTAAGTGGTTTACTTATGACAAAATTATTTTGTTTTAGATGTAGATTTATAATTAATGTCAATATTTAATGCACGAACTTTATTATCTGCTTATACTTAATGATGATTTATAACAATGTTTATAAGTTATTTGCTTTTTTAGGCGGGCTACCTTTTGTTATGAAGCTGACACCCTCTCATGCAAATAAAACATGAATAAAACAATTCATGGTAGACAAATACATTAATCCACAAAGTACCAAGAAATTTAGTGTTTACAACATCTTGTAGCCTAGCTGCTTGGAATCCCTAGGTATTTAGATTTGGGCATAGTTAACCTTCAATGTAAAATTTGGTTGTTAGGAATGCTCCATTTCAATCTGTAAAAAAACTTATCACATCTCGCATAAATTCTTTTAATCTCATCTATGATGTCTTACCACACAAATTCTAAGTCACTAAAGCCATGTGTTAAAGATGGAAGTATAATTTAAATTTAAAATACTCTCAAACTTTTGTAGGCAAGGAATACATGCAGAATAGGGATTTTAACAAATTTGGCTTTGGCTATTGAATAAATACTTCAATAATTTCAGAATCTTGATATTTCTCATTTAGGTGATAGTCAATTTCCTCAGCAAAACATACCAAAACCAAAAACTGTTTAGTACAATTGTTTCCAAACCAAATGATCTGGAATCAATGAAATGAAGTGAAACAAATAAATAGCATTCTTACCTTAATAAGGAGTCAATGTATTCACAACAGCACCATTCATATGACCAAATTACAATTATTTCCAGCATTTTAGCAACAAAGTCGTGAATAAAAGCTTAACAATGTAACTTGGTGCCACAGTTGACAGTTTATGACATTCCTTAACACGTGTTAAATTGGTTATACTTGTATAATTGACATTGAACGATTGTTCTACGGCAGAAAAAAGACCTTACTTAACCAAAAACAAGACAACAATTTTAGACCAAAAAGAGTAGTCTAAGTTAAATAATATAAAATTTCTCGTTTTTCTATCAGTATTGAGCGTCTGCATGGTGAATGAATTACAAGAAGAGTTACTAATTGGTTTATTACTTCATGTAATCAAAACGATAGTGATATGTGTTATTTTGTACTTACGCCTGGATGGAAAAATATTTTCCAGACATTTTACGTATTCTGTTGTCCCAACTTTCTTTTTCCCTTCTGATTTATTGCCAAATACCTCAGATGAATAAAAATAAGTTCCCATGAGTTTTGATATGAAATTTTATTATTTATTAAATAACCAACAACTTACAATGTTGGATTCTATCCATGAAGGAGAAATGCAGAATATAAAAAAAGTGTTTTGGGTGCAAGAGAGGTGAATAAGTTATATTGCATTAAATTTATATTTAAAAGAAATCATTTTGCTGATTTTCAAGAAATTAAAAGAGTGTTTGCCAAGTGGCATGTTTAGTTAAAATAGAGAAATCACAAGCGCGAGTCTCGAGAAACGTGATATTAGGTACATGAACTTCAGAATAATATGTGTTATTTACTACGCATAAAGTGCTTTCGATTAAAAAATATTTTGTGATGTTTATATAATTTTGACTGTTAAGTTTTTTTTCATGTTTGTGAATTTTCTCCCTCTTTGTTTGCCGCATCGTAAGGCTTCAAAGCTTCTATTTCTAAATTTTTCATGCAATTTAAAAGATAATCATACGCCCATTTGACTTTGGCTGGTGATTCTTCTACTGACTTATCTTTCATAAGCTCTTCTTTGATTTCTTCAGATTTCTTTTTCTGAATCTTTTCATCGATTTTTCTTCGTATTTTTTTCTCATGCTCTTCTTCTTTGTGACACAATTCATCGATTTCTTCAGATGTCACCAGGGATTTTTTCAACTGATCATAAAAACCAAATACGCGATGATATCGAATGACTTCCATCGATATCAGTTCCACAAAAACTTCAGGATTAGATACAGCAATTACGAACAAAACAATCACCAATGGCACATGATCTGAAATATTTTTGGAAATATGAAAGAAAACTAGGTACAGATATAAGTATTTAGATATACGTTACTTATTATAACTTCTCCAATGTGTTATCCTTGCTCTCTGTGAATACAACTGAACACTATACCTTTTTCATTAACTGGAGCTGTAGATAAATTCCTGAGTCAAATGAGTATTTTTTGAAATTATATTAGCTACACTTTATGAATCATTACTACTTCTTTCAAACACAACCTTTCTAACATACCTTTCCAAAAAACGCCTTTCATTTTTATAGTAGCATGAGTTAATTTGGATAAAGAAACATCAAAGTTCTCTCTTTTTTTGCCTGACATTGCTTCACGAACAGCTTCAACCAAACGATCAAAATCATAATTCTCTGTAGCCTTGTTGTCAATCAAGAAGATATCTTTCTCATCGTGAACCAGACGTATCAGGTTTTCCAAACAGTTTGTCCTCATACCTTTCAAGACAGATGCTTCATCAAACTTTGGTCCTTCGTCATCCTTCGCATTCTCGAGTTCGGTGTCAACGTTGGTGCGAACAAAAAAGAAAGGTTTGTCGAGATCTTTTTTAACTTTCTCAGCCAACTCTTTGTCATATTGAGTGAATCGTGTTTTATAAAAAATAAGAAATGCATCGTACTTCTTTAGACCACCAACTTTTTTAGTGTACTCTTTGAGATTGGGGTATCCAGGCGTTCCGATACCAGGAAGATCCCAGAAAATGATGTTTTTATGCTCTGGATGTAAATACTTAGTGGGTTTATTTGTCGTTTCTGTAACACCAACGGGTGCAGCCCCTTTTTCGTAAGCTTTAATGCTGAAGGAAATGAATTTTATAAATTTAGTTATGTCAAGATATACTTGTCTGTTACCTCCTTAAAAGACCTCTCTATACTGCATACAATTAATGTCTACCACTTGAAATTAGCAGCTGTTTGGTTAATTGTACGAATAAAGTGCTGAAAACTTAGCAATTTTAAACATTTCATCCTACGATTATCAAGATTATGAAAATAACGTTAAACAACAATGTGGGAATATAACTATAGCAAACTGAAGAGTATTACACATCTCTTAGAACAAAGACAATGTTTTCCAAACACATTAGCCTATGTTACTGGCTGTTATTGACTCTCTTAATGTTTCACTGTTTAGTAAAAATACAGCTTTTAAATCAATTTATTCAATAGTTAAAGAAAAACATTATTACCCTCTTACAGCGTTGATGAAAGATGATTTCCCTGTTCCAGAGTCTCCTGTTATGGCAAAATTTATCTCTGTGTCTGTCCACAAAGGAATTGAATCACTGCTGTAAAAATCCAGAATATTATCAACACCGTGTTTCTGAGCTTGTTGAAAGATTTTTTTGGTATCCTTGGTATTTACGAAAATGGTATAATTCAAAGAATTCACAAACAACTCTTTTCGACGTTTCATCAGCTTCAAGATGATATCTTCAAACTGATTTTTATTCACGAATTTGTTGTCAATTACGTAAATATCAGATTCATCCATAACCAAATGTTTAACAAAGTCAAAGCATATTGTTTTGATGTTTTTTAGCGTAGCTTCCTTATCTTTCTTGACATTTTTTTCGTCGTCTTCAGCAAGGGTGCAAACGAAAACAAAAGGTTTTCGGAGATTTTTTGAAACACTTTCGGCTATTTTTTTCTCTTTATCAGATATTCTTGATTTGACAAAAATGACAAATGCGTCAAAATTCTCAGCACAAGGCGACTTTGAGCAACAATTAGATGGAAAACAGCATCTTGATGGTAAACAACAAGATATTAAACAAGATACTAAACAACAAAGGGATGATGATGAAGAACAAGTTAATGTTTTGATGTCAGGTAAATCCCAGAAGATGATGTTTTTGTTTTCAGCATAACGATAAATTGCACGATTCTTCTTTTTCTTTTTGTCATTTATAAGTCTACAGAAAAAACATTAATAAATATACATTACATTAAGAACTATATGAATTTTAAGTCGGCAAAGAAATTGCACATACAAGTGTTATCAATCACAAGAAACATACAAGATTACTTGAAGTTATAAAACAACTAACAACAATAATGCAATAGATATTCCAACAGCGAACGTTTTTATATCTATGGTTGCGAGGAAGGATGAGAATACCAGTAGCGGATGCAGGATAAGAAAGAATGCATTAAATTGGATGCATTTCAAATTAAAATACTTTACAAACCCTCTTATTAATGATAATTTGATTTGGCTCTAAATTGCTTTTTAAGTTTTTTAATGAATTTCGTGTTGTTAGTATTTTAAATTTAAAATGAGCAGATGTAATGCATTCTGACTTACTCTGGACCATTCAACTGAGAATACTTTGTTCTTTCTGTAGGGGATGCATCTGTCGAGTTGTCGCGGCCATCTTCAAATCTACAAAGAATAAAATCCTTCAATATGATGTATTTCAAACGGTTAAAAACAAAATAAATGAGATGAACTTCCTCATTATCTTTTGTTTTAAATACGTTCGGTTCATGTAAAGTTCGACGTTCTAACTAGGCCTAAATGCACATTTTCCTTATGATCGAAATTTGTTAAAGCTTAATTAAGCATTTGTAATACATTTGAGTTACTTTGTGATGTGTCACAGAAGTATGTACAAATTGTCTCAAGTCAACTTTAAACTTTGAAGAACCTATGATTGCTTCTAAACAAGCTATTGCATTATTTGCTTCTTAAGGCAATAAGGGATATAATAATAACGGTTTAATATAACAAAAACTGCCACGAAATAGATGAATATTTTGTCACGCTTTGTGCTTACAGAAGCAGATGCTATGAATATTATGATAAACAAGTATACAAATTATTGTGGACATGGTGACTTTAATTCTTCATTTTATGCCTGATATTTATTAAATACTTTGGATGTGAATAACTGTTCATCGAAAGCTCATTTTACTAAATTTGTCAAAGTATTTAGCACAGTCAAACGAAAACTATTTTAACAAGCGGCCAAATGTCTGCGGTCGTTCTTATTGTAAATTAGACATCTTACCCAATAACAGTGTCAATGAAAGATGATTTTTCTGATCTGCTCAATCCAAGTAAACCAACATGTAATGGGAGAGGCTCACTGTGCCACTTCTTGATTTGATTATTGCAGAATTCATCTATACCAATAAGTTTTTTATTCCTCCTCACTTCTTGTTCAGCCTCAACTATATAAACTTCTTCCTTTTCTGTTAATGTTAATGCTCGTTTAGAGAGGCATAAGCCCATGTTGATAGATAGACAAGATCGTATTTATAAGAAGATTTCCGATGCTAAACGCTCAGCAAAGTAATTGAACGTTGAACTTCAATCATAGCATTTGTAAAAAGTCGTTGAAAAGCAACAGTGGGGGTTCGCGTCCATTCTTGATATGGTAAATAGTTCCTGGAACAAATTATACATTACGGCCTGACCAAAAGTATAAGTGATGTATAACTTTGAAATAAATCATTCGAAATAAGGCCTTTTTGTAGGTAAGTTGTTGCAAACATTAGATTTGTTGTAGGAGTATAAACTCCTTAAGAAATTATAAGATTTCACTTTTTGACAAAGAGCCTTTATCTGAAAATGCTCATGCTAAAGCAAATACAAATGCTGTCAACAATTACTAACAGCCATAACATTGAACGTTAACACAACTTTGATTCCATAAAACTAAACATTAGACATAACTTTGCTTTTAACATCTAAGGAAAATTTCTGTAATCTTCAAAAGGAAAATCAATGTCACGAGCACATAAACATGTTTTGCCAAAGAATTTCTTGATTGATTACTAAAAAACCTGCATGACCAGAACAAAAGTGTTGATTTGTCAATTTCTGATTGGATAACTAGTTGCATCATGTTTTCTAACAAAACCATGGAAGCAAGTTTGATTATAAACCCTTCATATTTTTAGCTGAGTAGTTACATAAAGCACTTCATATTTTTTTGTTGTTAAATCATTCAACTGTCTAGCAGTTTCAACAAAAAATCGATCCCAAATTAAAAAATTGTATTTCGCAACAATATGAAATCACGAGTGGTGCAGATTGCCAAATAGAATAAACGTAAGTAAAGTATTACCATTAAGAAAAGCAGAAAAGAAAGATTAAGGTTCTTGTGCATAAAAAATTATCACCGAAATTTGAAGGATTTAACAAGTCAGCTCTCTGATACATATATTACAATGGCTGGGGAAAGCTCTTGGTACATACCACTGCCAAACTTGATATAGGATTTTAGAAAGAAGGGCTGAGTCTTTTTGAGCCCTCTTCGAGGCTCAAACATTTCCCTAAATACAATCGTTCTGTTTGTTTTACAATAGTCTTCTACATATTGAAAAAAAATGTTTCCAATATCATAATATGATTTACATAGTTAATGGCATACCAGTATCACATATCCCCAACGTTTGAAAAACTCCATGCAATGATGGTGTATAACCTTCGAATCATAATAAAGTTAACAGCAACAGTTTTAGAATTAATATATTGAAAAACTATACACAGTATATTTGCTAATACATCATGCGGTGCTTACTTCGAGTTGGTATACGAAATATAATGAGTGAAAATATGTAGCTACTGCGGTATATCAATAAAGTCTTTTTGTTATAATACTGAATATTTATATAGCGTATATTTATGTTGAAAGAGAGAAGGAATCATAATACTATAAATTTGAATATGTGGGAATGTAGAAATGTCAGTAATAGTGCAATTCTAGAGAACAATTTTATTTTAGTACGTAGCTGTTCGTTTCTGTTCAGGTAAAACATAAAAAAATCAAGCTAAAATTGATGAAAAATCTGTTAACATTATCTGTTAAAAATCTGTTAACATCTGCTTGAAAAAGATTCGGAACGGTATGTTCGCATACGTTTCTGTCACTTTTTTTTTGCAATGTGAAGGTCATTCTATCATTGAGTTTCGCGTGGTTGTGAATTGTTACTGTTTATTCTATCTAAAGCGTTTCTTTCAATTCACCAATGCGTTTTGTAAGGTAATCATACGCCAATTGGACTTTAGCTGGTGACTCGTCAACCGCCTTTTGTTTCAAAAACTCTTTGATTTCATCACCAAACTTTTCTTCAGATTTTAACTGATCGTGAAAACCAAACACGCTATAATATCGAGAGTGACTTTTTTAAAAATGAGTTGTACAAAAGTTTTAAGATAAGGTTCAGCAATCATGCCTAAAACAATCACCTTGGATACTTGAGCTGAAAAAAATAGAAATTAAATCTTCCCAATTACATTGATATTAAACAAGAAATTATAAACTGAGTATACCTCTCAAAAAGTTGGCCTTAATTCTTATTATTGCATGTAAAGACCTGTCCAAGGAAGCAACAAAACTCTCTTGTTTTTCCTCAGGTAACGTTTCATCGGGAATCAAACCTTCCAGGTTTTTCAAACAATTTTTCCTCATACGTTTTATGACAGATGCTTCATCAAACTTTGGTCCTTCGTCATCCTTCGCATTTTTGAGTTCGGTGTCAACGTTGGTACGAATGAAAAAGAAAGGTTTGTCGAGCACTTTTGAAACATTCTCAGCCAGTTCTTTATCATGTTGAGTGAATCGCGATTTGCCAAAAATGAGAAATGCATCGTACTTCTCCAGACCAACAACTTTTTTACAATATTCTTCAAGATTGGGGTATGTAGGTGTTCCAATGCCAGTTAGATCCCAGAAAATGATGTTTTTATGATTTGGGTGTGAATACGTAGTGGGTTTCTTTCTCATTTCTTTAATACCAACTGGTGCTGCTGCTTTTTTTTTACTAGCTTTGATACTGAAAGAAAAGATATGTTCTCAGACAATCAACAATTTGTGGTATAGCTTAATTCAATTACGTTTATTACTGGTAAGAACACAGACAATAAATGGTTTGTACAGGATTTCAATCTCCTCATTTGTGCTTCAAGATAATTAAATATTTGAGGTATTTAATAAACGATTATTTTCTTGATCTTTATAATTTTCTTCTATGAGCTTTTTTATTATTTGTTTCACTGTTATTTTGATCAAAAGTTGAAAAAGTTATAACTTCTAGTTATAATTTCAATAGAAATTACTTTTAATTTTGAGCAAGCAATAAATTTGTTACCCTCTCACAGCGTTGATGAAAGATGATTTTTCTGTTCCAGAATTTCCTGTTATAGCAAAATTTATCTCTGTGTCTATCCACAATGAAATTAAATCCTTGCTGTAAAATTCCAGAATCTTATCAACACCGTGTTTCTGAGCTTGTTTGAAGAGTTCCTTTGTTTTCTTGGTGTTTAAGAAAACGGCCTCATTTAAAGATTGCAGAAATATCTTTTCGACGTTTCAAAAACTTGGACTTGATATCTCCAAGCAGACTCTCAAAGTCGCGTTTGGATGTATCCTCTTTGTCAATTACGTAAATACCTGACTCATCCTTTACCAAATCTTTAAGGCTTTTTTTCTATCCAAAACAGTTTTTTCGTCATCTTTGCCTTCATCAGTGTTTGCAATGATGAAAATGACCGGCTTTCTATGCTTTTCTAAAATTTTCTTGGCAATTTCCCTCTCATTCTTAGGTCTTGATTTAACAAATATAAGAAATGCATCCAACGTCCTAAAACTAGGCTTCTTTGAAAAAAAATTTGAACTTAAATTCTTGAATTTGATTTCAGGATCTTTGTCAGAGATGCGTTAATGAAAATATACATTTGGTATTTTACTATAAACTAAAGTGGGATACAGTCAGTATACAATGAGCTGGCATAAAGCCTTCAGCCATTATAACACAAATGTTTGGTGAAGCTGTTTGTTCCATTGCATTTACATTTTAATTTGAAAACCGTTTGAAATTTAAATAACAAATCAATATGTTCATATAAATTCAACTCAAAGAAGTTTAGCTCAAAATGTGGTGTTTTTGTTTCTTCAAACATCCGCAAAGCTGTTATATCGATTTTTATTTCTTTAAAAATTAAAGTCTTTCAAATGTAATGAAGTATGTAGCTCTTATATTTCTTTAATAATTAATATTTCAACTAAATCAAATTTGTTGTGACTTGTCATTTTAATTTTGAAAATTTTAACAGAGTTCTTTTTCCATCCATGATTTTGAGAGCTTCTATATTATACTGAAACATTAAGTACGAAATGGACAATTTTTAAAGCACAGTTAATCATAAATTACCAAAAGGCGAAGTCTGTTCAAGACAAATAACGATGTTGTGGCTTATAAATAAGTAGTTATACGTATTTTTGCGGACTTTGCATCTGTTAATTCTTTATTTATTAGATTTTATTGGTTTGAAACCATTTAACAAAATTCATTGAACTGATTGAAGCAAACGACGCAATCTGTAAAATATAATTTATACGTATCACCTATGTAGAAAATTTATATTGTAAAACCAACCAGCAATAACTTACCGACTAAGAGCCTCGATTAAAAAGTTTCCTGATTTCTTTGATCCGATGAAAGCAAACACCTTTTTATTTTTTTCCATTCCTTGATTTGGCATATATACCAATCACTTCTGCCATCAAGCCCATTTTTCTTAACTTTTTCTTTAGCTTCATTTAAAAACTTTTTGTCATTTTTTGCAAATTTAAACTTTTTTTTTGAGGACTTTGGAGCCATAAGGATAGTTTGATCTGATCGAAATTGAAACGGGTTTTAAATGTGAGACGTTGAACGAGATTATTGACTGTTAGAATGTTGTTTTTGCCAAAAGTCGGTAAAGAGCAACAGCGGGATGTCGTCTCTATTCAAATAATGGTATTTCCTTCCTGGAGTGATTTAATGCATAAGAAACGAAAGAATTTTGTTTATACTATTTTTGACAAAAATCGACACATTAATATTTGAAGTATACAAGATGAATTCCACAACAGACAAATGGAAAGCAGTAAATTACTGCAATCATGTCACTACTTCCAATGACATTGGTCTTTTGCCAGTGACATGGAACGTTGTTAAGATAAAGATCAGTTGAAATTGTCGGCCAAATTTATCACATACTATTGTCACATAAACATTGTTATAGCATTTTTGATTTTATGTATCAACAAAATTGAGAACGGGGCTTATGTAAATCATATTGCTTTAAATAAAGTAAATTTGATTCTGGCCTACTTCTACATTCAGGAGTTTACCAAACAGTAAAATGCATCATTGCAACATCAAATATTGTAAATAACTTCACTGTAGAGAATGAGAGATAAAGTAATATAAGGTAATTTGTTATTAGACAAAAGTTACCTAATCATGCAAGACATCAAAATTGACCTTTGAACATTGCATTATTATTCAAATCAGTATATATTATTAACAATAATCTGAACTTCTGTTCAATTTTTCAATAGAAAAAATGTAAAACCTTACGTGGCTCGGTATATAGTGTAGCAACTCAATTGATTCGACATAACTTGAATGGCTTTAGCTATTTCGTTTCTCCACTTAAAACTTAACTAATTTTAGATAAAGAATCTCTGTCAAAAAATGACTAGAGAAATATATAATAAATAGAGTTCGTTAAAGTATAGTCTGATGATGAATTTGCAATAAATTCAAAATACAACTATTCAAATAAAAATTGTCTTGTTTCCTTCTCAAATATTGAGTTGAACGTGAACTTTTTATTTGGAGTATGTTTCATTTTGTACTACACAAAATTGTCGGCTAGCTGGTAATGATTCAACATTTAAGAATAAGATGCTTATGTTTTTTCTGTAACATTATAGTAAGAACTATTCAGCATAACATTTCTTCAGGTTTAGAGAAAAAGAACAGTTTTATAACATATTTATATAATTAGAAATATTTGCATTTTACATCATAATAAAGTAATCAATACAGTGAAATGTAAATATCATAAAGATTCTGTTTGTAAGAGACAACAAAATTATGTTAAAAATTATTTTGTAAAAGTAATTGTGTATTCCTGTTGCTTTTACTAAGGGAGTGGATGCAATTACATTTGGAAAAGACGAAATGTTAAAGTTTTAACATTTGCTATGTATGCACGGGTACATGTACCTATATTTAACGAGTGCTGTAAATATTATTAAAATAATCAAATAAAAGAATTTTAAATTAGTGTTGATATTTTCTTCAAAACCACCAGATATATTTTATACCAACAGGTATAAATGTGGTGATTTGGAAAGGCAAATGAATAGTTTTGGGTAATAGCGTTAATGTATTCTGCTCAAATGGGACTGTTTATTACTGTTGCATCCCAAATGTTGAGAGCAACTTTTTCTAGATCGTTGATGCATTTTGAAAGAAACTCATGAACCCTACCATACCATGACTCTAATAGCGTCTCCGTCCAGGGAAATGTAATAAAATCAGAATTCATACCATAATCTTTAACAAGAGTTTCTAGATTGATTGAACTATACTTCAATATGACATCCGATGATTTTTTTTTCAACGCCTTAAATTTATCGGATCCTACAATAGGAAGACCAAACTGGTGACAATAAAAACTCACTTCATTCCAAACCACAACTATGTTGAAAACTGGTCCATCTTTAGAAACACGTTTTGACTTTGCACCAGCCAGTTTTGTTGCTCGAGCTAGAATTGATACAAAATATATATATTTAATATTCGAACAAGCACGACCGTACATGCAGGTGGGATTAAGAAATATATGTAAAGATCTTCTACATAAAAAATACCGACAACCTGTGAAGTAACGGTATGATAACTAATAAACCGTAAGATATATACATATAAAAAATTTAATTGAGTGATCGTGCAGATGGAATTAAAAATTCTGTAAATAAAGAATATAATTCAGATAACCAGTTCTAGCAATCTTGATACATGGATAAAAATATGTATTTATGGCTATGCATGGGTACATCACTGCAGATAATTTCTTATAATTAACAAACCTTTCAACAAATTTGCCTTTCGTTTTATGCTTTCTCGTGTCACAGTGTCAATAGAAAGGTTGAAGCATTCCATTTTACGATGTGGTAAAGCATCTGAGATAGATTCGATCAAACGATTAAAATCATATTTATCCGTGAATTTGTTGTCGATCAAGAATACCTCATTCTTATTGTTGATCAGACCTTTCAGATTGTTTAAGCAGTCTGTCTTCATTTTATCCAAAGCAGACTTTTCATTGAAATTTGGTCCTTCGTCATCTTTGGTATTTTTGATTTCGGTATCAATGTTGGTGCGAATGAAAAACAAAGGTTTCTTGATACTTAAGTCTTGTAAAACTTTCTCAGCCAACTCTTTGTCATATTGAGTGAATCGTGTTTTGTAAAAAATGAGAAATGCATCATACTTTTCTAGACCACCAACATTTTTACAGTAATCTTTAAGATTAGGATGTTTAGGTGTTCCAATTCCAGGTAGATCCCAGAAAATGATGTTTTCATGTTTCTGGGATGTATATTTAGTGGGTTTTATTGTCACTTCTTCTGTCCCAACTGGTGCTGCGCCAACATGATGAGCTTTAAGTCTGAAAACGATTTGTATATTCTATTAATTGTTTTATGAATGACTATTAGGTCATATTGTTTCAAATTAGTTTCTATTACCCTCTCACAGCGTTGATAAAAGAAGATTTTCCTGTTCCTGAATTTCCTGTTATGGCAAGATTTATCTCTGTGTCTTTCAATGAACTAATTTGACAATGATAAAAATCTTCTATACCAGAAATGCCATGATGTTCAACGTAATCCTTAATTTGGGCAATGCGTTTTTCATCTTCACTTATTGTGTCTTTTCCGTACATTACATAGTTCAAAGACTGTAAAAAACTTTCACTTCGACGCTCTAGTAACTTTGAGACGACATCTCCACGCAAACGATCGAAATCATATTTATCTGTAACTTTGTTATCAATTAGGAAGATATCATTTTCATCATGAATTAAACCTTTCAAGTTTTCGAAACAATCATTCTTTATTTTTTCCAAGACGGATGTTTCATCAAACTGTGGTCCTTTGTCTTCCTGGGCGTTTATGAGATCTTGATGAATGTTGGTGCGAACAAAAAAGAAAGGCCTTTTGAGCTCTTTGGAAACTTCTTTTGCAAGCTCTTTGTCATAGTTGGTGAATCGTGTTTTGCAAAAGATAAGGATTGCGTCGTAGCTTTCCATGTTCATTTTCTTGAAGTATTCTGAGAGATTCGAATATTCAATTGATCCAAAGCCAGGGAGATCCCACATTTTGACATTATTTTTTTCAGGATAAACGTACTCAGTGGGCAGTATTTTCACTTCGGTAACATCAACTGGTGCTGCACCTTTTTCATAAGCTTTGAGTCTAAAAAAGTATATTATGTCAAATTTTTGTCACGCATTGATGATAATGATGAATATCATTAGATACGCTGCCCAAATATCGAAATGAAAAGAAAACATAAAAAGTAACATCGCAGCTCTTATAAGACAGAAAAGGAAATCAATTTATGGAAGGCTTTATGAAAAATTCCAATTTCATCCCAGTTGTAATTTCACCTAATTTCATTGTTAATGGGAAGTTATGATTACCCTCTCATAGCGTTAATAAAAGATGATTTCCCAGTCCCAGAATCTCCTGTAATTGCAAGATTTATTTCTGTGTTTTCCCAGGATTCAATTTGATCTCGAATAAAGTCTTCGAAATCAATCAAACCATGTTTTTTAACACGATGCACAGCTTCTGCTAAAAGTCTTTCTTCATCGGTTAGTTTCTCGTTTTTGAAAATGACATGATTCAAGCAATTCAAAAAGTAATCTTTTCGACACTTCAGCAACTTCAAAATGACTTCCCCTGACAGACAGTCAAAATTACATTTTTCCATGTCATTATTGTCAATTACGTAGATATCAGTCTCATCATTTACCAAACCTTTAAGGTTATTAAAGCAACATTTCTTTATTTCTTCCATTGCAGTTTCTTTGTTCATCAGTAATCCATCGACCTCTTCGGCATTCTTAATGTCTATATGTGCATACGTATGAAGACACAGAAAAGGTCTATGGAGCTCTTTTGAAACTTTCTTAACCAGTTGCATTTCATTTTCTGTAAATCTTGATTTGCTAAATATCAGAAATGCGTCATACTTCTGGAGATCACCAATGTTTCTGCAATATGTTTCAAGATTGGGGTTTTCAGGTGTTCCGATGCCTGGCAGATCCCAGAGCTCGACATTTTTGTATTTAAAATGAAGATTTGTAGCTCCCAAAGCTGATAAGTCATTTGGAGATGCCTCTTGTTCGCAAGCTTTTAATCTGGGTAAAATATTGTTGCATTATTAAATATATTACATTCCTTATTTATTATTAAGTAGCAAACACAGATAACGTGTAAACCGCAGTAAACGTATACCATTACTTTAGTGAACCAAGAAAAAAAACTAACCCTGTAAAAGCGTTGATGAATGATGACTTTCCTGAATTGTTTGATCCAGTTACGGCGAAATTTAACTTCAATTTCTCCCAAGCATCTAATTGATCATTCAAAAAATTAATTTTGCCGTCAAGTCCATTTTGTTTTATATAATATTTTGCCTTTTCTAAAAGTCCTTCTTCTTCATTTGTTAAAATTGGTTTTGACGAAGATGAATTCATAATATCCCAAGGAAAGTTTAACTTTATTGACTCAGAGTTTAAACTGCAGAGAAATTTGAACGATGTTGTCTATGCAAAGTTTACAGCAAACAGCAGGATTTCTGTTCTTTTCATTATATGATAAATAGTTCCAAGAATAGGATACATTGCACAAGAACGAAAGCTCTTTAATCAGAACTTTAAAAAACCTATTAGACAAAGAAGAAATTCTCCGTCTCTTTTTCATAAATCCATGCTGGCCACAGCCCCAAGAATATGCTCCTTTTTTAAATTTTGGGTCTTCTTACAAAGGAAGCAAATTCGATTTCGATATGCCTCATTGAAAGTTAAATATTTGCTTGTATTGCTGAGAGTAGATTGTCCATAAGTCAATCTCAAAAAAATTGGAATCAAACGCCGGCGCCGGCTTGAAATAAACGTGAATTAAAGACTGGATGAGGATTTATTGCATGAAAAAGTGCATACCAAGTTATGAAGATTTCCCAATATATCTTTATTTCTCTTATTGGGTTTCCATCGACCACGGGGTGCTTAAAGAACAATAATGTTCACCCACTTCGGCTGGAGCTCACAATCACAGTCACAATAGATGTGATATTATATTCTTTTTCTTTCTGACATGCTGAAACGAAACTTAATTAAGAATTTATAGTTTGTGTTAAATTATCAATATATTAATTAAAAAACGAAGGGGTGTATAACACGAACTTTTATTTTTTGAAACAAAAACAAGACGTTTAAAGCGATTCTTACATTTGATTGAGTGGCAAAATTGAAACCAATTTTATAGCTGTAAACTCTCAGAACAGTAGGGTTTCGTCTGAAATCATACTATGAGTAATTTCTTAAAATGAATAAAAACAGAAAATGAAACATCTTATTTGTAATTTTTCATTGAAGTACCTAAAATACAAGAATTATTTATTTGCTGTTTACAGTGCTTGAATGAGGAAAATTAGGATTTTATAGTTTCTCACAAATAACAATTCCGCATAAAATCAGCCAACACGATATACTGATTTGAATAATAATAGATTGTCCAAAGGTCATTTTTACAATTTGCATGATGAAGCACGCTTGATGGGTTCTTACTTTATCCAGTTTTATCTTGGTTTAATAAAGTTAGTTTTAGAAATTAATTGTTGATGAAGTTACATACATCGTTAATAATCAATTCAGAGAGTATTTACTGATAATTAACTTGTGAAATATGTCAAGTAAATGGAAAACGTAAAGCAAAGAACATTTATGAAAGCAAAAGACCAACAGTGTTCTTGCTGGACAAGAGAACTGAACATAACTTGAACCTTGAAATTTTTTCATAAGGATTTTACAGTATTTAAGTGTTTTGTGTTAGAATACTTTTTAATACTTTCTTTATGATTTATACGGTGTCTGATCTAGTACCCTTGAAAAAGTCAATGGGGCACAGTGCTTCACTCCGTCATAGCATTTGTAATTAGTTTTTCTACTGCCGGAAACTTTTTCATGCAACTGTCACGTAAGAACTATTTTGTTTTCTTTTGGACATCTTAAGTCATATGTTGCAGGAATCAAGCATGCTAATTAAGCTCCTAAAATCTAATAATAACATATATGAATAAGATATTGTATTAGAAATAGTGACTTGTAGGTTTGGCATTAACTTCTTTTTATTCTTTAATTAATTTTAAGCAAAGCCAATTTCATCTGTTATTTAAAACAAAACATCAAACTTTCTTTCGACCTAAGAAATAGGTATTAGAAATAGTAACATGTAGGTTTGGCATTAACTTCTTTTTATTCTTTAATTAATTTTAAGCAAAGCCAATTTCATCTGTTATTTAAAACAAAACATCAAACTTTCTTTCGACCTAAGAAATAGGTATTAGAAATAGTAACATGTAGGTTTGGCATTAACTTCTTTTTATTCTTTAATTAATTTTAAGCAAAGCCAATTTCATCTGTTATTTAAAACAAAACATCAAACTTTCTTTCGACCTAAGGTTCAAATCAAATTCATTGAGATCGACCTTTTGATAATCTACCAGCTTTAGCATTATGCATAATGTCATGACGTTGCATAATCAACAGAACGAAACGAAATCAAACTCGTTTCCATTTTCGATAGCCTTAAAACTTTAAAACGGCAGGTTGTAGGAATTGTGGTCTATATATGAGTACATTTTGCCAATATATATATAATTTTATTGTTAGCTGATACTGCTGTTGAGTTTTTGAACCAATTAAATGCTTTGGTTTTTGTGTATTGTATTATATTCCTGGAACTATTTACCATATAATGAAAAGAACAGAAACCCTGCAGATTGATGACAGCTTAACATTGACGACATCGTTAATCCTCTTTAAATTTCTTGGCATTTTAACCATTAAATTGTCCATTTTCTTCGGCAATGGGTTCATCTTCATCGAAGCCAGTCATTTCCGGAAACAAGGAATTAATTGAAGAAGAAAGACGTTTAGAAGAAGCCAAGTCTCGCATTAAGAAACATGGTTCAATTGATGTTGATGATTTCATTCAAGATATTGATGATGTTGATATGATTCATCAAATCGAGTCATGGATAAATAAGGAAATACATATTGCAATAACTGGAGAATCTGGAACAAGAAAGTCATCTTTTATCAACGCTGTGAGAGGGTAATAATCTTTACTTGATTACGATGAAATAGATAAGGAAACATTTTTTGCAAATTAAAGAGAAAAACCACCATTGAAAAAATCTCCTTATCTATATATATCTTTCTTTTCAAGCTAGGCGAAGTAAGATAAAATTATTTGCACGTTAATCTTTGTTAATAGTACATATTTGAGTGCTACATGTCCTTTGTCAAACCTCCAATTCTTCTGCATTGTTGCGTGATTACATAAATCACGCGTGATTGACACGAAGTCCTTGAACTAATCAGAATCTTTCTTGCATCGTTTACGCGCAAGTGTCACTAATGGCACGTATCATGAAACATGATTTACTTCCATATCACATTGCCTCATATAAGATTGGTTTGACGCGGATTTTGTTGTGCTATTTGACGACTATTATAATTTGCAAATATAAGAAAAACTATTCTCGAGTAGCCCAATTGAACGTCGAATGGGCGTTTTGCTATCGCTAAGTTATATGTGTTCAAATTAAAAGTTTAAATTTATGACTTGAATTGACATGCAAAAAAGTTTCATACAAAATATTTTTGTAGACTTCAAACAAATGATAAGGGTGCAGCACCAGTTGGTAATAATGAGTCAACCTTAGTGCCGACTGAGTACACTCATCCTGAAAAAGAAAATATTAAGCTATGGGATCTACCTGGCATTGGAACATCTACATATCCTAATCTAGAAGAATATTGCAAGATTGAGGGTGGTCTAAAGAAATATGACGCTTTCCTTATTTTTTCCAAAACACGATTCACTCACCATGTTCAACAGCTAGTTGAAAAAGTTTCAAAAGAGCTTCAAAAGTCTTTCATTTGTGTTTGCACAAACGTTGATCTCGATTTGAAAAAGCCAGAGAAGATGAAGGATCACATTTTAATGAGGCATCAGTCATGGAAAACATAAAGAAAGACTGTTTGAGAAACTTGGGGGATTTGATTGATGATGAAAAAGATATTTACACGATTTATGATAAAACTCCAGAGAAATTCAGTCAGTTGTGTCGGAATGTGATCTCAAAGTTGATAGAACGTCGAAGTTTACGCTTTTTAGAGACCTTGAAGGATGTAATTTCTAGCTCAATTGCTAAAGATGAACAATGCGCATGCTTTCCCCAAGCAAAGGATCACATTGATCGCCATGGCGTTTCTGGTATCGAAGATTTTTACCATCGCCAAATTAATATGTTCGAGAAGATGAAAATAAATCTTGCCATAGCAGGAAATTCTGGAACAGGAAAATCATCTTTTATAAACACCATGAGAGGGTAAAACACCTTACTTTGAAGTAGATTTAAAACAGTAAAACATTAAATTCAGTCATAAAACGAATGATGACACGCCTTTTTATGTTTTATGTGAATATTTTTGGGTTTTTATGTTACTATATGTTAACTTCAAATTCAATTCATCATTTTCAGACTTAAAGGTTACGATGCTGGTGCAGCACCAGTTGGAACTACAGAAACAACAAAGAAACCCACTCCATATTCACACCCAAACTATAAAAACATCATTTTCTGGGATTTACCTGGCATTGGAACACCTACATTCCCCAATCTTGAAACATACTGTAAAGAAATTGGTGATCTGGAGAAGTACGATATATTCCTTATTTTTTGTAAATCACGATTCACTCAACATGACAAAGAGTTGGCTGAAAAAGTTTCAAAACTTAGCAAACCATTCTTTTTTGTTCGCACCAACGTTGACACCGAACTCAAGAATGCGGAGGATGACAAAGGATCAAATTTTGATAAAGCATCCGTCATGAAAGGTATGAGGGAAAATTGTTTGGAAAACTTGGAAGATCTGGTCGACAATGAAAAATTCTTGTTCTTGATCGACAACAAGGTTCTTCGAGAGGACTGTGATTTTGATCGTTTGATTCGATCTATTACTTCAGAGTTACCAGCATATAAACGAGAATGCTTCATTCTTTCTTTGAGTAATGTGACTCGTGAAAGCATTCAACGAAAGGCCAAGCTATTGAAAGGTTTGTTATTAGTGAAAAATTATCTGCAGTGCCATAGCCATGAATTCATACATGAATATGCTGTGCTGGTTTTATGCATGTGAATTTATTTTAAAGAATGTGGGTTAACCATGATGCATTGCGCGTTAATCACAGCGTGACAGTCATTTTGTGGGTCAAGAAAATGATGGATTTCGTTATTGTAGTCCATGCAACTTAGATAAACGATAATAATTAATGTAAAATAGAGTTTTTAGTCAATGTTTTTTTTGCTAACTTTTTGAATAAATTAAACGATGTATAGTGACAAAGCTGCATTCAGTATGCCGCAAGCTTAAAAAGTAACGATGTAAACATGAACAAAAGAGCACAATGCATCATGATTGACACACATTCTTTAAGCTAGAAGATTCTTAGCAGATTTCCTTAATTCCGTCTTGTACAAGTATTTCTTATAACATTTCTAGTTCGAGCAACTGTAATGACTGGTGTTGCAGCTTGTGTGAGCATTGTTCCTTATCATGGAGTTGTACGTGGTTTCAACATAACTTCGGTTTTAGAAGAAATGACTTACTACGAGAACAAATTCGGTCTTTCTGGTAAAGTAACTGACAAATTTAAGGTGTTAGACGAAGAAGCATCTGCTCTCTTTTCTTGGGATATGAATTCTGAACAAAAATTTCCGATGTTGTCAGCCTCGTTATCGTACTTTAATGTTCATAATTTTCTTTCAAACTACATTAATGATTTGGAAAAAGTTGCTCTTGACATTTGGGATGCAACAGTTAAAAGTTGCAGTAAATGACCAGAACGCACGGTGCTTGTTTGCCTAAAAAATTTTATTTATCCTTAAACAACTACACTTTATTTTATACTTGATGGTAGAAAAAATGGCTACAGCAGGTGATTTTGTTAAAAAAGTCAACTCTAATTTAGAATTGTTTGAAATAGCTAATAGTCGATTGGGTAATATTATTTTTAACACTCGTTTCATTTAGGTACGCGTTGCGAGCACGTTAATTATTAGCACACGATAAATCTTTCCCATGTACCTATAGCTTTCCAATTGTAATGCCCTTCTTTTATATACGCTGAAACAGGAATGCAAGTAACATCTCACTTAAAACTATGGAATAAAGTACGCGCAATGATGTCTTTAAAATGCTTGTTTGTTTTCGTAAATCACACAGTTCACTTTTAAATGAGATGATTTTTTGGAAGAACTGGGCTTGACGCACGATTAACAACAGTTAAATTGTACATAGCGTTACCACCTGGGATATTGTTTAAACTGGATGATTAATTTTTTGAACAAACAACCTTATTTTATGCAATGTTATTTGGTTTTTTCCAACAGAACCTTGCATAAAAGTTTTTGTGATATTTACATATCTTAATTTCATGTTTTATTTCACTGTTATGCTACATATATCTATATAATATGAATGCTATAAAAATATTCGTACCTTGCATAAAAGGATATTTTTTAATATTAACAAGAATGAATGCATGTTACAAATATTTAAATAAGCAAATTGACCTCAAATTCTATAATTTTACAAATCATAAAATCTTCAATAGTTCCAGATGCAAATATGCAATATTACTGCTGAAAGGAAAGTTTATTGTAGTTATAGGAAATCACTTGAAACAGAGACATTTTCGTGGTGACAAGTGTGAATATCACCTTAAAAAGAGCAATCCAGCGTTGGAGGATGAGTCAAATTGGCTTTATTTTGATGATAACCCGTTCTCCCACGCTGGATGAATCATCAACTAACTGACATAAATACAAGTTGATTCACCCTTAACAGATCTTAGACTTTGACACACGACGAGGTGTCTGTCAAAATCAATAGTGTCTTAAATCTTCAAAATTTTCAGAACTTTCAGGTTAGTGCTCTTATTCTGAACAAGTTTTTTTCAAATCTGTTGGTTTACTCTTGGGTTTCTTGGTTTTTCTTTGGTTTCAGACCAATCACCATGGTAACTGTTCTTTTTAAGGCGATGTTTAGGAGATCTCTTGTTTTAGATAACTTGCTTAAAGATGGCTTAATGCAAGTACATGAAGCAGACGAGAGACTGGTTTTTCTTTGTGTTTATTAGTTTAGGTTATAGATTTAATCTTTAAAGTGCCAAGTACTTGCTTGTACTTTAAGAAGTTGAGTTAAAATAATTATTTTGCGAACAAGGAAAACGCCAAAATATTCACAACCGTTAACGGCAAAAAAAGTTTTCCAAAAGTTTTGATTTAAAGGTAGCACATTTAATTTTTTGGAAATTTTTTGAGCTTTCATAAAAAGCTGATAAAATGACGCAAACAAGATGCGAATTTTCATCCGGAAGAATTCTTATCAATTTCCTAACTTTTTGATGAATCACTTAAAGACAAAATATTTGCCATTGGGACAAAATATGCCATTAAAGGATGCCGTTATTTTTCAATATTCGTTTTGCTACATTTGATGTGAACGATCTGAATTTTGGAATGAACTAGTCACGTAAAATTTAAGAGCTTGCAGTGGGAGAAGCTACTGTATGATTAATTAAACATTAATTTTCAAATTAATTTTCATTCACTTTTCAAAACTTAGTTTTTCAATTAAAATATGAAATTTAGGTCATTTTTAATCCCGATCCCATCACTTCCATCATGATTTTCCAGATCTATAGCTAATTGAAAATTCTGATAAAGCAATTGCATTGAAGGCATGTGCCTTACCATAAAATGGTTCGAAATATCCTTGTAGGATAGAACATATGGACGAAAGATTTTAATTTTTATTACGTTAACATATTTGAAGTGTTTGCATATTTTGCATAATGTGTGGCAAGTCAAAGGAAAAAAATAATAGCTAACCATTTAGCCCTCTCAAAAAAAGGAAGCATAAGTAAAAGAGGATGTTATATTATTCTACTTCTCAAACAGTTGTATTTTCATATTATGAGAGCTGCTGGCTTTACTTTTGTCAATTTGATGTCAAAAGATCTTTATACGTAATGCTCTAAACCTCTGCTTGTCCTTTCCTACTTCAATCATATTGCACCATCTCGGAATTCAAGGGGCATATTTAGCTGAAGAAACGATACGCCTTAAAGGAAGGGATAAAAACTTGCTTTTATACATATTATACACACTTTTTTTTCATTGTACAAAAAATCTGGCTTTAAATCAAATTCTGTTGACTCCATCAAGGTTTTACAATATTTAAACGGAGTGAAATGCTGCATCATTTATGTTCTTTTTTATTTTCAGTGCTATTGATAATTAGTTAATGGTTAACTGGCATCGCTGGAATTTTTTTACATAATTTAAAGATATATGTGGTGTGACCATATGTCTCAATAAGTTCGTTAAATCATCTCTTATATGACCAATTGTATATATAAATCTTGTGTGTGTATAGTAGTTTTTGTCGAAAACAACTCGGCCAAACATAAGCATTTAGAAATTAAAAGTGAATTCTTACTGTAGCTATATTTTACATATTTAGCTTTCACGTATTTTGTAGCTTGAGCTATAATGGCAGAAGCAGGTATCTTAATTAACTTCAAGCTATGTTAGTAATATTTTTAATAAATAAAAATGTGGATAAACTGAGGACAAATAAGGATATTCCAACAGCAAATTATTTTTCAGTCCAAATTTACATAACAATCTGCACGTGTCTTTCACGCTCATTTCGTGCTGAGATGAATTCAAATGATGAGATCGACCTTTAGACAATCTTTATATCAATTCAATACTTCATATCAAAGCGCTTTTTCTTTTTATTTTGAATAGCAATACATCCTTACAAGATGCAAGCTCAAGAAGTTGTGGCTTACATAAATGCATTTTAAAAGGTAATTTTTTCTTCGTCCAATAATTTTCGTACAAATCTAAGTGATGTATTATATTTTTACAGTATTGAATCATATTCCTGGAACTATTTACCATATAATGAAAGGAACAGAAACCCTGCAGTTTGGCGTAATCTTGGCATTCATAACAAAGTTATGTTGATATAAATTTCGTAGCCAGGGGATCGTTTATTCGCATCGGCGTATATTATGGGTTCATTTTCGTCTAAACCAGTTCTTACAGGAAAAGAAGAAAGACTTTTAAACGAAGCCAGACGATATGTTGAGAAGAATGGCCTTAATGGCATTAATGATTTCTACGATAAACAAGTTGCTAAATGGGAGAAGTTTGAGCTAGTTTTTGCCATAATTGGACCCACAGATTTAGGAAAATCATCGTTCATAAACGCCATAAAAGGGTAATGTGTTTTTATTATTTTCGCTTTACGAACGATGTATTGAGATGTAAAGGACTTGAGAGAATTGGCTTGCGAAACATTGGCACATTATTTGTGTTTGTCATTTAAGTATATCACATATTTACCAATTGTTTACACAGATCTGAAACTTACGAAAACGAGGCAGCACCAAATGACGCATCAACTTGGAAAACAACGTATTCTCATTTTAAATACAAAAATATCAAGCTTTGTGATCTACCCGTCATTGGAACACCTGAAAATCCAAATCTTGAAACCTACTGCAAAAACAATGGTGGTCTAGAGAAGTACGACGCATTTCTGATTTTCAGCAGATCAAACTTCACAGACCATGAGAAGAACATGGTTAAGAAAGTTTCAAAAGAGCTTCAGAGACCTTTTGTTTGTGTTTATACGCATGCAGTTGTTAACGTTAGGAATGCCAATAAAGAATCAGAAAAAAACGAGGAAATTGCATTTGATGAAATAAGAAAACTTTGCATTGACAATCTGAGAGGTTTGGTAAAGGATTCAGCAGATATCTACATAATTGACAATAAAGATACGGAAAAATATGACTTTCATCGTCTGCGTAACGAAGTCATTTTAAAGTTGCTTAAACGTCAACAAGAATGCTTTTTACATTCTTTAAACCTTGTTATTTACGGAAACAAAGAATTAACCGAACAAGATAGACGTTTAGAAGAAGCCAAGTTCCGCATAAATAAAAATGGCTTAGTTAATGTTGATCAATTTATTCGAGAAGAAGTTGATTTATGGAAGAACATGGAAATACGTCTCGCCTTAACTGGGAGAATTGGAGCAGGAAAATCATCTTTCATAAATGCCGTAAGAGGGTTAGTAAACATTCTTTCAAATGACAATAAAATAGATGAATATTTTTGAGCAAATTTTGCAAAATATGTTATCACTATCATCAACGTGTGACAAAAGTTTGATATATTTTGTAGACTCAAAGCTTATGAAAAGGGTGCAGCACCAGTTGATGTTACCGAAATTCAAACAGAACCCACTGAGTATATTCATCCTGAAAATGAAAACATCAAGCTCTGGGATCTTCCTGGTATTGGATCAACTAAATATCCAAATCTTCAAAAATACTTCGAAAAAATAGACTTGAAAAGTTATGACGCATTTCTTATTTTTTCAAAAACACGGTTCACTAACGATGACAAACGACTTGCTGAAAAATTTTCAAAAGAGCTCAACAAACCTTTCTTTTTCATTCGCACTAACATTGATCTAGATCTCAAGAACGCCGAAGACGATAAAGGACCACAGTTTAATGAAGTTTTTGTCTTGGAAAACATAAGAAAAGATAGTTTGAAAAACTTGGGAGATTATATCCACGACGAAAAAGATGTCTTTTTAATTGATAACAAGTTTCCAGAGAAATACGATTTCGATCGTTTGTGCGAGGATGTCGTTTCAAAGTTGCTAGAACGTCGAAGTCAAGGTTTTCTAAGGTCTTTAACCTATGTAATTTACAAAAATAACTCAATAACAGAAGATGAAAAGAGCTTTGCTGAAGTTAAAGATCGCTTTGATCGCCAAGGCATTTGTGGAATTCGTGATTTTTACCATCGTCAAATTAATTCGTTCAAGGAAGTTAAGATAAATCTTGCCATAACGGGAGATTCTGGAACCGGAAAATCATCTTTCATCAACACCGTAAGAGGGTAACTAAAAAGCTAACTTTTACATGGTATTAACACAGAAGTCGTTACTGACAGTCACAAATTGGTGAAATCGTATTAATATAAAGCATGTTTTTATGTCAAATACATATATCGTTCTGGAATTTTAATTTTACAACCCTGCATGTAAAGCAATGTCATAAATTTAGAATGCAATAACCAACTCCCACATGTTAAATTGTCATTTTTAGACTTAAAGGTCACGAAAAGGAAGCTGCACCAGTTGGTGCTACAGAAACAACCACAATGCCCACTAAATACGCTCATCCAAATAATGAAAATATTATTTTCTGGGATCTACCAGGCATAGGAACACCTACATTTCCCAATCTTAAAGAGTACTGCAAAAAAGTTGGTGGTCTAGAGAAGTACGACGCTTTTCTTATTTTTTGCAAAACACGATTCACTCAATATAACAAAGAGTTGGCTGAGAAAATTTCGAAAGAGCTGAACAAACCTTTCTTTTTTGTTCGCACTCACGTTCATATCGATCTCAATAACGCCAAAGACGACAAAGGATCAAAGTTTGATGAAGCATCTGTCTTGAAAGGAATGGCGAAAGACTGTTTGAAAAACTTGGAAGAATTCATTAAAGATGAAAAAGATATCTTCTTGATTGACAACAAGGTCACAGAGAAATATGATTTTGATCGTTTGGTTGAAGAAATTTCTTTGGTGTTACCTGAACGTAAAAGAGAATGTTTCGTTCTTTCTTTGACCAATTTGACACGTGGCTGCATAAAAAGAAAGGCCAAGCTATTGAAAGGTTTGTTATCTATAAGAAATAATCTACAGTGAAGTAGCCAATCATACATGAATATGTTTACCAATTTATCAAGATTGCTATACGCCATGCTGGTGGTTTGAATTATGTATATTTAGCTGGATGATTTCTAGCTTAATTTTTTTAATTTCACCTGCTCGATCACTCATTTTGATTTGACATAAATTTTATTGATGACTTTTCTAGCTCGTGCAGGTGCAGTGGCTGTTGCCGCAGCTGGTGTAAATGCTGTTCCTGTTCCTGGAGTTGGATCAGCTTTCAACTTAGTTGTGATTTTAGAAGAAGTTCATAGTTACCGTCGCCAGTTTGGCCTTCCTGATAAAGAATCTGAAATATTGAAAGGGTTGAGAGCAGAATTAATTTCTAGCATATTGAAATATAGTTTTAAAACCGTCTACGATTTACTGCCTCTATTTGCAGATAGTGCTGTGGATATTGGTATTGAAGAGTTCACAAAATTCATTCCATTTGCTGGGCAGTTTTTGTCTCCTGCATCATCGCTTGTTTTCGTTTTTAAGTTTCTTTATCGGTGCATCAGCGATATGGAAAAAGTTGCTCTTGATATTTGGGATGAAACAGTTAAGGGCAAAGCTAATTGAATTGCACGCAGTAGGCGTTTTCTCAATACAACAACAACTTGTAATAATTATATCTTATGATATTTATAATACTTATTATACAATTTTGCATGTTCATTCCCGAAAATTTTTACAGATTTAACGATCAACTGTTTTATCTATCATGAGTATGATATAGATGTACTCTCCTATCCTTTCTTCCTCTTAGTAGTATGACGAGAATTGTAAGTAGCTATACATAACACGACATTTTAATTTGCTTTCTTAGTTCTGCTTTTCCAAAGTATACGTCACCAAATCTTTTAACAGATACTATCTTTTAGTATCTTGAGTCATAACTGTGTTAAATGTATGCATAAATGAAAGGCAAGACTTGTGTTACAAGGATTAAAGTTTGCTTCAGAAAAGAAGCTTATGACTTTCTTTCAATGTGCGTCAACGATCTGGAAAACGTTTCTCTTTAAATTTGGCTTGGTTGTGCTAAAATTTCAAATAAAAGTTTTTGGAAAAGTTTTTAGTCTGACCCCAAGCACAGAAGGCTCACTCAGTTGTAAACGCATCTTCACGTCCACAACTCCATTTTGGTTAGAGTTTGTCACTGTTTTCAACCATTAAAATAACATGACGTCATTTCTGAGTAGTACATTTTAGAATATTTATACTTAAGAAATGACTTCATAATATTTTAGTGACTGGAAAAAGTGAAAAAGTCTTATCGACTGGCTGAGTAAATGGCGGACGACATTCGCCGAGCGACTTAAGCGAGAAGAAAAATATCATAGGTTCCGACAACAGTGATTCGTCTGTATATTTTTTATTACTCACCACAAATTTTATAAACAAACGCTGTATTGAATATCACTTGTTGAAGGTCATGTAATGTGAAAGTTTGCACGTTTTGTTTAACAAAAAAACAAGAATTTTTGGAATTCAAGGGGCATATTTAGCTGAAGAAACCATACGCCTTGAAGGAAGAAATAAAAACTTGCTCTTATACATGTTATACACACTTTTATTTTTTTATTCCACAAAAAAATGTGGCTTTAAATCCAATTCTGTCGACTCCATCAAGGTTCTACAATCTTTAAACGGAGTGAAATGCTGCATCATTTATGTTCTTTTTCATTTTCAGTGCTATTGATAATTAGTTAATTGTTAACTGGCATTGCTGGAATTTTTACATAATTTAAAGATATATGTGGTGTGACCAAATGTCTCAATAAGTTCGTTAAATCATCTCTTATATGACAAATTGTATTTATAAATCTTGTGTGTGTAGTAGTTTTTGTCGAAAACAACTCGGCCAAACATAAAGCATTTATAAAATTAAAAGTGAACTCTTACTGTAGCTATAAGTTAACGTTATGGTGTGTGGTCGGCGTGTTGCATGATTTTCATAAAGGATTTTTTATTTACAATACAGATTAAGAAAATTCCATTGTTCTTACAAAAACATGTGACATCGAATTTGTTCCAAAGTGTAACGCACATTTTTAGTATTTTCAATAACTTTCACAAAAGTTATATTTTTTGAGTAAATAGTAAAATAAACTGAAAAAGTGAAAGTCCAACTCGTCAGCCTAGTGCATAAAGTTTTTTGCATATTTAGCTTTCAGATATTTTGTGGCTTGAGTTATCATGGCAGAAGCAGGTATCTTAATTAAATTCAAGTTATGTTAGTAATATTTTTAATATATAATAATGTGGATAAAGTGAGGACAAGTAAGAATATTCCAACAGCAAATTATTTTTCAGTCCAAATTTACATAACGATCTGCACGTGTCTTTCACGCTCATTTCGTGCTGAGATGAATTCAAATGATGAGATCGACCTTTAGACAATCTTTATATCAATTCAATACTTCATATCAAAACGCTTTTTCTTTTTATTTTGAATAGCAATACATCCTTACAAGATGCAAGCTCAAGAAGTTGTGGCTTACATAAATGCATTTTAAAAGGTAATTTTTTCTTCGTCCAATAATTTTCGTACAAATCTAAGTGATGTATTATCTTTTTACAGTATTGAATCATATTCCTGGAACTATTTACCATATAATGAAAGGAACAGAAACCCTGCAGTTTGGCGTAATCTTGGCACTCATAACAAAGTTATGTTGATATAAATTTCGTAGCCATTGTATCGTTTATTCGCATCTGTGTATATTATGGGTTCATTTTCGTCTAAACCAGTTCTTACAGGAAAAGAAGAAAGACTTTTAAACGAAGCCAAACGATATGTTGAGAAGAATGGTCTTAATTACCATATAATGAAAAGAACAAAAACCCTGCAGTTTGATGACAGTTTAACATTGACGACATCGTTCATCTTCTTTAAATTTCTTGGCAATTTAACCATCAAATTATCTATTATCTCTGGGATAATATGGGTTCATCTTCGTCGAAACCAGTTTTAACAGATAAAAAAAAGGACTTATAGCTAAGGTCTCACAATATGTTAAGAAAAATGGACTTGATGGTGTAAATAATTTCTACAATGATCAATTAGCTCCTACATGGGAAAAGTTTGAGTTAAATTTCGCCGTAACTGAATCAAGCAATTCAGGAAGGTTATCACTCATAAACGCTTTTGCAGGGTTACTTTCTTTTTCTTCTTTTGCTAAAGTAATGGTATACGTTTACACGTTATCTGTGTTTGTTACTTTATAAAAATAAGGAATGTAATGTATTTAATAATGCAACAATATTTTACCCAGATTAAAAGCTTGCAAACAAGAGGCATCTCTAAATGACGTATCAACTTTGGGAGCTGCGAATTTTCATTTTAAATACAAAAATGTCGAGCTCTGGGATCTACCTGGCATCGGAACACCTGAAAATCCCAATCTTAAAACATACTGCAAAAACGTTGGTCATTTCCAGAAGTACGACGCATTTCTGATATTTAGCAAATGAAGATTTACAGAAAATGAAATACAACTGGTTAAGAAAGTTTCAAAAGAGCTCCATAGACCTTTTGTTTGTGTTCATACGTATGCACATACAGACGTTAAGAATGCCGAAGAGGTTGATGGGTTACAGATTAACAAAGAAACTGCAATGGAGGGAATAAAGAAATTGTACTTTAATAACCTTAAAGGTTTGGTAAATGATCCAACTGATATCTACGTAATCGAAGACAATGACAGGGGGGAATTGTCTTCGATTACGACTGTCTGCCTGAAGAGGTTATCTTGAAGTTGCTGAAACGACGAAAAGATTACTTTTTGAATTGCTTGAACCACGTCAATTACAAAAACAAGGAACTAACCGAAATAGAAAGACGTTTAGCAGAAGCTGCGTTTCACGTTAAAAAATATGGCTTAGTTGATGTTGATGAATTTATTCGAAATCAAATTGAATCATGGAAAATTATGGAGGTACACATTGCTATAAGTGGGAAAATTGGAGCAGGAAAGTCATCTTTCATCAATGCCATAAGAGAGTAAGTATTTGTCTTTCAAATGACACTAAATAGTCATGCAATTGAACATTTTTCAGAAAATTTTGCAAAAAATTATTTTCCTTGAAAATTCATCAATGTTTTGTACACCAGATTTAATTTGAAAAAACCCAAATAGTTAAACAAAGATAGATACAGGAGACTCCGGGACTGGGAAATCATCTTTTATTAACGCCATAAGAGGGTAATCATAACTTTCCATTAACAATGACATTAGGTGCATTTTACATAAGCCGAATTATAACGAATTCGGTGCATGAAAATGCGAAGTTCGAAACGGGCCTTAGTTTTTTGTTTCCAAATGTAATTGCATTCCCTTAGTAACTACAACAGAAATGTACTTTTGTTTTATCATACACCATGTTGCTAATTATATGATTAAGGCAAAACTGTTTGTCTTTCAAGCTGTTAAAATTCTATGATAAATAGTTCTTAGAATGAAATGCTATATAATCGCACAAATATAAGCAATACAATAATTATTACTTTACAAGGTTTCCTAATCAACTTCTCATCTTAGAAGCACTTTTGATAAAACGCAATATGCCGCAGAATTTGAGAATAAACGTATTAACAATGGTGAAAATGTTCGGCTCAGGCTTGTGTTAGAGTTTTTAAGATGATAACAGAATCCAAACCTAACAACAGTGAACCATGTTAAGAAACACTGACAAATAGCTACATGAATATAAAGTTGTCATACTTTCGAAGTTTATTTTGTTTCAGACTTACACCAAACGAAAAGGATGCAGCACCAGTTGGTATCTCGGAAACCGAAACAGAACCCACTGAGTATAGTCATCCTAAACCAAAAAATATCAAACTCTGGGATCTACCTGGTATTGGAACACCTGAAAACCCCGATCTTGAAACATACTGCAATAACATCGGTGATCTAGAGAAGTACGACGCATTTCTCGTTTTTAGCAAATCAATATTCACAAATCGTGAGAGAGTTAGCTGAGACGATTTTAAAAATGTCCAACAATCCTTTTTTTTTGTTTGCACTTACGTTGACATTGATGTCCATAATGCCAAGTTAGACAAAGGAAAAGAATTTAACGACGAAGAAAAGTCTGTATTGTTAAAAATAAAAAAAAATTGCATGAAAAATTTGAAAGATTTAAGGAAGGATAAGACAGATTTTTACCTGATTGATGCGAGATTTAAGAAGAAATATGACTTTGAACGTTTGTATGAAGATGTTTACGAGAAGTTGTTCCTACCAAGACTTGAATTATTTCTAGATTGTTTAAACGATAAATTTTACAATAAAAGCAGATTCAAGTTAAAGTCACGACAAGGAAAACGTGATCCAGATACGATTTACGAAGATCTAATTGAATCATGGCGAAATGTCCATATAAATTTAGCCATAACAGAAGACCCTGGAACAGGAAAATCATCTTTTATCAACGCTGAGAGAGGGTAATAAACCTAAAATCGTGATAATAAAGAAGTGGTTCTTTTCAAGAAGCTTGTGTACTTAATATTTTTCTAAATTTAAGCTGTGTCAAACAAATCTTTTAAAACAAGAAATTTACAATTTTTTTCCATGTTAGATTTTTGTAAACACGACAATAAGTTTTTAATCCTAACGTTCACACATTTGACGATCAAATATTTCTTTTAAGAGTCAAAGCAAACGAAAACGGGGCAGCACCAGTTGGTGCCACAGAAACGACGAGCAAAGCGATTAAATACCTATTTCCAAAGAATGAAAACATCATTTTCTGGGATCTACCTGGCATTTGAACACCTACATATCCTAATCTTCAAGAATACTCTAAAAAAGTACGACGCATTTCTTATTTTTTGTAAAATAAGATTCACTCATTATGACAAAAAGCTGGCAAGAAAAGTTTCAAAAGATCTCAAAAAGCCTTTCTTTTTTGTTCGCACGAACGTCAAATGCGATCTTGAGAACGCCGAGAAAGATGAAGAACAAACGTTTAATGAGGTAGCCGTCTTAAAAAAATGAAGAAAAATTGTTTTGAAAATCTGAAAGATTTGATCCACAATGAAAAAGATATCTACATGATTGACCACAAGGCTCCAGACGGATATGATTTTCAACGTTTGAAAGAATCAATCGCTGAGGCCTTACCAGATGAAAAGAAGAAACATTTTGCTGATTCCTTGGCCATTGTAACTCATGCTATCATAAAATTAAAGGCTAACTTGCTGAGAGGTATGTCATTGATTGATATTATCATATAGGGGTTGTTCATAAGTTTTTATTGTTTGAGTATTTCAATCAATTTTCTTTTCAAGAGGAATCTGCATGAGTAATATAAATTAAGAGACGGTAATACATAATATGAATATTACAGGATTTATAAGCAAACGTTGAATTTAGTGTTATATTGCTCTTACATCAAACACGTTTTTGGGATAATATCTTTAACAAAAATATTATAGCCCAAAATATATTTTAATAGACCTATCATGATTTTTTTGGTTGGTAAAATTTCGTTTTTAACTGTAGACATCTTCATAAGATAGTAATGATACAATGTATGAATATAGCCATTTGTGAATTTTATGTAGGGCTATCATATATTGAAATTTGTTTTCTGCTTGGCAAATCTACGGCCATGATTTCAAATTTGTTAAATTTATAAATTTTAGAACAAGCACTTGTGGTTACACATTGTTTATTGTTAGCTACGTTTTCAAGAGAAACGACTCAACAATGGCTTATATCCCCAATTCTTCGGCTGTTCACGTTTATAAAAGACAAAGTGATCTCAAACAATTCAAATCCGACTTCATCTGCCAAGCACGCATCTCAGCTTATCTCAAATAAATTAATTCCTCGATTGTATGATGCATTAAATGTGCCAAAAGCAAAATCTGATGAAATCATGAATAAGCTTTTAGACGAGGAGTCCTTTAAAAGTGTGGAAGAGTTACCACTGGAAGTTACAGTTTATTTCCTTATAAAGTACATTGATCGTCTTGAAAAATATGCTATAGAACAATGTTAGAGATAATTCACAATAACGCACGAGCTTTTAAAATCATCACAGATTTTCCTTTTGCATGAGACTGTTTACAAATTTCTGTGAAATTTAAAGGCTCCATAACCATGAAGGGGCCTAAATTCTTAACCAAGTTTGTATTGATTAATTCCTAACTTATTTTTTTTATCAACTTAGCCGTTGTGTATTAGCTTGTACGAAATGTTAAATATTTACTTGGTGTAGCTACATATATTTAAAGCTGTGAAAAAACTTCACAAGCATTTATGAACAGCAATATTTGAAATAAGCAATCAACTTCAGTTCTTTTACTCTCAAATACTGAAGTTTACTTCATATCAACTTTGCTCAAACGCAAATTCAATAAAAAATAAATATAAAATGAGGAGTTTTCTCTACCTATGATTGAAATATCAAGAAAACAACTAAATCGACATGCCCCCACTTTATGCAACACTATTTTTGTGTCTACATTATCAAGATTTAAAATCATGCCTAATTTACTGCAATTTACAGCTAAAATGCCTAAAAATAAACGAAAAATATTTATATTAATGTCTAGAACACAGTCATAGTAAGTTGTCAACTGAGAGAGATACAACGATAAAATACTTTTACTGTTTTCTATTTCTGCAGATTTTGCTTTGTGAGATTGAGCTGAACAACGGTTAGCCATTTTTTTATTGCTATTTTACTCATCATACACAACATGGCAGTAATTCATATTTAAGTGAGCAAAGTTACATCCAGTTATTTCACAATAAGTTGGTAATGCGCATGCGTCAAATGCATTTTTAAACCGAACGTATTAAAATTCAAAATTCCAAAATTCAGACAGTTCACATCAAATGCAGCAAAACGAATGCATTTTCAAAATATTGAAAAATAACGACATCCTTTGATGGCATAATCCGTCTCAATGGCAAATATTTTGTCTTTAAGTGATTCATCAAAAGATTAGGAAATTGTTAAGAATTCTTCAGGATCAAAATTCGCATCTTGTTTGCATCATTTAAAATTTTAATGATTTAAGACGCTATGCATTTCAAGAAACAACTCGTCATGTGTCAAAGTCTACGATCTGTTAAGAGTGAATCAACTTTTATTTATGTCAGTTATGTCATCCAGCGTGGGAGGACGAGTCATCATCAAAATAAAGCCAATTTGACTCATCCCCCCACGCTGAATTGCTCTTTTTAAGGTGATATTCACACTTGTCACCACGAAAATGTCTCTGTTTCAAGTGATTTCCTATAATTACAATAGACTTTCTTTACAACAGTATTATTTGCATATTTGCATCTGGAACTATTGAAGATTTTATGATTTTTAAAATTAGAGAATTCGCTTATTCATATATTTGTAACATGCATTCATTCTCGCTAATATTAAAGAAATTTCTTTTATGTAAGGTACGAATAATATTTTTATGGCATTCATATTATATAGATATATGTAGCATAACAGTGAATTAAAACATGAAATTAAGATATGCAAATATCCCAAAAACTTTTATGCAAGGTTCTGTTGGAAAAAACCCAATAACATTGCATTAAATAAGGTTGTTTTTTCAACAAATTAATCGTCCAATTTAAACAATATCCCGGGTGGTAACTTTATGTACAATTTAACTGCTGTTAATCGTGCTCAAGCCGATTTCTTCCTTGTCAAAAACTTATTTCATTTAAAAGTGAACCGATTTACAGAAACACACAAGCATTTTGAAGACATCATTCCGCGTACTTTATTCCATAACTGTAAACGAGATGTTTATATTTTTTCATAATATTATATTTAATTCAAGAATTGTTTATCATAATATTTCTGCAACTTAAGATAAAAGCAGTTTATATAATTGGCCTTGATGGCAAAATACGTGCATTCCTGTTGCTGCGTAATTAAAAGAAGGGAATTACAATTGGAAACCAATAGGTACATGGGAGATTTATCGTGTGCTAATTATCAACGTGCTCGCAACGCGTACCTAAATGAAAATAATGTTAAACCAATCAACTATTAGTTATTTCAAACAATTCTAAATTAGAGTTGACGTTTTTAACAATATCAGCAACTGTAGCTATTTTTTGTACCATAAAGTATAAAATAAGGTGTAGTTGTTTAAGGATAAATAAAATTTTTTAGGCAAACAAGCACCATGCGTTCTGGTCATTTACTGCAACTTTTAATTGTTGCATCCCAAATGTCAAGAGAAACTTTTTCCATATCATTAATGCAGTTTGAAAGAAAATTATGAACGCTAGAAAACGATGACGTTGTTGGCAACATCAGAAATTCATGTTGAAAAGAGTTCGCATCCCCAGAATATTTCGATAAGAGAGCAGATGATTCTTCACTTAACGCCTTAAATTTGTTAGTTCCTTCATCGGGAAGACTGAATTTGTACTTGTATAAAGCTATTTCTTTTAAAACCAAAGTTATGTTGAAACCAAGTCCATCTCCAGAAAGGCGAAGAATGCTCACACAAGCTGCAACACCTGCCATTACGGTTGCTCGAACTACAAATGTTATAAGAAATACTTGTACAAGATGGAATTAAGGAAATCTGCTAAGAATCGTTTAACTTAAAGAATGTGTATCAACCAAGGTGCTTTGCGCTCTTTTGTTCATGTTTACATCTTTGCTTTTTAAGCTTGCGGCACACTGAATGCAAATTCGTCATTATGCGTCGTTTAATTTATTCAAAAAGTTAGCAAAAAACATTGACTAAAAACTCTATTTTACATTAATTATTATCGTTTATCTAAGTTGCATGGACTACATAAACGAAATCCATCATTTTCTTGACTCACAAAATGACTGTCACGCCTTGATTAACGCGCAATGCATCATGGTTAACCCACATTCTTTAAAATAAATTCACATGCATAAAACCAGAACAGCATATTCATGAATGAATACATGGCTACGGCACTGCAGATAATTTCTCACAAATAACAAACCTTTCAATAACTTAGCCTTTCGTTCAATGCTTTCACGAATCACATTACTCAAAGAAAGAATGAAGCACTCTCTTTTATATGCTGGTAACTCTGAAGTAATACATCGAATCAAATGATCAAATCATATTTCTCTGTTTTTTTGTTGTCGATCAAGAACACGAATTTTATATTGTCGTCCAGATCTTTCACATTGTAAAGACAGTCTTCCATCATTTTTTTCAATGCAGATGCTTCATCAAACTTTGGTCCTTCGTCATCCCTCGCATTATTGAGTTCGGTGTCAACATTGGTGCGAATAAAAAAGAAAGGTTTCTTGAGCTCTTTTGAAGCTTTCTTGGCCAGTTCTTTATCAAGGTTGGTGAATCGTTGTTGGCAAAAAATAAGAAATGCATCGTACTTCTCCAAACCACCAATTTTTTTACAGTGCCAGGTAAATCCCAGAAAATGATGTTTCTATTATTTGGGTGTGAATATGGAGTGGGTTCCTTTGTCGTTTCTGTACTCCCAACTGGTGCTGCACCAGCATCGTAAGCTTTAAGTCTGAAAATAATGATTCGATTTTGATTTTAACATATAGTAACATAAAAACCCAAAAATATTCATATAAAACATAAAATGCAGTATCATCATTCGTTTTATGACTGAATATAATGTTATTCTGTTTTATATCTACTTCAAAGTAAGGTGTTTTACCCTCTCACGGCGTTGATGAAAGATGATTTTCCTGTTCCAGAATCTCCTGTTATGGCAAGATTTATCGTCATCTTCTCGAACAAATTAATTTGGCGATGGTAAAAATCTTCGATACCAGAAACGCCATGATGATCAACGTGATCCTTTGCTTGGGCAAGAAGTGCGCATTGTTCATCTTTAGTAATTGAGCTATTTTTATAAATTACATCCTTCAAGGTCTCTAAAAAGCGTAAACTTCGACGTTCTATCAACTTTGAGATCACATTCCGACACAACTGACTGAATTTATCTGGAGCTTTGTCATAAATAGTGTAAATATCTTTTCCATCATCAATCAAATCCCCCAAGTTTTTCAAACAGTCTTTTTTTATGTTTTCCATGACTGATGCCTCATTAAATTGTGATCCTTCATCTTCTCTGGCTTTTTTCAGATCAAGATCAACGTTTGTGCAAACGCAAATGAAAGGCTTTTGAAGCTCTTTTGAAACTTTTTCAACTAGCTTTTGAACATGGTGAGTGAATTGTGTTTTGGAAAAAATAAGAAAAGCGTCATATTTCTTTAGACCACCCTCAATCTAGCAATATTATTCTAGATTAGGATATGTAGATGTTCCAATGCCAGGTAGATCCCATAGTTTAATATTTGCATTTTCAGGATGAATGTACTCAGTCGGCATTAAGTTTGAGTCATTATTACCAACTGGTGCTGCACACTTATCATTAGCTTGAAGTCTACAAAAATATATTGTATGAAACTTTTTTCGCATGTCAATTCCAGTGATATAAATTTAAACTTTAAATTTGAACACATATAACTTAGTTAAAACGCCCATTCTAACTCGAGAACAGTTTTTCTTATATTTGCAAAACATAATAGTCGTCAAATAGCACAACAAAATTCGCGTCAAACCAATCTTATATGAGGCAATGTGATATGGAAGTAAATCATGTTTCATGTACGTGCCATTAGTGACACTTGCGCCTAAACATTGCAAGAAAGATTTTGATTAGTTTAAGGACTTCGTGTCAATCACGCGTGATTTATGTAATCACCCAACAATACAGAAGAATTGGAGGTTTGACAAAGAACATGTAGCATCTCAAATATGTGCTATTAACAAAGATTAACTTACATATAGTTTTATTTTACTTTGCCTTGATTGAAAAAAAATATATATAGATAAGAAAATTTTTTCAAAGGGTGGTTTTCTCTTTAATTTGCAAAAAATGTTTCCTAATCTATTCCAACGTGATCAAGTATAGATTATTACCCTCTCACAGCGTTGATAAAAGATGACTTTCCTGTTTCAGATTCTCCAGTTATTGCAATGTGTATTTCCTTATTCATCCATAACTCGATGTGATGAATCATATCAACATCATCAATATCTTGAATGAAATCATCAACATTAACTGAACCATATTTCTTAATTCGAGACTCGGCTTCTTATTCAATGAATTCCTTGTTTCCGAATATGACTGGCTTCGATGAAGATGAACCCATTGCCGAAGAAAATGGACAATTTGATGGTTAAAATGCCAAGAAATTTAAAGACGATGAACGATGTCGTCAATGTTAAACTGTCATCAAACTGCAGGGTTTCTGTTCTTTTCATTATATGGTAAATAGTTCCAGGAATATGATGCAATATTTAAAAACAATAATGAATCACTTAGATTCGTACAAAAAGTATTGGAGGAAGAAAAAACTACCATTTAAAATGCATTCATGTAAGCCACAACTTCTTGAGCTTGCATTTTGTAAGGGTGTATTGCTATTCAAAATAAAAAGAAAAAGCGTTTCGATATGCTGTATTGAATTGATATAAAGATTGTCCAAAGGTCGATCTCATCATTTGAATTCATCTCAGCACGAAATGAACGTGAAAGACACGTGTAGATCGTTATGTAAATTTGGACTGAAAAATAATTTCCTGTTGGAATATCCTTATAAAAATATTACTAACATAACTTGAATTTAATTAAGATACCTGCTTCTGCCATTATAACTCAAGCCACAAAATATGTGAAAGCTAAATATGTAAAAAACTTTATGCACTAGGCTGACGTGTTGGACTTTCACTTTTTCAGTTCATTTTACTATTTACTCAAAAGATATATTTTTTGTAAAATTTATTGAAAATACTAAAAATGTGCGTAACACTTTAAAGCAAATTCGATGTCATATATTTTTGTAAGAACGATGGAATTTTCTTAATCTGTATTGTAAATAAAAATCCTTTATGAAAATCATGCAAAACGCCGACCACATACCATGACGTTAACTTATAGCTACAGAAGGAGTTCACTTTTAATTTATAAATGCTTTATGTTTGGACAAGTTGTTTTCGACAAAAACTACTATACACTTAAGATTTATAAATACAATTTGTCATATAAAAGATGATTGAACGAACTTATTGAGACGTATGTTCACACCAGACATATTTTTAAATTATGTAAAAAATTCCAGCAATGCCAGCTAACCATTAACTAATTATCAATAGCACTGAAAATGAAAAAGAGCATAAATGATGCAGCATTTCACTCCGTTTAAATATTGTAGAACCTTGATTGAGTCGACAGAATTTGGTTTAAAGCCAGATTTTTATGTGAAATGAAAAAATAAAAATGTGTATAATATGTATAAAAGCAAGTTTTTATCCTTCCCTTCAAGGCGTATCGTTTCTTCAGCTAAATATGCCCCTTGAATTCCAAAAATTCTTGTTTTTTTTTTGTGAAACAAAACGTGCAAACTTTCACATTACATTCACTTCAACAAGTGATATTCAATAAAGCGTTTGTTTATAAAATTTGTGGTGAATAATAAAAAATATACAGACGGATCACTGTTGTCTTTACCTATGATATTTTTCTTCTCACTTAAGTTGCTCGGCGCATGTCGTTCGCCATTTATTCAGCCATTCAATAAGACTTTTTCTCTTTTTCCAGTCATTAAAATATAGATATTCTCTAATTTACTATTCAGAATGACGTCATGTTATTTTAGTGGTTGAAATCAGTGACAAACTCTAACCAAAATGGAATTGTGGACGTGAAGATGCGGTTCACAACTGAGTGACCCTTCTGTGCTTGGGGTCAGACTAAAAACTTTTCCAAAAACTTTTGTTTGAAATCTTAGCGTAACCAAGCCAAATGTAAAGTGCAACGTTTTCCAGATCGTCGACGCACATTGAAAGAAAGTCATAAGCGTTATATTTTGTTGCTTATTATGCACAGCATACTAACACTTCAAATATGACAATGCGACAACATCGATCAAAATGATATCAGCTAATAAGCTCAAAAAAAGACCACAAAACACCTAAAACATACGCCAAAAAGACTAGAATGTTTTACCCTGTAACGGTTTTGATAAAAGATGATTTTCCTGATCCAGCATCTCCAGTTATGGCAATATATACATCCATGTTTCTCCATGATTCATTTTGATCTCGAATAAAATTATGAACATCATGTAAACCATGTTTTTTAACACGAAATGTGGCTTCTTCAAAACGTTTTTCTTGTTCGGTCAGTTCTTTGTTTCCGTAAAAGACACGGTTCAGAGAATCTAAAAAGTATTCTTTTCTACGTTTAAGCAACTTTAAGGTGACATCTTTGCGCAGACGATCGAAGTCATATTTCTCTTTGGCATTTTCATCAATGAGGTAGATATCAGTTTCATTATTCACCAAACCTTTCAGGCTTTCTAAGCAAGATTCTTTTATTTCCTTTATTGCAATTTCTTCGTTGACCTGTTTACCATTGCCATCTTTAGCATTCTTGACGTCATCATGGACATGCGGACAAACACAAAAGAAAGGCCTGTGAAGCTCTTTTGAAACTTTTTCAACCAGCTCTTTCTCATCATTTCTGAATATTGATTCGCTAAATATCAGAAAAGTGTCGTACTTCTTTAGACCTCCATAGTTTTTACAGTATGTCTCAAGATTGGGATTTTCAGTGACATGTAAGTCGCCGAGTTTGATATTCTTGAATTTAGGATGAGAATATGTAGCTTCCAAAGTTGATTTGTCAACCGGTTCTGCCTTCTTTCTGTATAAAATATTGATACATTATAACTTGAATATGTTGTATAGATAATGACAACCACAATAATGTGTGATCTTTATGCAGCCTTGTTATGTAATACAAACAAGAAGTGAGTTACCCTGCAATGGCTTTAACAAATGACGACTTTCCTGATTTGCTTGATCCAATTATGGCAAAATATAGATCAGATTTCTCCCATTCAGCAACTTTTTCATTGTGGAAGTGAGTTCTACCATCAAGTCTATTTTGTTTCTTAAATTGTCTGGCCTTCTTTAAAATCTTCTCTTCGTCAGATTCTATTTCAACTGATTTCGATAAAGATGAACCCATAATATGCCAAAAAATTGAAACTTCAAGAATTCTCACGTTAAATTACGAACAATTTCGTCCAAGTTAAACGTTATAGTTGTTACAAAGCTAACAGCAAACTGCAGGATTTCTGTTCTTTTCATTATATGATAAATAGTTCCTGGAATATGATGCAATAAAAATAAATGAAAGGGCTTCATTCTAAAAAAGTACAGAGAAGAAATTATCAATTTTTTTAATGTAGTCACTCATGCCTCCATTCCAATTATTTGCTCTTTTTGTAAAGCTTCGTGGGAATAAAACAAACATAAGTTAGATTTTGATATGCTTCGTTGAAAATAACATACATAAACAAGCCGATATTAATTCATTAGTATTAGAAGATAGTCCAAAGGTCGCGATAAAAAAAACTTTTCTTTTTTCAGTTATTGTGCATTCTGCTCTTGAGATTGAAAGAAAGATGGTGTCATTAATAATTTGAAAAGAAGTCATAGAGCTTTAAATGAACATTGAGTTAAAAGAAACCGAGTTTGTTTAACGGAGAGTCTTAAAAATATTAACGTGCCATGTCAACTAGAGCAGGTACAATTTTCATCAAACAGTTTCTCCTCACTTTGAAGTCTGGCTAACAATAAATTTTTGTAAGATTAAAATATATAGTATGAAGAGTCCCTGATTTTTGATTTACAGATATTCTGTAAGAGTATATGAGAGACTAAGACTTGTTGCATATATGCTAATGGATAGCATTCGTCTGTGCAAGTAACTTAACCGGCACGGTGAGGGCGCTTTCCAGTGAGCGGTTTAAAGTTAAAGTGACTGACAAACATTTCTTCAAAAGGACATCCTCTGGAAATAGTTCCCCATTACAAGGTGCTTGGCTTAACAACACGGAACAATCTTAAATAAAATGAACATGTCGCTATTACTAAAACATGCTTCATACAGTCTCCATATGATTTTCGAGTGCTTAAACCAAAGGCATAATTCCGCTCAATGTGAATTATTTTTATTAACCATGCCTTTGTTCGATCTGTATTGGAGTACTTTTATAATGTATGGAAAATAAGTCTACTTGTTTATCTGGCTGATTCAATAGAGAAAAGAACACTAAATAAAACCTATCCAGGTATGACTTGTCGTGGAACTTTGAGTGAAAATGTGATTGTTTAAGGCTAACATTTAATGGCGTCAGTTTTATCGTTTGTTTGGATACTTCTATGTGTGTTATAGATTTTAAGCCATTGTCACTAATAGTAATAATTAAAAGCATCAATTTGTTCTCAATAATAAGTTTGATACACTTTTTAGAGTTCATTGTGTTCAAATACATGTTTCTATAAATTTCATCACTGTACTACTTAATAGAACAATAAATGCGATTTCAGTTTTTTGAAAATCCACCAATGACTAAATCAAATTTATGAACTCTCATGGTTACTATCATACATTCCTAAAATGGAGAATGGGGTAAAATTACTGAATAACATTCTATTGTATCCTTTCATAGATTGAACAGGATGTAATTTGAGTTGGCTATTGCTCATCTTTTGCATTCCATATTTTGAAAGAAATCCATTGATTTTAAAATGAGTAAATAGTCAAATATTACGTCGCAGGTCTAAGAATTCCATAAATTAGAGCTTACAATATTTTTAGCAAGTTCACTATACATATGTCTTTGTGCAGGTATGAAATTAAGTAAGTTGTCATTGTTTTAAGAGAAATAATATTGGGCAAACAGGCCCCGTGCGTTCTGGTTAACTTCCGTTGTTTTGAACTGTTTCATCCCAAATGTCAAGAGCAACCTTTTCTAGATTGTTGATGCACTTATGAAGAAAATGATACACCATAAAAAACGACGTCGTAGATGATAACAGCGGGCCAACAATGGGAATAAATTTTGTGTTCTCTTCCAAACCAAGCTCCAGAGCAAATTCTGCAATAGAAGTCCACGACTCATTGACCAAAATATATTTAAATAAGACAGTTGACGATTCTTTGTTTAAAGCTTCGAATTCTTTGGTTCCTTTATCAGGAAAGCCAAACTGGCGACGGTAAATATGAATTTCTTGAAAAACCACAGCTAAGTTGAAAGCTGATCCAACTACAGGAACAGGAGCAGCATTTACACCAGCTGCGGCAACAGCCACTGCACCTGCACGAGCTAGAAAAGACATAAATAAAATTTATGTCAAATCAAAATGAGTGATCGAGCAAGTGGAATTAAAAAGTTCTGCTAAGAATTTTCCAGCCAGGTACAATTCAAACCAACCAAAATGGCGTATAGCCATCTTGATAAATAGGTAAACATATTCATGTATGATTGCCTACTTCACTGGAGATTATTCCTTATAGATAACTAACTTTTCAATAACTTGGCCTTTCTTTTTATGCAGTCACGTGTTAAATTGGTCAGAGAAAGAATGAAACATTCTCTTCTACGTTCAGGTAAAACCAAAGATATTGCTTCAACCAAACGATCAAAATCATATTTCTTTGGAACATGGTTGTCAATCAAGAAGATATCGCTTTCATCTTTAATGAACCCTTCCAAGTTTTTCAAACAGTTTTTCCCCATTTCTTTTAAGACAGATGCTTTATCAAACTTTGGTCCTTTGTCGTCTTTGGCGTTTTTGAGATCGATATGAACGTGAGTGCGAACAAAAAAGAAAGGCTTGTTCAGCTCTTTCGAAACTTTCTCAGCTAACTCTTTGTTATATTGAGTGAATCGTGTTTTGCAAAAAATAAGAAAAGCGTCGTACTTCTCTAGACCATCAACTTTTTTGCAGTATTTGTTAAGATTGGGAAATGTAGGTGTTCCTATGCCAGGTAGGTCCCAGAAAATAATATTTTCATTATTTGGATGAGCATATTTAGTGGGCACTGTGGTTGTTTCTGTAACACCAACTGGTGCAGCTTCCTTTTCGTGACCTTTAAGTCTAAAAATGACAATTTAACATTTGGGAGTTGGTTATTGCAAATTTATGACATTGCTACACATGCAGGGTTGTAAAATAAAAATTCCAAAACAATATATGCATTTGACATATAAAACATGCTTTATATTAATACAATTTCACCATTTTGCAACTGTCAGTAACGACTCCAGGTTTAATACCATGTAAAAGTAAGTTTAATTAACTACCCTCTTACGGCGTTGATGAAAGATGATTTTCCGGCTCCAGAATCTCCCGTTATGGCAAGATTTATCTTAACTTCCTTGAACGAATTAATTTGACGATGGTAAAAATCACCAATTCCACAAATGCCTTTCCGGTCAAAGCGATCCTTAGCTTCGGCAAAGCTCCGATCATCATCAGTTATTGAGTTATTTTTGTAAATTACATAGGTTAAAGACCTTAGAAAACCTTGACTTCGACGTTCTAGTAACTTTGAAACGACATCCCCGCACAAGCGATTGAAATCGTATTTCTCTGGAACCTTGCTATCAATTAGAAAGACATCTTTTTCGTCGTGAATATAATCTCCCAAATTTTTCAAACTATCTTTTCTCATGTTTTCCAAGACAAAAACTTCATTAAACTGTGGTCCTTTATCATCTTCGGCGTTTTTGAGATCTTGATCAATGTTGGTGCGAATGAAAAAGAAAGGTTTGTTGAGCTCTTTTGAAAATTTTACAGCAAGTTCTTTGTCATCGTTAGTGAACCGTGATTTTGAAAAAATAAGAAATGCGTCGTAACTTTTCAAGTCCATTTTTTTGAAGTATTCTGTAAGATTTGGATATTTAGTTGATCCAATACCAGGAAGATCCCATAGCTTGATGTTTTCATTTTTCGGATGAATATACTCTGTGGGTTCTGTTTGGATTTCGGTAACATCAACTGGTGCTGCGCCCTTTTCATGACCTTTAAGTCTACAAAATATGATGTCAAACTTTTGTCACACGTTGATAATCGTGATAATTTTTTCTGCAAAATTTGCGCAAAAATATTCATCTATTTTATTGTCATTTGAAAGAATATTTACTAACCCTCTTACGGCATTTATGAAAGATGATTTTCCTGCTCCAATTCTCCCAGTTAAGGCGAGATGTATTTTCATGTTCTTCCATGATTCAATTTGATCTCGAATAAATTTATCAACATCAATTAAGCCATTTTTATTTATGCGGAACTTGGCTTCTTCTAAACGTCTATCTTCTTCGGTTAATTCTTTGTTTCTGTAAATGACAAGGTTCAAAGAATGTAAAAAGCATTCTTTTTGACGTTTAAGCAACTTTAAAATGACGTCGTTACGCAGACGATGAAAGTCATATTTTCCCGTATCATTATTGTCAATTATGTAGATATCTGCTGTATCCTTTGCCAAACCTCTCAGATTGTCAATGCAAAGTTTTCTTATTCCATCATATGCAATTTCGCCATTTGTTTCTGATTGTTTATTGGCATTCCGAACGTTGACAACTACATGCGTATAAACACAAACAAAAGGTCTCTGAAGCTCTTTTGAAACTTTCTTAATCATGTTCTTCTCATGGTCTGTGAAGTTTGATCTGCTGAAAATCAGAAATGCGTCATACTTCTCTAGACCACCATTGTTTTTGCAATAGGTTTCAAGATTTGGATTTTCAGGTGTTCCAATGCCGGGTAGATCACAAAGCTTGATATTTTTGTATTTAAAATGAGAATACGTTGTTTTCCAAGTTGATACGGCATTTCGTGCTGCCTCGTTTTCGTCAGTTTCAGATCTGTGTAAAAAATGGTAAATATGTGATATACTTAAATGACAAACACAAATAATGTGCCAATGTTTCACAAGCCAATTCTCTTACGTCCTTGGCATCCAAATACATTGTTTGTGAAGCGAAAATAATAAAAATAAATTACCCTTTTATGGCGTTTATGAACGATGATTTTCCCAGATCTCTTGATCCAATTATGGCAAAAACTAGCTCAAATTTCTCCCATATAGCAACTTGTTTATCGTAGAAATCATTAATGCCTTTAAGACCATTCTTCTCAACATATCGTCTGGCTTCGTTTAAAAGTCTTTCTTCTTTTTCTGTAAGAACTGGTTTAGACGAAGATGAACCCATAATCTACGCAGATGGAAATGGAGGATCAACTGCCTAAGAAATTTATATAAACATAACTTTGTTATGGATGCCAAGATTACGCCAAACTGTAGGGTTTATGTTCTTTTCATTATATGGTAAATAGTACCAGGAATATGATGCAACACTGTAAAACGATAATACATCACTTAGATTCGTACAAAAAGTATTGGAGGAAGAAAAAACTACCATTTAAAATGCATTCATGTAAGCCACAACTTCTTGAGCTTGCATTTTGTAAGGATGTATTGCTATTCAAAATAAAAAGAAAAAAAGATTTCGATATGCTGTATTGAATTGACATAAAGATTGTCCAAAGGTCGATCTCATCATTTCAATTCATCTCAGCACGAAATGAGCGTGAAAGACACGTGCAGATCGTTATGTAAATTTAGACTGAAAAATTATTTGCTGTTGGAATATCTTTACTTGTCCTCACTTTGTCCACAATATTATATATTAAAAATATTAATAACATAACTTGAATTTAATTAAGATACCTGCATCTGCCATTATAACTAAAGCCACAAAATATGTGAAAGCTAAATATGTAAAAAACTTTATGCACTAGGCTGACGTGTTGGACTTTCACTTTTTCAGTTCATTTTACTATTTACTCAAAAAATATAACTTTTGTGAAAGTTATTGAAAATACTAAAAATGTGCGTAACACTTTGGAACAAATTCGATGTCATATATTTTTGTAAGAACGATGGAATTTTCTTAATCTGTATTGTAAATAAAAAAATCCTTTACGAAAATCATGCAACACGCCGACCACATACCATGACGTACGTTAACTTATAGCTACAGTAAGAATTCACTTTTAATTTCATAAATGCTTTATGTTTGGCCGAGTTGTTTTCGACAAAAACTTCTATACACACAGAAGATTTATAAATACAATTTGTCATATAAAAGATGATTGAACGAACTTATTGAGACATATGGTCACACCACATATATCTTTAAATTATGTAAAAATTCCAGCAATGCCAGTTAATCCATTAACTAATCATCAATAGCACCGAAAATGTAAAAGAACATAAATGATGCAGCATTTCACTCCGTTTAAAGATTTTAGAACCTTGATGGAGTCGACAGAGTTTGATTTAAAGCCACATCATTTTGTGCAATGAAAAATAAAAGTGTGTATAATATGCATAAGAGCAAGTTTTTATCTCTTCCTTTAAGGCGTATCGTTTCTTCAGCTAAATATGCCCCTTGAATTCCAAAAATTCTTGTTTTTTTGTTAAACAAAACGTGCACTATATGCCCTTCAACAAGTGATATTCAATACAGCGCTTGTTTTATAAAATTTGTGGTGAATAATAAAAAGTATACAGACGGATCGCTGTTGTCGGAACCTATGATATTTTTCTTCTCGCTTAAGTTGCTCGGTGCATGTCGCCGGCAATTTTTCCAGCCAGTCGATAAGACTTTTTTACTTTTTCCAGTCACAAAAATAACATGAAGTCATTTCTTAAGTATAAATATTCCCTAATTTACTACTCAGAAATGACGTCATGCTTTTTTAGTGGTTGGAAAAAGTGACAAACTCTTATCAAAATGGAATTGTGGACGTGAAGATTCGGTTCACAACTGAGTGACCCTTCTGTGCTTGGGGTCAGATTAAAAACTTTTCCAAAAACTTTTATTTGAAATCATAGCGCAACCAAGCCAAATTTAAAGAGAAACGTTTTCCAGATCGTCGACGCACATAGAAAGAAAGTCATAAGCTTCTTTTCTGAAGCAAACTTTAATCCTTGTAACACAAGTCTAGCCTTTCATTCATGCATACATTTAACACAGTTATGACTCAAGATACTAAAAGATAATATCTGCTAAAAGATTTGGTGACGTATACTTTGGAAAAGCAGAACTAAGAAAGAAAATTAAAATGTCGTGTTATGTATAGCTACATACAATTCTGGTTATACTACTAAGAGGAAGAAAAGGATAGGAAAGTACATCTATATCATACACATGATAGATAAAACAGTTGATCGTTAAATCTGTAAACATTTTCGGGAATGAACAAGCAAAATTGTAAAATAAGCATTATAAATATCATAAGATATAATTATTACAAGTTGTTGTTGTACTGAGAAAACGCCTACTGCATGCAATTTAATTAGCATTGCCCTTAACTGTTTCATCACAAATATCAAGAGCAACTTTTTCCATTTCGCTGATACACTGACAAAGAAATTTGAAAACGAAATTGAGGTTGCAGAAGACAAAAACTGCCCAGCAAATGGAATGAATTTTGTGAACTTTTCAATACCAATATCCACAGCACTATCTGCAAATAGAGGCAGTAATCGGTAGACTGTTTTAAAATGTATTTCAATATGATAGAAATTGATTCATCTCTCAAAGCTTTGAATATTTCAGATCCTTCATCAGGAAGGCCAAACTGGCGACGGTAACGATGAACTTCTTCTAAAATCAAAACTAAGTTAAAAGCTGATCCAGCTGCAGTAACAGGAGCAGCGTTTACACCAGCTGAGGCAACAGCCACTGCACCTGCACGAGCTAGAAAAGACATAAATAAAATTTATGTCAAATCAAAATGAGTGATCGAGCAAGTGGAATTAAAAAATTCTGCTAAGAATTTTCCAGCCAGGTACAATTCAAACCAACCAAAATGGCGTATAGCCATCTTGATAAATAGGGAAACATATTCATGTATGATTGCCTACTTCACTGTAGATTATTTCTTATAGATAACAAACCTTTCAATAACTTGGCCTTTCTTTTTATGCAGTCCCGTGTCAAGTTTATGAAAGAAAAAATGAAAATTCTCGTTTACGTTCAGGTGTAACACGGAAGATATTGCTTCAATCAAACGATCAAAATCATATTTCCATGGGACCTTGTTGTCAATCAAGAAGATATCTCTTTCATCTTTAATGAATTCTTCCAAGTTTTTCAAACAGTCTTTCACCATTCTTTTCAAGACAGATGCTTCATCAAACTTTGGTCCTTTGTCGTCTTTGGCGTTATTGAGATCGATATGAACGTGAGTGCGAACAAAAAAGAAAGGTTTGTTCAGCTCTTTCGAAACATTCTCAGCTAACTCTTTGTTATATTGAGTGAATCGTGTTTTGCAAAAAATAAGAAAAGCGTCGTACTTCTCTAGACCATCAACTTTTTTGCAGTATTTGTTAAGATTGGGAAATGTAGGTGTTCCTATGCCAGGTAGGTCCCAGAAAATAATATTTTCATTATTTGGATGAGCATATTTAGTGGGCACTGTGGTTGTTTCTGTAACACCAACTGGTGCAGCTTCCTTTTCGTGACCTTTAAGTCTAAAAATGACAATTTAACATGTGGGAGTTGGTCATTGCATTCTAAATTTATGACATTGCTACACATGCAGGGTTGTAAAATTAAAATTCCAGAACGATATATGTATTTGACATATAAAACATGCTTTATATTAATACAATTTCACCAATATGTGACTGTCAGTAACGACTTCTGTTTTAATACCATGTAAAAGTTAGCTTTTTTGTTACCCTCTTACGGCGTTGATGAAAGATGATTCTCCGTTTCCAGAATCTCCCGTTATGGCAAGATTTATCTTAACTTCCTTGAACGAATTAATTTGACTATGGTAAAAATCACCAGCTCCACAAATGCCTTGGCGATCAAAGCAATCCTTAACTTCAGCAAAGCTCCTATAATCTTCGGTTATTGAGTTATTCTCTTAAATTACATAGGTTAAACACCTTAAAAAACTTTGACTTCGACGTTCTAGCAACTTTGAGACCACATCCCCACACAAACGATTGAAATCATATTTCTCTGGAACCTTGTTGTCAACCATGTAGATATCTTTTTCACTATGAATTAAACCTTCCAAGTTTTCCAAACAATATTTCTTCATTTTTTCCAAGGCAGATTCTTTATTAAAACATGGTCCTTCGTCCTCCTCCGCATTTTTGAGTTCGGTGTCAACATTGGTACGAACGAAAAAGAAAGGCTTGCCGAGATCTTTTGAAACTTTCTCAGCCAGTTCTTTGTCAAGTTGAGTGAACCGGGATTTGCAAAAAATAAGAACAGCGTCGTACTTCTTCAGACCACCCTCAATCTTGCAATATTCATTAATATTAGGATATTTAGGTGTTCCAAAGCCAGGTAGATCCCCGAGCTTGATGTTCCTCTTTTCAGGATGAATATATTCAGTGGGCACTGTTGTGTTTTCACAGAGGCCAGTTGGTGCTGAACCATTTTCATAAGATTTAAGTCTAAAAAAATATATTATGTTAAATGTATATTATGTTATTATACGTTGACAAACAAAGTGCGACAAAGTAAAAGTCAAAACATGCAACAGTAAGGTACATAAAACACATAACAATATTAGCTTCAAAAAGAAAATTACCTTTATAATAATTTGCAAAGTATTATTGTAATTAAAAAAAGGAGGTAGTTACCTTCTCACAGCGTTGATGAAAGATGATTTCCCTGTTCCAGAACTTCCTGTTATAGCAATGTGTACATCCATGTTTCTCCATGATTCAATTTGATCTTGAATAAAATCATCAACATCAGTCAAACCATGTTTACCAACGTGAAACTTTGCTTCTTCTAGAAGTTTTTCTTGTTCGCTTAACTCCTTGTTACCGTAAAAGACACCGTTCAAACAATTCAAAAAATACTCTTTACGACGTTTAAGCAACTTTAAAATGACATCGTCGCGTAGACTGCCAAAGTCATATTTTTCTGTATTATTGTTGTCAATTACGTAGATATCACTTGTATCTTTTACCAAACCTTTCAGCTTGTCAAAGCATTTTTTTCTTATTTCATATAATGCAGTGGCTTCCATAGAACCGCGATCTATTGAGGTCTTCGTCATTCGTTACATCAACATGCCCATGCGTATGAATACAGAGGAAAGGCCTTTGGTACTTTTTTGAAACTTTTTCAATCAGTTCTATCTCATGGTTTGTGAACCTTGATTTGCTACAAATTAGAAATGCGTCGTACTTCTTGAGATCACCGATGTTCCTGCAATATGTTTCAACATTGGGATTTTCAGGTGTTCCGATGCCTGGCAGATCACAGAGTTTGACATTTTGGTATTTAGGATGAGGATACGTTTTCCTCGAAGGTGATACATCATTTAGTGATGATACTTCTTCGTATGCTTCAAATCTGTTCAAAGTTTTACAAAAACAAATTAGCCAAGCCTTAGTATTCTGCTAAATTTTATCGTCAATAGCAAGATTAAAAAAATGAATTACCCTATTATGTTGTTGATGAACGACGACTTTCCTGAATTGCTTGATCCAATTACGGCAAAATATAAATCAAACCTTTCCCATTTAGCAACTTGTTGATTGTAGAAACTATGTAGATCATCAAATCTTTTTTTACATATTGCTTGACTTCTTTTAAAAGTTCTTCTTCTTTTTTTTTTAACACTAGTTTTGACCAGGATGAGCCCATAATAAGCCAATAAGAAATGAAAAATTTATTGGCAAAATTGCAAAGAAATTTGGAACACTGTAAATGTTATTGTTGTCGCAAAGCTTACAGCAAACTGCAGGGTTCCTATACTCTTTACATTATATGATAAATAGTTCCAGGAATATGATTCAACACAAAAAAATAAAGTATTTTGTTCAGAGCTTTAAATAAAGTCATCGACTAAGAAAAAATTATAAATGTACTTATGACGACAGCAGTTACTAGAACTTGCTGTTTTGTAACGATATAACAAAATTGAGTTGAACTTCAATTTGCTCTATTCAAATTAACATAAAGATGCTAATATCGACGACACAAGATGTTCCAAAGGTCGATCTCAAGATTTGAATTTACCTCATGCAGCTTGGCTTGAGATGAACGTGAAATACACGTGCCTTTGTTTTACAACAAATAAAAGAATGGAAGAGAACTGACAATAAAATTGCCAGTACGAGTCTGTTTTTCTTAGATATGCACCCCCCTGAAAACTTTCTGGTTACGTCCATGGTTTCATATGCTTTACGTGTAAATTAAATCTCTCGAGAAAAAATCTCTGTAATTGAATATAAAGGTGAGCAAATTTCTGTTTTTCATTGCTTGTTGCGCACGCAACCATCTGTCAAAGGTAAGTTAAACCACTATTTAAATTTACAATTGGCCGAACAATTGTAACTATTTAACTCATATTGACTTACAAAAAACCCGAAATTTTACCTTAAATATAACTATCTAGTATCTACATCCAAAACAGATCACTTAGTAGGGTGCGTGCTCTAGTTTGAATTAGATTTTAGTGACTATTTTGGGGTGTGTTGGGGTCTTGTTTTGTAAAACTCTCTCGCTATTAAAACATGATGAAGAGATTTTTTTGGAAGTAGGCTGCATGAAACGAAAATCTTGCTTGAATTGCTTTTGAATAAAGTTCTTTATAACATTAAAATTTTGCATGGAAATTGACATCTCTCCACACTCCCAGTGTGGAGAGATGTCAATTATACAATGTTTATAACAATGTTTATAAGTTATTTGCTTTTTTAGGCAGGCTCCCTTTTGTTATGAGGCTGACAGCCTCTCATGCAAATAAAACATGAAAAAAACAATTCATGGTAGACAAATACATTAATCCACAAAGTACCAAAAATTTAGTAATTACAACATCATGTAGCCTAGCTGCTTGAAGTCCCTAGGTACTTAGATGGTTAACCTTCAATTTAAAATTTGGTTGCTAAGAATGCTCCATTTCAATCAGTAAATAAACTTATCACATCTCACATAAATTCTTTTAATCTCATCTATGATGTCTTACCACACAAACTCTAAATTACTAAAGCCATGTGTTAAAGATGGAAGTATAACTTAAATAAAAAATACTCTCAAACTTTTGTAGGCACAGAATACATGGAGAATAGGGATTTTAACAAATTTTGCTTTGGCTATTAAATATAAATACTTCAATGATTTCAGCATCTTGATATTTCTCATTTAGGTGAAAGTCAATTTCCTCACCAAAACATACCAAAACCAAAAACTTTTTAGTACAATTGTTTCCAAACCAAATAATCTGGAATCAATGAAATGAAGTGAAACAAATAAAATTCCCTTCTTACCTTGGTAAAGAGTCAATGTATTCACAACAGCACCATTCATATGACCAAATTGCAATTATTTCCAGCATTTTGGCAACAAGTCGTGAATAAAAGCTTCACAATGTAACTTGGTACCACAGTTGACAGTTTATGGCATTCCTTACCACGTGTTAATTGATTATACTTGTATAATTAACATTGAAAGATTGTTCGACAGCAGAAAAAAGACATTACTTTAGCAAAAACTAACCAAACCAAAAATAAGACAACAATTTTAGACAAAAAAGAGTAGTCTAAGGTAAATAATATAAAATTTCTCGTTTTTCTATCAGTATTGAGCGTCTGCATGGTGAATGAACACAAGGAAGAGATTACTAATTGGTTCATTACTTCATGTAATCAAAACGATAGTGATATATGTTTTATTTTGTACTTAGGCCTGGATGGAAAAATATTTTCCAGACATTTTACGTATTCTGTTGCCACAACTTTCTTTTTTTCCCTTCTGATTTATTGCCAAATACCTCAGATGAATAAAAATAAGTTCTTATGATGTTAAATTTTATTATTTATTAAATAACCAACAACTTACAAGGTTGGATTCTATCCATGAAGGAGAAATGCAGAATTTAAAAAAAGTTTTTTGGTTTACATTTATATTTAAAAGAAATCATTTTGCTGATTTTCAAGAAATTAAAAGAGTGTTTGCTAAGTGGCATGTTTAGTTAAAATAGAGAAATCACACGCGCGAGTCTCGAGAAACGTGATATTAGGTACATGAACTTCAGAATAATATGTGTTATTTACTACGCATAAAGTGCTTTCGATTAAGAAATATTTTGTGATGTTTATATAATTTTGACTGTTAAGTTTTTTTTTCATGTTTGTGAATTTTCTCCCTCTTTGTTTGCCGCATCGTAAGGCTTCAAAGCTTCTATTTCTAAACTTTTGATGCAATTCAAAAGATAATCATACGCCCAATTGACTTTGGCTGGTGATTCTTCTACTGACTTATCTTTCAAAGCTCTTCTTTGATTTCTTCCGATTTTTTTCTGAATCTTTTCATCGATTTTTCTTCGTATTTTTTTCTCATGCTCTTCTTCTTTGTGACACAATTCATCGATTTCTTCAGATGTCATCAGGGATTTTTTCAGCTGATCATACAAACCAAATACGTGATGATATCGAATGACTTCCATCGATATCAGTTCCACAAAACTTCAGGATTAGATTCAGCAATTACGAACAAAACAATCACCAATTGTACTTGAGCTGAAATATTTTTGAAAATATGAAAGAAATTAAAACTATAAACAGATATTAAGCAATTATTGGTTGAGGTTGAGCATGATGTCAAGAATTATTCAGACCAAGGTCAATGTTATCTGCCGAAGCGAAGCTGAGCATGGCGCATGCGTACTTCGTCATTAATCACAATCTCATTCCAGAATGAAACTCAACTCGCGTTTACATGAGGTTAAAACTAAATTATGATCCGGAATGAAATTTCAACCATTAGTATCTACATTATTTTTTGTCAAATAAATACTCTTTTAGCTACTGCAGATATCATTTTAAAACTGAGTATACCTCTCAAAAAGTTCGCCTTAATTCTTATTATAGCATGTGTAGATTTGTCCAAGGAAGCAACAAAACTCTCTTGTTTTTCCTCAGGTAACGATTTAGCAATCGATTCCTTCAAACGTTGAAAATCATATTTCTCTGTAACCTTATTGTCAATCAAGAAGACGTCTTTCTCATGGTGAATCAAACCTTCCAGGTTTTTCAAACAATTTTTCCTCATACGTTTCATGACAGATGCTTCATCAAACTTTGGTCCTTCGTCATCCTTCGCATTTTTTAGTTCGGTGTCAACGTTGGTACGAATGAAAAAGAAAGGCTTGTCGAGCTCTTTTGAAACATTCTCAGCCAGCTCTTTATCATGTTGAGTGAATCGCGATTTGCAAAAAATGAGAAATGCATCGTACTTCTCTAGACCACCAACTTTTGTACAATATTCTTTAAGATTGGGGTATGTAGGTGTTCCAATGCCTGGTAGATCCCAGAAAATGATGTTTTTATGATTTGGGTGTGAATACTCAGTGGGTTTCTTCCTCATTTCTATAATACCAACTGGTGCTGCTGCTTTTTTTTCACTAGCTTTGATACTGAAAGAAAAGACATGTCAGACGATCAAAAAATTTTACATTTTAATTAATGGTATAGCTTTAATCAATTACGTTTATTATTGGTAAGAACACAGACAATAAATGGTTTGTACAGGATTTCAATCTCCTCATTTGTGCTTCAAGCTAATTAAATATTTGAGGTATTTAATAAACGATTATTTTCTTGATCTTTATAATTTTCTTCAATGAGCTTTTTTATTATTTGTTTCACTGTTATTTTGATCAAAAGTTGAAAAAGTTATAACTTCAACTCATTCAACAGAAATTATTTTTAATTTAGAGCAATCAATAAATGTGTTACCCTCTCACAGCGTTGATGAAAGATGATTTTCCTGTTCCAGAATTTCCTGTTACAGCAAAATTTATCTCTGTGTCTATCCACAATGAAATTAAATTCTTGCTGTAAAATTCCAGAATCGTATCAACACTGTGTTTCTGAGCTTGTTTAAAGCGTTCCTTATTTTTCCTGGTGTTTAAGAAAACGGCCTGATTCAAACATTGCAGAAACAAATCTTTTCGACGTTTCAACAACTTCGACTCGATATCTCCAAGCAGACGGTTAAAGTCGTATTTGGATTTATCCTCTTTGTCAATTACGTAAATATCTGACTCATCCTTTACCAAATCTTTAACACTTTCTTTTCTATCCTTATCTTTGCCTTCATCAGTGTGTGCAATAATGAAAATGACCGGCTTTCTATGCTTTTCTAAAATTTTCTTGGCAATTGCCCTCTCATTCTTAAGTCTTGATTTAACAATTAAAAGAAATGCATCCAACTTCCTAAATTTAGGCTTCTTTAAAGTCGAATTCAATCTTAAATTCTTGAATTTGATTTCGGGATCTTTGTTAGAGTTGCGTCTATAAAAATATACATTTGGCATTTTACTATAAACTAAAGTGGGATCCAGTCAGTATACAATGAGCTGGCTTAAGGCCTTCAACCATTATAACACAAATGTTTGATGAAGCTGTTTGTTCCATCGCATTTACATTTTAATATAATCAATTTGAAAGCCGTTTGAAATTTACATAACAAATCAATATGTTCATATAAATTCAACTCAAAAAATGTTAGCTCAAAATGTGGTGTTTTTGTTTCTTCAAACATCCGCAAAGCTGTTATATCGATTTTTATTTCTTTAAAAATTAAAGTCTTTCAAATGTAATGAAGTATGTATCTCTTATATTTCTTTAATAATTAATATTTCAACTAAATCAAATTTGTTGTGACGTGTCATTTTAATTTTGAAAATATTAACAGAGTTCTTTTTCCATCCATGATTTTGAGAACTTCTATATTATTCTGAAACATTAAGTACGACATGGACAATTTTTAAAGCACAGTTAATCATAAATTGCGAGAAGGCGAAATCTGTTCAAGACAAATAACGATGTTGTGGCTTATAAATAAGTAGTTATACGTATTTTTGCGGACTTTACATCTGTTAATTCTTTATTTATTAGATTTTATTGGTTTGAAACCATTTTACAAAATTCATTTAACTGATTGAAGCAAACGACGCAATCTGTAAAATATAATTTATACGTGTCACCTATGTAGAAAATTAAAATCGTAAAACCAACCAGCAATAACTTACGGAGTAAGAGCCTCGATTAAAAAGTTTCCTGATTTCTTTGATCCGATGAAAGCAAACACCTTTTCATTTTTTTCCCATTCCTTGATTTGGCATATATACCAATCACTTATGCCATCAAGCCCATCTTTCTTAACTTTTCTTTAGCTTCATTTAAAACTTTTGTCATTTTTGCAAATTTAAACTTTCTTTTGAGGACTTTGGAGCCATAAGGATAGTTTGATCTGATCGAAATTAAAACGGGTTTTAAATGTGAGACGTTGAACGAGATTATTGACTATTGGAATGTTGTTTTGCCAGCAGTCGGTAAAAAGCAACAGCGGGATGTCGTCTCTATTCAAATAATGGTATTTCCTTCCTGGAGTAATTTAATGCATAAGAAACGAAAGAATTTTGTTTATACTATTTTTGACAAAAATCAACACATTAATATTTGAACTATACAAGATGAATTCCACAACAGACAAATGGAAAGCAGTAAATTACTGCAATCATGTCACTACTTCCAATGACATTGGTCTTTTGCCAGTGACATGGAACGTTGTTAAGATAAACATCAGTTGAAATTGTCGGCCAAATTTATCACATGCTATCGTCACATAAACATTGTTATAGCATCTTTGATTTTATGTATCCACAAAATTGAAAACGGGGCTTATGTAAATGATATTGCATTAAATAAAGTAAATTTGATCCGGCCTACTTCTACATTCTGGAGTTTACCAAACAGTAAAATGCATCGTTGCAACATCAAATATTGTAAATAACTTCACAGTAGAAAATGAGGGATAAAGTAATATAAGGTAATTTGTTATTTGACAAAAGTTACCTAATCATGCAAGACATCAAAATTGACCTTTGAACATTGCATTATTATTCAAATCAGTATATATCAATAACAATAATCTGAACTTCTGTTCAATTTTTCGATAGAAAAATGTAAAACCTTATGTGGCTCTGTATATAGTGTAGCAACTCAATTGAGTCAACATAACTTGAATGGCTTTAGCTATTTCGTTTTTTCACTTAAAACGTAACTAATTTTAGATAAAGAATCTCTGTCAAAAAATGATTAGAGAAATATATAATAAATAGAGTTCGTTAAAGTATAGTCTGATGACGAATTTGCAATAAATTCAAAATACAACTATTCAAATAAAAATTGTCTTGTTTCCTTCTCAAATATTGAGTTGAACGTGAACTTTTTATTGGGAGTATGTTTCATAATGTACTACACAAAATTGTCGGCTAGCTGGTAATGGTTCAACTTTTAAGAATAAGATACTTATGTTTTTTCTGTAACATTATAGTAAGAACTATTCAGCATAACATTTCTTCAGGTTTAGAGAAAAAGAACAGTTTTATAACATATTTATATAATTAGCAGTATTTGCATTTCCAATCATAATAAAGTAATCAATACTGTGAAATGTAAATATCATAAAGTTTATGTTTCTAAGAAGAGACAACGAAATTATGATAAAAATTATTTTCTAAAAGTAAATGCGTTTTCCTGTTGCTTTTACTAAGGGAGTGCATACAATTACATTTGGAAAAAACAAAATGTGAAAGTTTTAACATTTGCTATGTATGCACGGGTACATGTACGTATATTTAACGACTGCTGTAAATATTATTAAAATAATCAAATAAAAGAATTTTAAATTAGTGTTGATATCTTCTTCAAAATCACGAGATATATTTCTGTACCATCAGGTATAAATAGGCTGTTGATTTTAAAGGCGAATGAATAGTTTTGGGCAATAGCGTCAATGTATTCTTGTCAAATACGACTGTTTTTTACTGTTGCATCCCAAATGTCAAGAGCAACTTCTTCTAGATCATTGATGCAGATTGAAAGAAAATTATGAACCGTACGATACCATGACTCTAATAGCGACTTCTTCCAGAAAAGTGTAATAAAATCAGAATCCATACCATAATCTTTAATAAGAGTTTCGAGATTGATTGAAATATAATTCAATATGACATCCGATGATTTTTTATTCAACGCCTTAAATTCATCGGATCCTTCAATAGGAAAACCAAACTGGTGACAGTAAAATCTAACTTCATTCAAAACCAAATGTATGTTAAAAACTGGTCCATCTTTACGAACACGTTTTGACTTTGCACCAGCCAGTTTTGTTGCTCGAGCTAAAATTGATAAAAAAACATCTATTTAATATTCGAACGAGCACGACCGTGCATACAGGTGGGATTAAGAAATATATGTAAAGATGTTCTACATAAAAAATACCTACAATATGTGAAGAAATGGTCTGATAACTAATAAACCGTAAGATATATACATATAAAAAAATTTAGTTAAGTGATCGTGCAGATGGAATTAAAAATTCTGTAAATAAAGAATAAAATTCAGATAACCAGTTGTAGCCATCTTGATACATGGAAAAAAATATGTATTTATGGCTATGCATGGGTACATCACTGCAAATAATTTCTTACAAATAACAAACCTTTCAACAAATTTGCCTTTCGTTTTATGCTTTCTCGTGTCACAGTGGTCAAAGAAAGGATAAAGCATTCCATTTTACGATGTAGTAAAGCTTCTGAGATAGATTCAATCAAACGATCGAAATCATATTTCTTTGTGACTTTGTTGTCGATCAAGAATACCTCATCCTTATCGTTGATCAGACCTTTCAGATTGTTTAGACAGTCTGTCTTCATTTTATCCAAAGCAGGCTTTTCATTGAAATGTGGTCCTTTGTCATCTTTGGCGTTATCGAGTTCGCTTTTAATGTTGGTGCGAACAAAAAAGAAAGGTTTTTCGATGTCTTGTGAAACTTTCTCAGCCAACTCTTTGTCATGTTGAGTGAATCGTGTTTTGCAAAAAATGAGAAATGCATCATACTTCTCTAGACCACCAACATTTTCACAGTAATCTTTAAGTTTAGGATATATAGGTGTTCCAATTCCAGGTAGATCCCCCAAAATGATGTTTTCATGTTTCTGATATTTATATTTAGTGGGTTCTATTGTCGTTTCTTCATTCCCAACTGGTGCTGCGCCAACATGATAAGCTTTATGTTTGAAAACGATGTGTATATAGTATTAATTAATGTATAACTGACTATAAGGTCATATTGTTTCAAATTAGTTTCAATTACCCTTTCACAGCGTTGATAAAGGAAGATTTTCCAGTTCCAGAACTTCTTGTTACGGCGAGATTTATCTCTGTGTCTTTCAATGAACTAATCTGACAATGATGAAAATCTTCGATACCAGAAATGCCATGACGTTCAATGTAATCCTTAATTTGGGCAGTGCGTTTTTCATCTTCGCTTATTGTGTATTTTTCGTACATTACATAGTTCAAAGACTGTAAAATACTTTCACTTCGACGCTCTAGTAACTTTGAGACAACATCTCCACGCAAACGATCGAAATCATATTTCTCTGTAACTTTGTTATCAATTAGGAAGATATCATTTTCATCATGAATTAAACCTTTCATGTTCTCGAAACAATCTTTCTTTACCTTTTCCAAGACGGATGTTTCATCAAACTGTGGTCGTTTGTCTTTCTGGGCGTTTATGAGATCTTGATGAATGTTAGTGTGAACAAAAAGAAAGGCTTTTTGAGCTCTTTTGAAACTTTTTTTGCAAGCTCTTTGTCATATTTGGTGAATCGTGTTTTGCAAAAGATAAGGATTGCATCGTAGCTTTTCAAGTGCATTTTTTTGAAGTATTTGTGGGATTCGAATATTCAATTGATCCAAAGCCAGGGAGATCCCACAATTTGACATTTTTTTTCAGGACAAACGTACTCAGTGGGCAGTATTTTCACTTCGGTAACATCAACTGGTGCTGTACCTTTTTCATAAGCTTTAAGTCTAAAAACGAATATTATGTCAAATATTTGTCAAAAATTGATGATAATGCTAAATTTCATTAAATACACTGCATAATAAAAAGCTGCCTCAGAAATAAAGTGTTACAAATAAATGAATATTAACATAATATAAAAAAAACCAGGTAAAAACCAATAAATATCGAAATGAAAAGAAAACATAAAAAGGCATGTCGCAGCTCTTATAATGCAGAAAAGGAAATCGATTATGACAAGAAGGGCTTTATAATAAATTCCAATTTTATCTCAGTTGTAATTTCACCTAATTTCATTGTTAATGGAAAGTTATGATTACCCTCTTATGGCGTTGATAAAAGATGATTTTCCAGTCCCAGAGTCTCCTGTAATTGCAAGATTTATTTCTGTATTTTCCCAGGATTTAATTTGATTTCGAATAAATTCATCAACATCAACTAAGCCATATTTTTTAACGTGAAACGCAGCTTCTGCTAAACGTCTTTTTACTTCGGTTAATTCCTTGTTTTTGTAAATGACGTGTTTCAAGCAATTCAAAAAGTAATCTTTTCGACGTTTCAGCAACTTCAAGATGACTTCTTCAGGCAGACAGTCCAAATCATATCTTCCCCTGTCATTATCGTCGATTACGTAGATATCAGTTGCATCTTTTACCAAAACGTTTAAGGTTATTTAAGCAGCATTTCTTTATTTCCTCCATTGCAGTTTCTTTGTCGATCTGTAATCCACCGACCTCTTCGGCATTGTTAACGTCTATATTTGCATACGTATGAACACAAACAAAAGGTCTATGGAGCTCTTTTGAAATTTTCTTAACCAGTTGTATTTCATTTTCTGTAAATCTTCATTTGCTAAGTATCAGAAATGCGACGTACTTCAGGAGATCACCGATGTTCCTGCAAAATGTTTCAAGATTGGGATTTTCAGGTGTTCCGATGCCAGGTAGATCCCAGAGCTCGACATTTTTGTATTTAAAATGAAGATTCGTAGCTCCCAATGTAGATATGTCATTTGGATATGCCTCTTGTTTGCAAGCTTTTAATCTGGGTAAAATATTTTTGCATTATTAAATACATTACATTCCTTAATTATTATTAAGTAACAAACACAGATAACGTGTAAACGTATACCATTACTTTAGTAAAAGAAGAAGAAGAAACTAACCCTGCAAAAGCGTTGATGAATGACAACCTTCCTGAATTGCTTGATCCAGTTACGGCGAAATTTAACTCAAAGTTTTCTCAAGTAGGAACTAATTGATCATTGTAGAAATTATTTACACCATCAAGTCCATCTTTCTTAACATATTGTCTGGTATTAGCTATAAGTCCTTTTTCTTTATCTGTTAGAACTGGTTTCGACGAAGATGAACCCATATTATCCCAGAGAAAATGGACAATTTACTTGTTAAATTGCAAACAAATTTAAAGAAATTAAACGATAGCGTTGATGTAAAATTCCCAGCAAACAGTAGGATTTCCGTTCTTTTCATTATATGATAAATAGTTCCAGGAACATGACTCAACACAAAATGCCCATTATTACAAAATTCGAAACTATCAAAAAAATGTTTGGCATTGATTCTCCTGAAACATGTAAAATCTAAATGTCAGCTGATATCAAAGTCGAGAAGTTTTTTTGAGTTATCCTGAATATCTAAAAATTTCTATTATTTACAAATGGTGAAAGTGGATGAATTTTTTTATTTACTGACCTGAAGAGTGGGACTCTCACTTTTTCAGCTTAATTTCTTGTTCACACAAAAAATAAAACTGAAAATACTCCAAAGATGTGTGTTACATTCAAGTTTATAAGGATATATTTGTCCCTTGAAATAGATTCAATTAACTCTTGCTGTTGCACTGAGATTCGAATCGACTCTCACTTTCCTTTTAGAGAGCAAAGCAATTCTGTCTTATTTTGTTGATATTGTCATGCTATAAAGAAATTTGCGGAGAATTTTAGTGAAATTCTCTCGCATATGTAAGAAATTATTATTAAAATGTCGACAAAAATTAAACACATATCGTTGGATGAAGTTTTTTGAAGTTAGACAGTATTTTTTTTATATTTAGTTGTTTTGATTATGTAAATACAATAATATTCATATCTTTAATTTTGCTAGTAATTTCAATAAATTGCTTGCTCTGGATATTGAACATAGATCTGGCATACTAGTTTTAGTCTGTATTTTAGTATAATAATTTGCATATGAAAAGCGTTTTCAGACAAAATTCTAAATATAAATTAAAGCAAAACTTGATTTACCCAGCTAACAATTGATTGAAATTGAAATTACGCATGTTTGCATTTAAACTATTGTATATTTTATGATATGTAAATTAAAGAACTTGATGTCAATTTGCTAATTCAAACATTGGTTACATGCCTCCATTCTCGCAAGTATAAAACAAATTTCTTTTATGTAAGGTACGAACATTATTTTTATGTCATTAATAGATATATGCCTGCAGCATAACAATGAAATAAAACATAATATCAAGATATGTAAATATCACAAAAACCTTTTTTATACACAAGATTGGTGCAAGCAATTCGACATCATGCAAGGTGCTGATAGAAAGAAGAAAATGGCATTGCATGAAACAAGGTTGTTTGTTCAACAAATTAATGGTCAATTTAAACAATATCCCGGGTGGTAACGTTATGTAAAATTTAGCTGTTGTTAATCTTGCGTCGAGTTGATTTCTTTTTTGTCAGAAAATTATCTCATTTAAAAGTGAACTGTACGAATTAGAAAAACACACAAGCATTTTAAAGACATCATTGTGCGTATTTTATTCCATTCTTGTAAACGATGTGTTTATATTTTTTCATAGCCTAATATTTAATTTCCAAGAATTATCAGAATATTTATTCAGCTTGAGAAAAAAATAGGTATATGGGAAAAATTTATCATGTACTAATTATCAACACGACTGCAACATGTACCTAAGTGAAACGAGTTTTGTAAATAATATCAAATCAATTAACTATTAGCTATTTCAAACAAGCACCGTGCGTTCTGGTCATTTACTGCAACTTTTAGCTGTTGCATCCCAAATGTCAAGAGCAACTTTTTCCATATCATTAATGTAGTTAAAAAGAAAATTATGAATATTAACAAACGATAACGGTGACAACATCGGAAATTTATGTTCAATAGAGTTCTCACTTGACGGATCTTCCAATGAGGAATGGGATAATTCTTTGCTTAACGCCTTAAATTTGTCAGTTCCTTCATCGGGAAGACCGAATTTGTTCTCGTAATAAGTCATTTCTTTGAAAACCAAAGCTTTGTTGAAACCACGTACAACTACAAAATGAGGAGTAATGCTCACACAAGCTGCAACACCAGCCATTGCGGTTGCTCGAACTAGAAATGTTATAAGAAATACTTGTACAAGACGGACTTAAGGAAATCTGCTAAGAATCTTCTAGCTTAAAGAATGTGTGTCGACCAAGATGCATTGCGCTCTTTTGTTCATGTTTACATCGTTATATTTTAAGCTTGCGGCACACTGAATGCAGCTTCGTCATTATACGTCGTTTAATTTATTCAAAAAGTTAGCAAAAAAACATTGACTAAAAACTCTATTTTACATTAATCACTATCGTTTATCTAAGTTGCATGGACTACAATAACGAAATCCATCATTTTCTCGACCCACAAAATAACTGTCACGCTGTGATTAACGCGCAATGCATCATGGTTAACCCACATTCTTTAAAATAAATTCACATGCATAAAACCAGAACTGCATATTCATGAATGAATACAAGGTTACGGCACTGCAGATAATTTCTCACAAATAACAAACCTTTCAATAGCTTGGCCTTTCGTTGAATGCTTTCACGAGTCACATTACTCAAAGAAAGAATGAAGCATTCTCGTTTATATGCTGGTAACTCTGAAGTAATAGATCGAATCAAACGATCAAAATCATATTTCTCCACGACCTTGTTGTCGATCAAGAACACTGATTTCTGATTGTCGACAAGATCTTCCAAGTTTTTCAAACAGTCTTTCACCATTCCTTTCAAGAGAGATGCTTCATCAAACTTTGGTCCTTCGTCTTTCTTCGCATTCTCGAGTTCGGTGTCAACGTTGGTGCGAACAAAAAAGAAAGGTTTATCGAGATCTTTTAAAATTTTCTCAGCCAACTTTTTGTCATATTGAGTGAATCGTGTTTTATATAAAATAAGGAATGCATCGTACATCTCCAGATCACCAATTTCTTTACAGTATGTTTCAAGATTGGGGAATGTAGGTGTTCCAATGCCAGGTAAATCCCAGAAAATGATGTTTTTATTGTTTGGGTGTGGATATGGAGTGGGTTCCTTTGTCGTTTCGTTAACGTTAACTTTGGCTGCACCATCATCGTAATTCTTAAGTCTGAAATGATGATTCGATTTTGAAGTTAACATATAGTAACATAAAAACCCGAAAATATTCACATAAAACATAAAAAGCAGTGTCATCATTCGTTTTATGACTGAATATAATGTTATACTGTTTTAAATCTACTTCAAAGTAAGGTGTGTTACCCTCTCACAGCGTTGATGAAAGATGATTTTCCTGTTCCAGAATTTCCTGTTATGGCAAGATTTATCTCCATCTTTTCGAACTCATTCATTTGGCGATGGTAAAAATCTTCGATACCAGAAACGCCATGGCGATCAATGTGATCCTTTGCTTGGGCAAGAAGTGCGCTTTGTTCATCTTTAGCAATTGAGCTATAAATTACATCCAAGGTCTCTAAAAAGCTTACACTTCGACGACTTAACGCTTCATCCCAAATGTCAAGAGCAACTTTTTCCATATCATTAATGCAGTTTAAAAGAAAATTATGAACGTTAGAAAACGATGACGTTGATAAGAACATAATTTCAAATGGATCAGGATCCGCATCCATAGAATATTTCGACAAGAGAGCAGACGATTCTTGGCTTAACGCCTTAAATTTGTCAGTTCCTTTTTTGGGAAGACCGAATTTGCTCTCGTAATAAGTCATTTCTTCTAAAAGCAAAGTTACGTTGAGAGGTCGTGGATTTCCAACAGGAGGAACATTGCTCGCACAAGCTGCAACAGCAGCCATTACAGTTGCTCGAACTAGAAATGTTATAAGAAATAATTGTAGAAGATGGAATTAAGGAAATCTGCTAAGAATCTTCTAGCTTAAAGAATGTGGGTCAACCAAGATGCATTGCGCTCTTTTGTTCATGTTTACATCGTTACTTTTTAAGCTTGTGGCACACTGAATGCAATTTTGTCATTATACGTCGTTTAATTTGTTCAAAAAGTTAGCAAAAAAACATTGTCTAAAAACTCCATTTTACATTAATTAGTATCGTTTATCTAAGTTGCATGGACTACAATAACAAAATCCACCATTTTCTTGACTTACAAAATGGCCGTCACGTTGTGATTAACGCGCAATGCATCATGGTTAACCCACATTCTTTAAAATAAATTCACATGAATAAAACCAACACAACATATTCATGTATGAATACATGGCTACGGCACTGCAGATAATTTCTCACAAATAACAAACCTTTCAACAGCTTTGCCTTTCGTTTTATGATGTTACGAGTCACATTTGTCAAAGAAAGGATAAAGCATTCCATTTTACGATGTGGTAAAGCCTCTGAGATAGATTCGATCAAACGACCAAAATCATATTTCTCCATGACCTTGTTGTCGATCAAGAATATGTCAGTCTTATGCCAGATCAAATCTTTCAGATTCTTAAGACAGTCTTCCTTTATTATTTCCAATGCAGATGCTTCATCAAATTCTGATCCTTCGTCATCCTTCGCATTATTGAGTTCGGTGTGAACATTAGTGCGAATAAAAAAGAAAGTTTTCTTGAGCTCTTTTGAAGCTTTCTTGGCCAGTTCTTTAGCATGGTGAGTGAATCTTTTTTGGCAAAAAATAAGAAATGCGTCGTACATCCCTAGACCACCAATTTTTTTACAGTATGTTTCAAGATCGGGGTATGTAGGTGTTCCAATGCCAGGTAAATCCCAGAAAATGATGTTTTTATTATTTGGGTGTAAATATGGAGTGGGTTTCTTGGTCACATCGTTAATCCCAACTGGTGCTGCACCATCATCGTAATTTTCAAGTCTGAAAATGATGATTCGATTTTGAAGTTAACATATAGTAACATAAAAACCAAAAAATATTCACATAAAACATAAAAATCAGTGTCATCATTGGTTTTATGACTGAATAAAATGTTATACTGTTTTAAATCTACTTGAAAGTAAGGTGTTTTACCCTCTCACGGCGTTGATGAAAGATGATTTTCCTGCTCCGGAAACTCCTGTTATGGCAAGATTTATCTCCATCTTTTCGAACTCATTCATTTGGCGATGGTAAAAATCTTCGATACCAGAAACGCCATGATGATCAACGTGATCCTTTGCTTGGGCAAGAAGTGCGCTTTGTTCATCTTTAGTAATTGAGCTATTTTTATAAATTAAATCCTTCAAGGTCTCTAAAAAGCGTAAACTTCGCCGTTCTATCAACTTTGAGATCACATTCCGACACAACTGACTGAATTTCTCTGGAGCCTTGTCATAAATCGTGTAAATATCTCTTTCATCTTCAATCAAATCTCCCAAGTTTTTCAAACACTCTTTCTTTATGTTTTCCATGACTGATGCCTCATTAAATTGTGATCCTTCATCTTCTCTGGCTTTTTTCAGATCGAGATCAACGTTTGTGCAAACGCAAATGAAAGGCTTTTGAAGCTCTTTTGAAACTTTTTCAACTAGCTTTTGAACATGGTGAGTGAATCGTGTTTTGGAAAAAATAAGAAAAGCGTCATATTTCTTTAGACCACCCTCAATCTTGCAATATTCTTTTAGATTAGGATATGTATATGTTCCAATGCCAGGTAGATCCCATAGTTTAATATTTTCTTTTTCAGGATGAGTGTACTCAGTCGGCACTAAGTTTGACTCATTATTACCAACTGGTGCTGCACCCTTATCATTTGCTTGAAGTCTACAACAATATATTGTATGAAACTTTTTTCGCATGTCAATTCAAGTCATATAAATTGAAACTTCAAATTTGAACACATATAATTCAGCGATAACAAAACGCCCATTCGACGTTCAATTGGCCTACTCGAGAACAGTTTTTCTTATATTTGCTAAACATAATAATCGTCAAATAGCACAACAAAATTCACTGCAAACCAATCTTATATGAGGCAATGTGACATGGAAGTAAAGCATGTTTCATGATACGTGTCATTAGTGACACTTGCGCGAAAAAGATTCAAGAAAGATTTTGATTAGTTCAAGGACTTCGTGTCAATCACGCGTGATTTATGTAATCACGCAACAATACAGAAGAATTGGAGGTTTGACAAAGAATATGTAGAATCTCAAATATGTACTATTAACAAAGATTAACGTGCAAATAGTTTATCTTACTTCGCCAAGCTTGAAAGAAAAATATATATAGATAAGAGGATTTAAAATTGTAGCGAGAGACTTGCCGAGCGGAAATCGAATACGTGTGATAAAAATTAATGCCCAACATAAAGTTCTGATTAGAGCCATAGAAATAGACCAAAGAAAAAAACAAATTGTAAAATTTAAATTTATTGTGACGTTTCGTCTTTACTCAAGACATCTTCAGACAAAATAATAGATAGGACGTTAAGACAAGATATTATATTTACAAAAAGGTGTTAAATTACTACTAAAGGAAGCGGTGTCGAATGGATACATGATAAGGAAGTTTGGAAGTGAGATGAAAAGAAATTAAAAGAGGTTAAGTGGAATGGAGTTTCCTTGCACATTAAGTGAAGGCTTGTGTTTATTGATTAGAAGGCTTTCATGGATGGAGAGTTCATAAGTATCGTTGGAAGGAAATTATTATAAAGTCGTCTAAGTTGGGGTGTGTCCAGTTTCGTTAAGAGCATGTGCTTGATGATGCTGGGAAACTTGGTTGCCTCGGGCACTTGGGAATATCCCTTACAGGCAACCAAGTTTCCCACCCAGCATCATCAAGCATTCTTGCTCACATTAACGAAACTGGACACACCCCAACTTAGACGACTTTAAAATAATTTCTCTTCCAACGATACTTATGAACTTCCATCCATGAAAGCCTTCTAATCAATAAACACAAGCCTTCACTTAATGCAAGGAAACTCCATTCCACTTAACCTCTTTTTTCATCTCACTTCCAAACTTCCTTATCATGTATCCATTCGACACCGCTTCCTTTAGTAGTAATTTAACACCTTTTTGTAAATATAATATCTTGTCTTAACGTCCTATCTATTATTTTGTCTGAAGATGTCTTGAGTAAAGACGAAACGTCACAATAAATTTAAATTTTACAATTTGTTTTTTTCTTTGGTCTATTTCTATGGCTCTAATCAGAACTTTATGTTGGGCATTAATTTTTATCACACGTATCAGATAAGAGGATATTTTCAAAGGGTGGTTTTTCTCTTTTATTTGCAAAAAATGTTTCCCAATCTATTTCAACGTAATCAAGTATAGATTATTACCCTCTCACAGCGTTGATAAAAGATGACTTTCCTGTTCCAAATTCTCCAGTTATTGCAATATGTATTTCCTTATTCATCCATAACTCGATTTGTTGACTCAAATCATCATCATCAATATCTTGAATGAAACCATCAACATCAATTGAACCATGTTTCTTAATGCGAGACATGGAAATGACTGGCTTTGATGAAGATGAACCCATTGCCGAAGAAAATGGACAATTTGATGGTTAAATTGCGAAGAAATTTAAAGACGATGAAAGATGTCGTCAATGTTAAACTGTCATCAAACTGCAGGGTTTCTTTTCTTTTCATTATATGGTAAATAGTTCCAGGAATATAATACAATACACAAAAACCCAAACATTTAATTGGTTCAAAAACTCGACAGCAGTATCAGCTATCAATAAAATTATATATATATTGGGCTTATTGGCAAAATGTACTCATATACAGACCACAATTCTTACAACCTACCGTTTTAAAGTTATAAGGCTTTCGAAAATGGAAACGAGTTTGATTTCGTTCTGTTGATTATAACATGATTATGCAACTTCATGACAATATGCATAATGCCAGAGTTGGTAGATTATCCGAAGGTCGATCTCAATTAATTTGATTTGAACCGTAGGTTGAAATATAGTTAGATGTTTTGTTTTAAATAACAGATGAAAGTGGCTTTCCTTTAAAAGTAATCAAAGAATAAAAAGAAGTAAATACCAAACCTACATGTCACTATTTCTAATACAATATCTTATTCATATATGTTATTATTAGACTTTAGGAGCTTAATTAGTATGCTTGATTACGGCAAAATATGACTTAAGATGTCCAAAAGAAAACAAAATATTTCTTACGTGACAGTTGCATGAATCACGAAATAATTACTCTCACTTGAAAAATGTAACGCAACATTTGAAAAAGTTCCCGGCAGTAGAAAAACTAATTACAAATGCTATGACGGAGTGAAGCAATGTGCCCCATTGACTTTTTCAAGGGTACTAGATCAGACACCGTATAAATAATAAAGAAAGTATTAAAAAGTATTCTAACACATAACACTTAAATACTGTAAAATCTTTATGAAAAAATTTTTGCTTTGACATTCAAGCAAAGGTTCAAGTTATGTTCAGTTCTCTCGTCCAGCAAGAATACTGTTGGTCTTTTGCTTTCATAAATGTACTTTGCTTTACGTTTTCCATTTACTTGACTTATTTCACAAGTTACTTATCAGTAAATACTCTTTGAATTGATTATTAACGATGTATGTAACTTCATCAATAATAAATTTCTAAAACTAACTTTTTAAACCAAGATAAAACTGGATAAAGTACGAACCATCAAGCGTGCTTCATCATGCAAATTGTAAAAATGACCTTTGGACAATCTATTATTATTCAAATCAGTATATCGTGTTGGCATATTTTATCCTAATTTGTTATTTGTGAGAAACTATAAAATCCTAACTTTCCTCATTCAAACACTGTAAACAGCAAATAAATAAATCTTGTATTTTAGGTACTTCAATGAAAAACTACAAATAAGATGTTTCATTTTCTGTTTTTATTCATTCTAAGAACTATTATTCATAGTATGATTTCAGACGAAACCCCACTGTTCTGAGGGTTTACTGCTATAAAATTGGTTTCAATTTTGCCACTCAATCATTTGTAAGAATCGTTTTAAACGTCTTGTTTTGTTTCATCATGGGCAAATTATGGTCAAAATTATTCTCAAATAATAAGCTCAGAAGAGAAGAGAATGATCTTATCCAAGAAACTGAAAACGTTTTAAAAGATAAAATACCCGATTGGTTATTCTACAAAGACCAAGTCGATAAATGGAATATAAACATTGCTTTGGTAGGATCAAGTCAATCAGGAAAGTCTTCATTCATCAACACAGTGATAGGGTAATGTATTTTAATATTGATCTGAAACGCAATTCAAAACTAAATAATGTCTCGTTGTCACAGTAAACATGTCTCATTTTGTATGAAGTAAATTATGACTGATTTTAAATCTTAATTCATTAATAAAAATTCACCAAAATGTCGATATAAATACATTTGTGAGTAATATATGTCAAAGCTGGTGAAATTTGACGAACAAAATAGACTTTATAGCCTATCTTTGGTTAAAACATTGACTTGCAGTATTTTGCAGTTTCTGTTGCGTGACGGAAGACGCGTTTCTTTTAAATATTTAATTTCTGCCACGTATGATTTTGCTTGTACTGTACAAAAAAAACAATGCTGTCTACTCCTACTTGCTTAATGTAATTCAGAATTTGAGAATAAACGTATTAACAATCTGGTTTTCAGTGGATTGTAGCTTGTGCTTTGATTTGTTTGTAAGTGGTTGCAGTATGTCAGTCAAGTACTTTGAGAGTTCGTAAGTAGACGAACCACAGAATGATAGAATTGGTCGCATGGGTATTACTGTAAGTAAATGGTTTGAACCCGGGAGTATCGTTACATGTTTGTAAATGTAGATCGTCCAGGTTGGTATAGTCCTGAGAAGGACTGTTTTTGTTGTTGTTGACTGACGTTTCGACCACCTTAGCGGTAGTCATCTTCAGAGTCAAATGAGGAGTAAACGTCAGGTTGGCCGTATTTGTTATCTGGTTTTCAGTGGATTGTAGCTTTTGTTTTGATTTGTTTGTAAGTGGTTGCAGTATAAAGTAAATGGTTTGAACCCGGGAGTATCGTTACATGTTTGTAGATGTCGATCGTCCAGGTTGGTATAGTCCTGAGAAGGACTGTTTTTGTTGTTGTTGACTGACGCTTCGACAACCTTAGCGGTAGTCATCTTCAGAGTCAAATGAGGAGTAAACGTCATATGATGGTTAGCCGTATTTGTTATCTGGTTTTTACGTTGCAGCGGTGGTTGAACCAGAGTTGTTGGCGTATGCGTCTGACGTTGCTTGCAAAACGTATGTAGTCGTTAGCGAGTTGGTATACCAACTTGGAACAAACCCCCCTGAACAGATCACAGCAATTACCGGCACCTTACAAACGACTTATTCACAATACAAACAAACGATCAACTAAAAACATTACACTTCACACTAATTCACAATGACAATACACAATTGACACCCACACATTACAATTAAAACATCACACCTAAATCACACATCACAACTAAAAACATTACACTTCACACTAATTCACAATGACAATACACAATTGACACCCACACATTTCCTGACGTAATAACCAGTTAACAAATACGGCTAACCGGACGTTTACTCCTCATTTGACTCTGAAGATGACTACCGCTAAGGTTGTCGAAACGTCAGTCAACAACAACAAAAACAGTCCTTCTCAGGACTATACCAACCTGGACGATCTACATTTACAAATATGTAACGATACTCCCGGGTTCAAACAATTAACTTACAATAATACCCATGCTACCAATTGTATCATTCTGTGGTTCGCCTACTTACGAACTCAAAAAGTACTCGACCTACATACTGCAACCACTTACAAACAAATCAAAACACAAGCTACAATCCACTGAAAACCAGCTAACAAATACGGCCAACCTGGCGTTTACTCCTCATTTGACTCTGAAGATGACTACCGCTAAGTTGTCGAAATGTCAGTCAACAACAACAAAAACAGTCCTTCTCAGGACTGTACCAACCTGGACGATCTACATTTACAAACACGTATTAATAATGGTGAAAATGTTCGGCCAGGGTTTGTGTTAGAGTTTTTGAGATGATAACAGAATCCAAACCTAACAACAGTGAACCATGTTAAGAAACACTGACAAATAGCTAATTGAATATGAAGTTGTCATACTTTAAATGTTTATTTTGTTTTAGACTTAAACCAAACGATAAGGGTGCAGCACCAGTTGGTATCTCAGAAACCGAAATAGAACCCACTGAGTATAGTCATCCTAAAATAAAAAACATCAAGTTCTGGGATCTACCTGGCATTGGAACACCTGAAAATCCAGATCTTAAAACATACTGCAAAAACATTGGTGGTCTGAAGAAGTATGATGCATTTCTGATATTTAGCAAATCAAGATTCACAAATCGCGAGAGACAGTTAGCTGAGACGATTTTAAAAAGGTCTAACAATCCTTTTTTTTTCGTTTGCACTTACGTTGATATTGATGTCCAAAACGCCAAGGAAGACAATGGAAAAGACGATGAAAAGTCTGTAGAGTTAAAAATTAAAAAACAATTGCTTGAAAAACTTGAAAGATTTACGGAAGGATAAAACAGATTTATATCTGATTGATGCGAGATCTAAGAAATATGACTTTGAACGTTTGCGTGAAGATGTTTGCGAGAAGTTGTTCCTACCAAGACTTGAATTATTTCTACATTGTTTTAACGATAAATTTTACAATAAAAGCAGATTCAAGTTAAAGTTAGGGCAAGGAAAACGTGATCTAGATACGATTTACGAAGATCTAATTGAATCATGGCGAAAAGTCCATATAAATTTTGCCATAACAGGAGATTCTGGAACAGGAAAATCATCTTTTATCAACGCTGTGAGAGGGTAATAAACCTAAAATCATGATAACAAAGAAGCGATTCTTTTCAAGAAGCTTGTATACTTAATCTTTTTCTAAATTTAAGCTGTGTCAAACAAATCTTTTAAAACAAGAGATTTACAATTTTTTTCCATGTTAGATTTTTGTAAACACGACAATAAGTTTTTAATACTAACGTTCACACATTTTGACGATCAAATATTTTTTTAAGAGTCAAAGCAAACGAAAACGGGGCAGCACCAGTTGGTGTCACAGAAACGACGAGCAAAGCATATAAATACTCACATCCAAAGAATGAAAACATCATTTTCTGGGACCTACCTGGCATTGGAACACCTACATACCCCAATCTTGACGAATATTGCAAAAAAATCGGATGTCTAGAGAAGTACGACGCATTTCTTATTTTTTGCAAGACACGATTCACTAACGATGACAAAGAGTTGGCAGAGAAAGTTTCGTCTGAACTCAAAAAGCCTTTCTTTTTTATTCGCACGAACGTCGATTACGATGTCAAGAACGCCAAAGAAGATGAAGGAGGAAATTTCGATGAAGAATCTGTCTTGGAAATAATGAGGAAAGATTGTTTGCAAAACCTGAAAGGTTTGATCGACGATAAGAACGATATCTACATGATTGACAACAAGGCTCAAGACGGATATGATTTCCAGCGTTTGAAAGAATCAATCGCCGAGTACTTACCAGATGAAAAGAGGAAACATTTTGCTGATTCCTTGGCCATTGCAACACATGCTATCATAAAATTACAGGCTAACTTGCTGAGAGGTATGTCATTGATTGATATTATCATATAGGGGTTGTTCATCAGTTTTTTATTGTTTGAGTATTTCAATCCATTTTATTTTCAAGAGGAATCTGCATGAGTAATATAAATTAAGAGACGGTACTACATAATATGAATATTACAGGATTTATAAGTAAACGTTGAATTTAGTGTTATATTGCTCTTACATCAAACACGTTTTTGGGATAATTTGTTTAACAGAAATATGATAGCCCAAAATATATTTTAATAGACCTATCATGATTTTTTTAGTTGGTAAAATTTTGTTTTTAACTATAGACATCTTCATAAGATAGTAATGATAAAATGTATGAATATAGCCATTTGCGAATTTTATGTAGGGCTATCGTATATTGAAATTTGTTTTCTGCTTGGCAAATCTACGGCCATGATTTCAAATTTGTTAAATTTATAAATTTTAGAACAAGCACTTGTGGTTACGCATTGTTTATCGTTAGCTACGTCTTCACAAGAAACGACTCTACAATGGCTTATATCCCCAGTTCTTTGGCTGTTGACATTTATAAGAGACAAAGTGGTTACACATTGTTTATCGTTTGCTGCGTCTTTACTAGAAACGACTCTACAATGGCTTATATGCCCAGTTCTTTGGCTGTTCACGTTTATAAAAGACAAAGTGGTTACACGTTGTTTATCGTTTGCTGCGTCTTTACTAGAAACGACTCTACAATGGCTTATATGCCCAGTTCTTTGGCTGTTCACGTTTATAAAAGACAAAGTGGTTACACGTTGTTTATCGTTTGCTGCGTCTTTACTAGAAACGACTCTACAATGGCTTATATGCCCAGTTCTTTGGCTGTTCACGTTTATAAAAGACAAAGTGGTTACACGTTGTTTATCGTTTGCTGCGTCTTTACTAGAAACGACTCTACAATGGCTTATATGCCCAGTTCTTCGGCTGTTCACGTTTATAAAAGACAAAGTGATCTCAAGCAATTCAAATCCGACTTCATCTACAAAGCACGCATATCAGCTTATCTCAAATAAATTAATTCCTCGATTGTATGATGCATTGGATGTGCCAAAAGCAAAATCCGATGAAATCATGAATAAGCTTTTAGTCGAGGAGTCCTTTAAAAGTGTGGAAGAGTTACCACTGGAAGTTACAGTTTATTTCCTTATAAAGTACATTGACCGTCTTGAAGAATATGCTTTAGAACAATGTTAGAGACAATTCACAATAACGCACGAGCTTTTAAAGTCATGACAGATTTTCCTTTTGCATGAGACTGTTTACAAATTTCAGCGCAATTTAAAGGCTCCATAACCATAAAGGGGCCTAAATTCTTAACCAAGTTTGTATTGATTAATCCGTAACTTACTTTTTTATCTTAATAAGAACTTAGCCGTTGTGCAGTAGCTTGTACGAAATGTTAAGTATTTACTTGGTGTAGCTACATATATTTAAAACTGAGAAAAAACTTCACAGCATTTATGCACAGCAATTTTTGAATCAAGCAATCAACTTTAGTTCTTTTACTCTCAAATACTAGAGTTTACTTCATATCAACTTTGCTCAAACGCAAATTCTTCATGTAGAAAATCGAATACAACGCATTACGTAAATAACAAGCACGAAGTCCGAATCAACATAAAACTTTAGAGTTAAAGCTTTATGTGACAAATGCCAACGTCTAAGGGGACAAATACTTTAGCTGTCAGCTGTGGCCTTGTGCTGTAGGCAAAAGTTGTTATATGAACAATTACAACGTCCCGTCTTTTAAAATATCTAAACGATAAAACTGTTAATTCTGAATACCGCCAAACTTTAAAACCTAGTAAATAATAGTGTAATTAAACAATAATATCGCCATATTTGTTGTAAAATTTGTAACACCCTGATAGACTGCACAAGCAGTAACAGTTATTTCTAAAACCAAACTGATGAAACAATTTTTATTATTAACTATCATAATCATTGCATAGAACCACAAGTGATTTATTGATTGGTATTCGTTGTGTAGTTTAATTGCTGGCACCATTTTTGCACACGTGAAGGATTAAACTCACTCCTTCACAGTCTTTTTACAAATTACCCTTATTTTACCATATTCAATTTAAATAAAGTGCTGATAGGACAATTAATATATATAGGGATTGCAATAAAACTATTAAATTGCAAATGCTGTTTTCGTTCTCGAGCAGGTGATATGCAACAGCGAGGTTTCGTCTCCAATTATAATATGGTACATAGTTCTCGGAAAAGATTATCAGAGACAACGCCACATATTTTGTTTTCGTTGGTAAAGCGCAGATTACAAATAAAACCAAAAGCAAGCGTAAAGCGCACACAGCGTAGCGTAGGTAGGTCCTTAATACCCTACGTTTGATTTAAGGTTTGTTTAGGAAGAGAACTCCGAGAAGACATCTTTAATAAAACTTATTTTTACAAGAAGTAATAGAAGGGTTGCGACAGTCAATAAAACAGAAATATAAAATCAGGCGTTTTCTACCTATGAGCAAAGCTAAGTTTTAAATATCAAGAAAACAACTAAATCGACATGCCCCCACTTTATGCAACACTATTTTTGTGTCCACAATCCCAAGATTTAAAATCATGCTTAATTTACTGCAATTTACAGCTAAAATGCCTAAAAATAAACGAAAAAATATTTATATTAATGTCTAGAATACAGTCATAGAAAGTTGTCAATTGAGAAAGATACAACGATAAAATACTTTTATTGTTTTCAATTTCTGCAGATTTTGCTTCGTGAGATTGAGCTGAACAATGGTTAGCCATTTTTTTATTGCTATTTTACTCATCATACACAACATGGCAGTAATTCATATTTAAGTGAGCAAAGTTACATCCAGTCATTTCACGATAAGTTGGTAGCGCGCATTCGTCAAATACATTTTTAAACCGAACGTATTAAAATTCAAAATTCCAAAATTCAGACAGTTCACATCAAATGCAGCAAAACGAAAGCCTTTTCAAAATATTGAAAAATAACGACATCCTTTAATGGCATATTTTGTCCCAATGGCAAATATTTTGTCTTTAAGTGATTCATCAAAAAGTCAGGAAATGGATAAAAATTCTTCCGGATAAAAATTCGCACCTTGGATGCGTCATTTTATCAGCTTTTTTTTAAAGGTCAAAAAATTTCCAAAAAATTAAATGTGCTACCTTTAAATCAAAACTTTTGGAAAACTTTTTGCCGTTAACGGTTGTGAATTTTTTGGCGTTTTCCTTGTTTGCAAAATAATTATTTTAACTCAACTTCTTAAAGTACAAGCAAGTACTTGGCACTTTAAAGATTCAATCTATAACCTAAACTAATGTACACAAAGAAAAAACAGTCTTTGTCTGCTTCATGTACTTGCATTTAGCCATCTTTAAGCAAGTTATCTAAAACAAGAGATTTCCAAAACATCGCCTTAAAAAGAGCAATTACCATGGTGATTGGTCTGAAACCAAAGAAAACCCAAGAAACCCAAGAGTAAATTAACAGTTTTGAAAAAAACGTTTTCAGACTAAGAGCACTAACCTGAAAGTTCTGAAAATTTTAGAGATTTAAGACACTATGCATTTCGACAGACAACTCGTCATGTGTCAAAGTCTACGATCTGTTAAGGGTAAGTCAACTTTTATTTATCAGTTATTTGATGATTCATCCAGCGTGGGAGGTCTAGTCATCATCAAAATAAAGCCAATTTGACTCATCCTCCAACGCTGGATTGCTCTTTTCAAAGTGATATTCACACTTGTCACCACGAAAATGTCTCAGTTTCAAGTGATTTCCTATAACTACAATAGACTTTCTTTTCAAACAGTAATATTGCATATTTGCATCTGGAACTATTGAAGATTTTATGATTGGTAAAACTAGAGAATTTGAGGTCAATTCGCTTATTCATATATTTGTAACATGCATTCATTCTTGTTAATATTAAAAAATATTCTTTTATGCAAGGCACGAATATTTTTATGGCATTCATATTATATAGATATATATAGCATAACAGTGAAATAAAACATGAAATTAAGATGTGTGAATATCACAAAAACGTTCATGCAAGGTGCTGTTGGAAAAAAACAAATAAAATTGCAAAAAACAAGGTTGTTTGTTCAAAAAATTAATCATCCAATTTAAACAATATCCCAGGTGGTAACGTTATGTACAATTTAACTGTTGTTAATCGTGCGTCAAGCCAAGTTCTTCCAAAAAATCGTCTCATTTAAAAGTGAACTGTGTGATTTACGGAAACAAACAAGCATTTTAAAGACATCATTGTGCGTACTTTATTCCATAGTTGTAAACGAGATGTTTATATTTTTTCATAATATTATATTTCATTTTATCATAATATTTCTGCAACTTAAGATAAAAGCAGTTTATATAAACGGCCTTGATGGCAAAATACGTGCATTTCTGCTGCTGCGTAACTAAAAGAAGAGAATTACAATTGGAAACCAATAGGTACATGGGAAAGATTTATCGTGTGCTAATTATCAACGTGCTCGCAACGCGTACCTAAGTGAAACGAGTGTTAAAAATAATATTACCCAATCAACTATTAGCTATTTCAAACAATTCTAAATTAGCGTTGTCTTTTTTAACAAATTCACCTGCTGTAGCTATTTTTTGTACCATGAAGTATAAAATAAAGTGTTGTTGTTTAAGGATAAATAAAGATTTAGGCAAACAAGCACCGTGCGTTCTGGTCATTTACTGCAACTTTTAACTGTTGCATCCCAAATGTTAAGAGCAACTTTTTCCATATCATTAATGTAGTTTGAAAGAAAATTATGAACGTTTAAATACGACAACGAGGCTGACAACATCGGAAATTCTTGTTCAAAAGTGTTCACATCCCAAGTATTTTCAGATAAGAAAGCAGATGATTCTTCGTCTAACACCTTAAATTTGTTAGTTACTTTACCAGGAAGACCGAATTTGTTCTCGTAGTAAGTCATTTCTTCTAAAACCGAAGTTATGTTAAAACCACGTACAACTCCAGGAAGGGGAACAATGCTCACACAAGCTGCAACACCAGTCATTACAGTTGCTCGAACTAGAAATTTTATAAGAAATACTTGTACAAGACGGAATTAAGGAAATCTGCTAAGAATCTTCTAGCTTAAAGAATATGTGTCAACCAAGATGCATTGCGCTCTTTTTTTCATGTTAACATCGTTACTTTATAAGCTAGCGGCATACTGAATGCAATTTTGTCACTTTACATCGTTTAATTTATTCAAAAAGTTAGCAAAAAAACATTGACTAAAAACTCTATTTTACATTAATTATTATCGTTTTTCTAAGTTGCATGGACTACAATAACAAAATCCATCATTTTCTTGACCGACAAAATGACTGTCACGCTGTGATTAACGCGCAATGCATCATGGTTAACCCACATTCTTTAAAATAAATTCACATGCATAAAACCAGCACAGCATATTCATGTATGAATACATGGCTACGGCACTGCAGATAATTTTTCACAAATAACAAACCTTTCAATAGCTTGGCCTTTCGTTGAATGCTTTCACGAATCACATTACTCAAAGAAAGAATGAAGCATTCTCGTTTATATGCTGGTAACTCTGAAGTAATAGATCGAATCAAATGATCAAAATCATATTTCTCTGTTTTTTTGTTGTCGATGAAGAACACGAATTTTATATTGTCGTCCAGATCTTTCAAGTTTTTCAAACAATTTTCCCTCATACGTTTCATGACGGATGCTTCATCAAACTCTGGTCCTTTATCATCCTTCGCATTTTTGAGGTCGGTATCAACGTTGGTGCGAACAAAAAAGAAAGGTTTGTTGAGATCTTTTGAAACTTTCTCAGCCAACTCTTTGTCACATTGAGTGAATCGCGATTTACAAAAAATAAGGAATGCATCGTACTTCTCCAGATCACCAATTTCTTTACAGTATGTTTCAAGATTGGGGAATGTAGGTGTTCCAATGCCAGGTAAATCCCAGAAAATGATGTTTTTATTGTTTGAGTGTAGATATGGAGTGGGTTCCTTTGTCATTTCTGTAGTCCCAACTGGTGCTGCACCATCATCGTAATTTTTAAGTCTGAAAATGACGATTCGATTTTGATGTTAACATATAGTAACATAAAACCCCGAAAATATTGACAAAAAACATAAAAAGCAGTGTCATCATTCGTTTTATGACTGAATGTAATGTTATACTGTTTTAAATCTACTTCAAAGTAAGGTGTTTTACCCTCTCACGACGTTGATGAAAGATGATTTTCCTGTTCTAGATCTTCCCGTTATGGCAAGATTTATCTTCATCTTCTCGAACACATTCAATTGGCGATGGTAAAAATCTTCGATACCAGAAACGCCATGACGATCAACGTGATCCTTTGCTTGGACAAGGAGTGCGCATTGTTCATCTTTAACAATTGAGCTAGTTTTATAAATTACATCTTTCAAGGTCTCTAAAAAGCGTAAACTTCGCCGTTCTATCAACTTTGAGATCACTTCCCGACACAACTGACTGAATTTCTCTGGAGCCTTGTCATAAATCGTGTAAACATCTTTTTCATCTTCAATCAAATCCCCCATGTTTTTCAAACAGTCTTTCATTATGTTTTCCATGACTGATGCCTCATTAAATTGTGATCCTTTATCTTCTCTGGCTCTTTTCAGATCGAGATCAACGTTTGTGCAAACGCAAATGAAAGGCTTTTGAAGCTCTTTTGAAACTTTTTCTAGTAGCTGTTGAACATGGTGAGTGAATCTTGTTTTGGAAAAAATAAGAAAAGCGTCATATTTCTTTAGACCACCCTCAATCTTGCAATATTCTTTTAGATTAGGATATGTAGATGTTCCAATGCTTGGTAGATCCCATAGTTTAATATTTGCATTTTCAGGATGAGTGTACTCAGTCGGTACTAAGGTTGACTCATTAGTACCAACTAGTGCCGCACCCTTATCATTAGCTTGAAGTCTACAAAAATATATTGTATGAAACTTTTTTCGCATGTCAATTCAAGTCATATAAATTTAAACTTTAAATTTGAATACATATAACTTAGCGATAACAAACGCCCATTCGACGTTCAATTGGCCTACTCGAGAACAGCTTTTCTTATATTTGCTAAACATAATAGTCGTCAAACATCACAAAAAAATTCACTGCAAACCACTCTTATACGAGGCAATGTGATATGGAAGTAAAGCATCTTTCATGATACGTGTCATTACTGACAGTTGCGCGTAAACGATGCAAGAAAGATTTTGATTAGTTCAAGGACTTCGTGTCAATCACGCGTGATTTATGTAATCACGCAAAAATTCAGAAGAATTGGAGGTGTGATAAAGAACATGTAGCATCTCAAACATGTACTATTAATAAAGATTAACGTGCAAATAATTTTATCTTACTTCGCCTTGCTTGAAAAGAAAGATATTTTCAAAGGGTGGTTTTTCTCTTTAATTTGCAAAAAATGTTTCCCCTAATCTATTTCATCGCAATCAAGTATAGATTATTACCCTCTCACAGCGTTGATAAAAGATGACTTTCCTGTTCCAGATTCTCCAGTTATTGCAATATGTATTTCCTTATTTATCCATGACTCGATTTGATGAATCAAATTTACATTATCAATATCTTGAATGAAATCATCAACATCAATTAAACCATGTTTCTTAATGCGAGACTTGGCTTCTTCTAAACGTCTTTCTTTTTCAGTTAATTCCTTGTTTCCAGAAATGACTGGCTTCGATGAAGATGAACCCATTGCCGAAGAAAATTAACAATTTGATGGTTAAATTACGAAGAAATTTAAAAAAGGTGAATGATGTCGTCAATGTTAAACTGTCATCAAACTGCAGGGTTTCTTTTCTTTTCATTATATGGTAAATAGTTCCAGGAATATGATACAGTACTGTAAAAAGATAATACATCACTTAGATTCGTAAAAAAAGTATTGGACAAAGATAAATTCATTTTTAAAATGCTTTCATGTAATTCACAACTTCTTGAGCTTGAATTTTGTAAGGATGTATTGCTATTCAAAAGAAAAAGAAAAAAAGATTTCGATATGCTGTATTGAATTGACATAAAGATTGTCCAAAGGTCGATCTCATCATTTCAATTCATCTCAGCACGAAATGAGCGTGAAAGACACGTGCAGATCGTTATGTAAATTTAGACTGAAAAATTATTTGCTGTTGGAATATCCTTACTTGTCCTCACTTTATCTATTAAAAATATTACTAACATAACTTGAATTTAATTAGGATACCTGCTTCTGCCATTATAACTCAAGCCACAAAATATGTGAAAGCTAAATATGGGAAAAATTTTATGCACTAGGTTGACGTATTGGACTTTCACTTTTTCAGTTCATTTTATTATTTACTCAAAAAAATATAACATTAGTGAAAGTTATTGAAAATACTAGAAATGTGGGTTACACTTTGGAACAAATTCGATGTCATATATTTTTGTAAGAACGATGGAATTTTCTTAATCTGTATTGTAAATAAAAAATCCTTTATGAAAATCATCCAACACGCTGACCACACACAATGACGTTAACTTATAGCTACAGTAAGAGTTCACTTTTAATTTCATAAATGTTTTATGTTTGGCCGAGTTGTTTTCAACAAAAACTACTATACACACAAGATTTATAAATTTAATTCGCCATATAAGTGATGATTTAACGAACTTATTGAGACATATGGTCACATCACATATATCTTTAAATTATGTAAAAATTCCAGCAATTCCAGTTAACATCAATAGCACTGAAAATGAAATCATCAATAGCACTGAAAATGAAAAAGAACATAAATGATGCAGCATTTCCCTCCGTTTAAATATTGTAGAACCTGGATTGAGTCGAAAGAATTTGATTTTAAGCCCCATTTTTTTGTGGAATGAAAAAATAAAAGTGTGCATAATATGTATAAGAGCACGTTTTTATCCCTTCCTTCAAGGCGTATCGTTTCTTCAGCTAAATATGCCCCTTGAAGTCCAAAAATTCTTGTTTTTTGTCAAACACAACGTGCAAACTTTCACATTACATGCCTTTCAGCAAGTGATATTCATTACAGCGTTTGTTTATAAAACTTGTGGTCAATAATAAAATGTATACAGACGGATCACGATCACTGTTGTCGGAACCTATGATATTTTCTTCTCGCTCAATTTGCTCGGCGCATATCATCGGCAATTTTTCCAGCCAGTAAATAAGACTTTTTCACTTTTTCCAGTCACTAAAATAACATGAAGTCATTTCTTAAGTACAAATATTCTCTAATTTACTACTCAGAATGACGTCATAATGTATTAGTGGTTGGAAACAGTGACAAACTCTAATTAAAATGGAGTTGTGGACGTGAAGATGCGGTTCACAACTGAGTGACCCTTCTGTGCTTGGGGTCAGACTAAAAACTTTTCCAAAAACTTTTGTCTGAAATTTTAGCGCAACCAAGCCAAATTTAAAGAGAAACGTTTTCCAGATCGTTGACGCACATTGAAAGAAAGTCATAAGCGTTGTACTTTGTTTGCTTATTATGCACAGCATACTAACACTTCAAATATGACAATGCGACAACATCGATCAAAATGATAACAGGCTAGTAAGCTCCAAAAAAGACCACAAAACACTTAAAAAATACGCCAAAAAGACTAGAATGTTTTCGCAGGACAAATTTATTGTAAATTACTAAATTTTCAAGATGATTGTCGCTGACTTTACGTTATTGACACGCCAACATGTTCAGGGCAAAAACGCGACGAAAATTTTTTTTTCAATTTGAACTAAACTGGATATAATTTTTGATCCAACAGTTTTTCCTTAATTTAACAGATAAATTTTCTCAATTCTTCCAGTAACTGACAGGAGAAGCAATGCAAGCTAAAAGAGCTTTTCTCTAAAAAACAGCTTGTAATGGTGGAAAATAAATTACCAACATTTGACCAATAAGAGAACTACCAACAGCAATGAGAAACATACGGTTTGTCGTTAAATCGATCAAAAAACTGATTTTTCTAGTCAAAAAATTCCTAATAAGTGCAAGATCATCTCATTCCTAACGCTCTTAGTCACCTTCAGTTTGAAGACATCAAATTTACAGTTCATCAAACAAACCACTAATTTGTTGAGCAACTAAACTAATGTATTTTCAGCTGATGTAGTGATATTTATGATAAAAAAAAGAAAAACATTAATACTTCCACCAAATTCATGGAGTATTTTCCGCCATCAGATCCAATTCATCTCTATATAATGAACGTCGAGGACTTACCATACTACGAGTGGGAAGGGATTTTTATGTTTGTTTATAATAAATTGGAATTTATGGCATAATGGCTTTGTGAAGAACACTTAAAAATGTTTTAAAACTGGTCATATCGAGGAATTTTCAACCAATACTTGTTGTGTGTCTTTACTTTAGCAAACAAATAAATTTTCCCATAGTGCATTATGTGCATAGTCACAAAAATAGTTCGAACTTCATAACAAATCCTACTTCACTATCGCATACAATTTATAAACGAATAATTGACTTCCATTCTAGAATCTCCAATATTTCATCGTGTGCAAAAACATTGAATAACTAACCTTTATGTAAAGCAGACTATAAGTATATGTGTAAAAGAATATACAAAAATAAAAATAAAAAGTTAACATACGTTTTTAAGATCGGATAGTTAGAAACCAAAATCACAAAACAAAATTGTTTGTTAATATAAATATAATGCTGTATACTAGTTGGCAAGGTTTGAGTATATACAGCTTCTTTTCTGAAGCAAACTTTAATCCTTGTAACACAAACCTAGCCTTTCATTCATGCATACATTTAACACAGTTATGACTCAAGATATTAAAAGATAATATCTGTTAAAAGATTTGGTGACGTATACTTTGGAAAAGCAGAACTAAAAAAGAAAATTAAAATGTCGTGTTATGTATAGCTACATACAATTCTGGTTATACTACTAAGAGGAAGAAAATGATAGGAAAGTACATCTATATCATACACATGATAGATAAAACAGTTGATCGTTAAATCTGTAAACATTTTCGGGAATGAACAAGCAAAATTGTAAAAATAAGCATTATAAATGTCATAAGATAAAATTATTACAAGTTGTTGTTGTATTGAGAAAACGCCTACTGTGTGCAATTCAATTTGCATTGCCCTAAACTATTTCATCCCAAACATCGAGAGCAACTTTTTCCATATCGCTGATACACTGACAAAGAAACTTCAAAACGAAAACAAACGATAATGCAGGAGACACAAACTGTCCAATTCTTGGAATGAATTTTGTGAGCTCTACAATACCAATAGCCTTAGCACTATCACCAAATAGAAGCAGTAAATCGTTGTCTGTTTGAACCCTGTAGTTCAATATGATATTTTGTGATTCTGCACTCAACGCATTGAATATTTCAGATTCTTCATCAGGAAGGGCAAACTGGCGACGGTAACTATGAATTTCTCCTAAAATCACAGCTAAGTTAAAAGCTGATCCAACTTCAGGAACAGGAGCAAAGTTTAAACCAGCTGCGGCAACAGCCACTTTTGCTGCTCGATCTAGAAAATTTATTAGAAAGGCTCGTACAAAAATTAGAGTGCGCAAAAGATCATGCAGAGGGAGTTAAGAAAATTCTGTGAAGAAGCTTCTGGCTAAAGTAAAAATCAGACAACCATGCAGTGTTGTTAACACTATATAAATTATATTCATGAATGATTGGCTATGTCACTCCGGTTAATATCTGTTAAATGACAAACCTTTCAAAAACTTGGCCTTTCTTTTTATGCATTTACGTGTCACATTACTCAAAGAGAGAATGAAACGTTCTTTTTTACGTTCTGGTAAAACCAAAGATATCGATTTTACCAAACGATCAAAATCGTATTTCTCTGGAACCTTGTTGTCAATCATATAGATATACTTTACATCATCAATCAAATCTTGTAAATTGTCTAGACAATCTTTCCTCATTTTTTGCAAAACAGATTCTTCATTAAACTGCGGTCCTTCATCATCATTGGCGTTCTTTAGATCTGTGTCAACGTTAGTACGAACAAAAAAGAAAGGCTTTTTTATTTCTTTTGAAACTTTCTCGGCCAATTCTCTGTCATAGTGGGTGAATCGTGTTTTGCAAAAAATAAGAAATGCGTCGTATTTCTCTAGAGCACCAACTTTTTTAGAGTATTCTTTAAGATTGGGGTATCCACGTGTTCCAATGCCTGGTAGATCCCAAAAAATGATGTTTCCATTATTTGGATGAGTATATTTAGTGGGAGCTGAAGTTGATTCTGTAACACCAACTGGTGCTGCTCCATTTTCGTGAGCTTTAAGTCTACAAACAATAATATTTTACTTAATTGTTGCATGCTATTTCACATTTGTCCATGCATTTTTAAATTGGTTACCTAATTTCTTATACCATGTTTTACCATAAAATATAAATTTGAGAGATTATATTTGTATTATACCTTAATGGAAATGTGATCAGTCGTTTTTACACTGGTTGTGATGTATTTGAAATTCATCGAAAATTAATAATTTACCCTCTCACAGTGTTGATAAAAGATGATTTTCCTGTTCCAGTAAATCCAGTTACAGCTAGAATTATCTTTTCTTCCCTCAATGAACTAATTTGACGATGGTAAAAATCATCAATACCAGAAAGACCTTGACGATCAACGCGATCTCTAACTTGAGCAAAGCACTTATCTTCTTGAGTCATTGAGCTATTTTTGTATATTACATCGTGCAAAGATTTTACAAAGCGTTCACTTCTACGTTCTAGCAACTCTGTGAGAACAGCCGTACGTAAATCTTTGAATTCATATTTGTCTGGAAACTTGTTGTCAATCATGTAGATGTCGTTCTCAGCATCGATTAAGCCTTTCAAGTTTTTCGAACAATCTTTCTTCATTTTTCTCAAGACAGATGTTTCATCAAACGCTGGTCCTTCGTCATCCTGAGCATTCTCTATTTCGTGATGAACGTTGGTACGAACGAAAAAGAAAGGCTGTTTAAGGTCTTTTGAAACTTTATCAGCCAGTTCTTTGTCAAGTTGAGTGAGCCGGGATCTGGAAAAAATAAGAAAAGCGTCGTATTTCTTTAGACCACCCTCAATCTTGCAATATTCTCCAATATTAGGATATGTAGGTGTTCCAATGCCAGGTAGATCCCAGAGTTTGATGTTTTCATTTTCAGGATGAGAATATGCAGTGGGCCCTGTGTTGGTTTCGGTAATATTAACTGGTGCTGCACCGTTTTGGCGAGGTTCGAGTCTACAAATTTAATGAATTATGTCTAACTATTAATGAAAATGATAAATTTTACTTAAAAAACAAATAATTAAAACTTAAAATTCATTACACAAGGTGGTACAAGCAAAAACTTAAAATGTAGATATGAGAAAGAACTTAAATTTAAATGGAAAGAAAGCACTGCATTTTCCTAAATTTGTGAGATTCGAAAGAAAAATTGCAATAAGAGAAGAAAGGATTTACAAAGTTTCTGTATCTATTTCATTGTAATTTAAAATTAAAGATGTTTACCCTCTTACGGCGTTAATGAAAGATGATTTTCCTGCTCCAGCACATCCTGTTACAGCAATATTTATTTTCATGTTTCTCCATGAAGCAATTTGAGTTTGGCAAAAATCGTCAATATCAACTAAACCATACTTGTTAACACGGAACTTAGTTTCTTCTAAGCGTTTTTCTTGTTCAGATAATTCTCTGTTTCCGTAAATGACACCGTTAAGAGAATGTAAAAAATACTCTTTACGACGTTCGAGCAACTTCAAGATGACATTTTCACGCAGATGATGAAAGTCGTATTTTTGTGTATCATTGTTGTCAATTACGTAAATATCACTTGCATCTTTTACTAAGCCTTTCAGCTTGTCAAAGCAACATTCTTTTATTTCATTTAATGCAGTGGCTTCAGTAAACTGTGATGCTTCGCCGTCTTCTGCATTTGTAACATTGACATGCGCATGCGTATGAACGCAAGCGAAAGGCCTTTGAAGCTCTTTTGAAAATTTTTCAACCAGCTTTATTTCATGGTTTGTGAATTTTGATTTGCTAAATATTATAAATCCGTCGTATGTCGTCAGACCACCGATGTTATTAGTGTACGTTTCAAGATCAGGATTATTAGGAGTTCCAATGCCAGGAAGATCACAAAGTTTTATATTTTCGTATTGAGGATGAGGATATATTGTTTCCAAATCTGATTCGTTGTTTGGTGCGGCTTCTCTTTCGTCAGCTTCAATTCTGTACAGAATATTGATTTTTATGTTATTTAACTGACAAACATAAGTGTCAAAGATTTGCAAAACAAATTCTTCCAGCCTTGTTATCTAAAGACATCGATAGTGAAGCGAAAAGAATAAGAAATAAATTACCCTCTTATGGCGTTGATGAATGACGACTTTCCTGGATTGTTTGATCCCATTATGGCAAAATATAACTCAATTCTCTCCCAATTAGAGACTTGTTGATTGTAGAAACTATGTAGATCATGAACTTGATTTCTTTCAACCTCTTCCTTGGCATTTCTTAAAAGTTTTTCTTCTTCTTCTTTTAACACTGGTTTCGACGGAGATGAACCCATAACAAGCTAATGAAAAAAAGGAAAATTTAATGGTAGGATTGCAAAGAAATTTGAACACCGTAAACGTTGTTGTTGTCACAAAGCTTACATCAAACTGCAGGGTTCCTATTAGCCTTACCTTATATGGTAAATAGTTCCAGGAAGATGATTCAATACAGAAAAACGAAAGCAATTCGTTCAGAACTTCAAAAAATGTACAAGCGTTAAAAAATTATCTATCTTTTCAAAATGTATTCATGTAGCCACCAATTACAAAAGCTTGCGGTTTTGTAAGGTCATAAAACATGAAAACAAGTTGGATATGCTCTATTGAATTTATCATAAAGATTCTAATACCAATGATAGAAGATTGTCCAAAGGTCAATATCACTATTTCAATTCACCTTAGCTTGAAATGAACATGAAATACACGTGCCCATATTCTAAGACAAATAAAAGAATGCAGTCAGACTGGTAATTAAACTACATTCCAGAATTTCCATCAAAATATATCATCATTTCTATCTGTATTTCATTATTAAATTTCAACAGCACATTTAATATACTTGATAAATATATTTAATTATTTGCTTTCCGCAACATAAAAATTTCTGAAAGCAAATTAAAAAATTCTTATTAACAACTTATCTATGAGCAACAACAAATCTGTCTTACTATTTATAACATTGTAATAATATTACTACAATTAAAATATAACATAGCATAGCTCTTGCAAAATTTCTTGAAAGTGCCAAAAGAAGTGTGTTATGTTTGGTGAGTTACGTTTGAATCAGAAATGAAAGAAAGTAAATTTATTTGGTGGGTGCTTTCGTTGGTCCTAAAATCATTATTTTTCTTAAGAGCTTTAAATAGACAAGTAGCTACTTTGAGCCAGTCTTTTTTGAGCTTTATGTACTTGGAATTTTCTAGGTTATAATTGTTGTGAAAAACATATCTTGAGATTATTTATATGAGTGCTATAATCTTCATTAATTCTCCAATCCTATTTATCTTCTGTGTGTGATTAATGCGTAAATGGAAACATTGATTGCAGCCTTTATTTAAATTGAAGAATCGACAAGATAATGTAAAAGTTTGTTAAATTCCTTATACAAATTTCACAATGCCGTGAGCATTGATGTCTATTGTTAACGATGAATACAACATCATCACTATAAAATCTGGTAACCAGCTTTATTAAACTGGATAACAGTGGATAAAATTTTCCTATCCATGTGCTTCACGTGCTTCATTATTAACAACAAAATTGACCTTTGGACAGTCCATGATTAATCAAAACAGTACATTTTGTCTTATTTTAAACTTTTACCCAAATTTGTTACTTTTGATGAACTGCAGAGTCTAAAAACTAAAAGTTCATGCAAATAGTGAGGATAATAACCGGTTTTTGCATTTTACATACTTTAAATCAAAGTTACAAATGATGTTTCATTTTCTTTTTCTTTTCTGAACCATTCCAGGAACTAATTATCATAAATATGCTTTCAAATGAAACCCCACTGTTCTGTCAGTTTACAAGCTTGAAAATCGGTTTTATAATCGCCAATGCATCGTCTAAAAAGTGGTTTTATACGTTGTATTGTTAAATAATGGGCTCACTCTATTCTAAAACTGGCTCAAATGTTGGACTCAATAAAAAGGAGGACAATCTTATAAATAAGACTCAGAAATATCTAAGGACTAATGGACTGGATTGGTCATTCTACAAAGACCAAGTCAATAAATGGAAGAAGTTAGAGCTAAACATTGCCTTAGCCGGATCAAATCAATCGGAAAAAGCCTCTTTCATAAAGTCTATCATTGGGTAATTTAAAATCGTCTTAAAATATAATTTTATAACTTAATTTTGCATGGCAGTTCGTTCAAAGACGTCTCATTTTGAATGACGTCAATATTATTCGTTAATCAACAAACTAAATGTGTATCACAGCTGGTCAGTAAAATTTGATTTTTCAGGGAGTTTTAACGTTTTTCTTAAGTTATAACATCTGTTTTCTGTAATGTTTATGTAGTCTCTATAATATGATTGAAAATGTATTTGTTAAAAATATTTGGTTTCTAACACACTGGTGATTTTGTTTTTACTGTGCAATTTACATACTCGTTTGAAATAATGCAGAATTTAAAATTCAAGACTTAAGCAGGTGCTCTAATCAGGTTGTCGCACTGATTTAAAATATTTCATTTTTCGATTACGTGTCATACATTCAATGACTTTGCACAGGGACACTAAGAGGGAAACAAGAGCATTTTATATCACGCTTTAAAATCAAATTGCCTTAGGCATATATTGCCCTCAGCCAAAACAGTCTCTCTCAGGGGTGCTGTTTCTGTAACAAGAAGTTTTTAAAATTTAAATAAGATGGATTGGTTAAGAGTTTGTTACAGAAGAAATAAAGTTACAACAAATATAAACAATAAGTCTAACAACATTAACTCTTGTTAACGATAGCTGAGAAAACTTAATTATTCATAACATTTAATGTTCACTCTGCTTCAGACCTAAAGCTCATAAAGATGGCAATGAGAAACCATTTGCTTATTCTTATCGTAAAAGTGAAAACATCAAGCTATGGGATCTACCTGGCTTTGGAACACCTGAAGCACCTGAAGATCCAAATATTGAAACCTACTGCGAAAACATTGGTGGTCTAGAGAAGTATGACACTTTTTTTATTTTTTGCACACCAAACTTTACAAATTGTGAGAGAAAACTAGTTGATGATTTAAAAAAATCAAGCAAGCCTTTCGATTTCATTTGCACCTACAATGATGCTGATGTCCAGAATGCCAAAAAAGATGAAGATGAACGTCATGATGAAGAATCTGACATTGAATTAACAGTAAGAAAATACTTCTTGAAAAAGTTGAAAAATGTAATGACGGATAAGACAGATTTGCATCTGATCGACACGAAAGAAAAAAATGACTTTCGTCGTGAGCATGATGATGTTTTCAAAAAGTTTCTGGAACGTCGGCAAAAGTTATTTCTACATTATTTTAATGACGAATTTCACAAAAATAGCAGATACAGTAAAGTAAATGCAACTAAAAATGAAGGTGATCCAGATGAGATTTACGAAGATTTAATTCAGTCATGGAAAAACGTGCAAATACATCTAGCAATAACCGGAAATTCGGGAACAGGAAAATCATCTTTTATCAACGCCGTGAGAGGGTAATGAACTTTCTTTTTTTAAACGATATAACAAAATAATGCTTTTAAAAAGAACCTTTTACATAAGTTTTTAAAAATAAAAAGATGCAAAGAGAATATTTTATAAAACAAATAAGTCCAAACTTTTACGTGTAAAAATTTAAACTTTACCAATGTGCATAATGAATAAGTTAGCGAAGAAAGATTAAATAAAAATATACAAATATTCTTTTCTTCAGAATTAAAGCTTATGAAGAAGGTGCAGCAGAAGTTGGTGTTACAGAAATGACAAGCAAGGTCACTAAGTATTCACACCCAGATAATGACAACATCGCTTTCTGGGATCTACCTGGTATTGGAACACCTACATATCCCAATCTTAAAGATTACTGTAGAAAAGTTGGTGGTTTAGAGAAGTACGACGCATTTCTTATTTTTTGCAAGACAAGATTCACTAGCCATGACAAAGAGTTGGCAGAGAAAGTTTCGTCTGAACTCAAAAAGCCTTTCTTCTTTATTCGCACGAACGTCGATTACGATGTCAAGAACGCCAAAGAAGACGAAGGAGAAAATATTGATGAAGAATCTGTTTTGGAAAGAATGAGGAAAGATTGTTTGCAAAACCTGAAAGATTTGATCGACGATAAGAACGATATCTACATGATTGACAACAAGGCTCAAGACGGATATGATTTCCAGCGTTTGAAAGAATCAATCGCCGAGGCCTTACCAGATGAAAAGAAGAAACATTTTGCTGATTCCTTGGCCATTGTAACTCATGCTATCATAAAATTACAGGCTAACTTGCTGAGAGGTATGTCATTGATTGATATTATCATATAGGGGTTGTTCATCAGTTTTTTATTGTTTGAGTATTTCAATCCATTTTCTTTTCAAGAGGAATCTGCATGGGTAATATAAATTAAGAGACGGTAATACATAATATGAATATTACAGGATTTATAAGCAAACGTTGAATTTAGTGTTATATTGCTCTTACATCAAACATGTTTTTGAGATAATTTGTTTAACAGAAATATGATAGCCCAAAATATATTTTAATAGACCTATCATGATTTTTTTAGTTGGAAAAATTTCGTTTTTAACTGTAGACATCTTCATAAGATAGTAATGATACAATGTATGAATATGGCCATTTGCGAATTTTATGTAGGGCTATCATATATTGAAATTTGTTTTCTGCTTGGCAAATCTACGGCCATGATTTCAAATTTGTTAAATTTATAAATTTTAGAACAAGCACTTGTGGTTACGCATTGTTTCTCGTTAGCTATGTCTTCACAAGAAACGACTCTACAATGGCTTATATTCCCAGCTCTTTGGCTGTTCACGTTTATAGTGGTTACACATTGTTTATCGTTTGCTATGTCTTCACAAGAAACGACTCTACAATGGCTTATATCCCCAGTTCTTCGGCAGTACATCATAATCTTTGAAATGATTGTACTTAAGACTTTGTCAAAAAAGATTAAGGAAAATATATGTCTTTTTGCTCAAAATATGTAAACTCTAATTATGTATGACTATCTCTTAAACTGTTATAATGAAAGTTTTAGGAGGGCTAATTTGTCTTTATTTATAAAATATAGAACAAACACTTGTGGTTACAAAAGCACTATCTTATGATCCGGCTACATCCAAACCTCAGATGTCTACGAGTGACCTAGATCTTGCACGTGAGGTGATCTCAAGAAAACTAATTCCACGATTGTACAATGCATTAAATGTTCCTAAAGAAAAATCTGATGAAATCAAGCAACAACTTTTGATAGACGAATCCATCAAATCTATGAAAGGATTGCCACTGGAAGTTATATTTTATGTTCTTACACTGTACATTGATCGTCTTGAAGAATATGCTTTACAATAAGTCAATAGTAGTAACAATTCACAACCACGCACAAGCTTTTAAAACTTATGACACACTTTCACTTTCCAAATTGTTTAAATGACAGAAACGTCTTAGTTGTGTTTGTTCACTTTTATATAAATTAATAAAGGGAACTAATGAAAAATATTGAGTTTTGTTCTGTGGTATTTAACGAGCGTATTTATCAAGCGTCACTCCGGTGAAATAGCTTCCTTTGATTGCATGTTTTGGTGATCCATTGTTTTCCCTTAATATTACGTAGAAAAGTAAAAAACGTACAAAAATCATTTGCGAACATGAGAATTTGACGAAGAAAAGTGTGAGAGTGTGTTTTACTCTGTGTATTTCGCTTCTTTTATCTGAGTATTTCAAGAAATAACTTTATATGACATAAGATAAATGACGTCATCACTGTAAAGTAAGAAAAGATAAATGGTTGCTTTAAAATTGAATAACAATGTAGATACAATATTTTGTAGTCAAAACAGGCCTATAATAACTATTTCCTTACAATTTTGCTATTTTAATGCAAAGTGACGGAGCACTGAAAAGAGTACATGTTTAGTGAGTAACTAACCCTTGCGATCGGTGGAGGAATATTTTGGTTAAAGTTAGCTATTTGTATGAACATGTTTCTTTGGAAAAAATAGAGTTTTGTATTTATGATAAGAAAAATAGTTAAAGGAATAAGACAAAAAAAAAGACATGTCATTTTTAATCTTTATCACTGAACTGGACTGTGTTTTTCCCCTGACAGCTATATTGTAAACATTTTAAAGTTAATGACATGGCGTTCGAAACAAAAGCCCACACTCCGTGTACGTTGTTTCTGCCAAAACAGAAAAAGCCATTGGCGAAAACTTACGCTCAGCTGATTGCATTTCTTCAATGACAAATCCTGTCATTTATAAAAAGCGAAGTTTGCAAAAACAGCATATTGAAAAAAACAAGACACGTTTGGATCTTTTAAAGACTTGCATTTTTTATAAATGTGTAGCTAATTTCTTTCAAAAGAATGTTCATCAGACTTTGTGTCGAATCAGAAAATATCGAATCAAGAAATTGACTTTCATTCATCAGCCTTACTTGTCTCAGAGAAAAAAAGAAAATTCTCTCTTTTTTAACTCCTAACAAAAACAAAACCCCATCAAAAACATTTAAAATATGAAAAATCCTGTAGATTAAGATTTTCTAATTTTTTTATTTTAGCGAAATTTTTTTCCATTTATAGAAATATTTTGAAATGTGATAGACAATGTAACAGTTTAGCTTATGCAAGCATTGAATTGTCGCCATCTCTCACGGTCGAGTTGTACACCTTCAATGCTTCATCTTCCAAATTTTTGTTGCATTTTAAAAGGTAATCATAGGTCCATTGGACTTTGGCTGATCAATCTCTATGCAAATGCTTCTTCAAAACAACTTCATTGATTTATTTAAAGACCTGTTCTTCAGATTTTAACTTATTATGTAAACCAAATACACGATGATATCGAATGACTTCTTTAGAAATCAGTTTCACGAAAACTGAAGGCTCAGACACAGCAATCACCAATAAAACAATTGCCATTGATATTTGAGTTAAAAGAATAATTAGAAATGAACCAAAAGATTTTTATAAAACATTCGTTGCTATGTCCAGCTAAAGAAAAAGTAACCTAACTTTTAGGGATTTTAAATCTTCGAGATCAGTTCAATTTGAGCAAAATGTTCAAAGAGTTTGACATTTCAGTATTTAGGATGAGATACGTTTTCATGGAAGGTGATACGTCCTTTAGTGATGCCCTTTCTTCTTATGCATCAAATCTGTATTGGTGTTTTCGTGTAATTGGTGTTCACACCACGTTTTTCAGATACTTCTTTTTTCCAACTTAAGGCGATTTTTTTTAATGAATTCTTTGTTTCCGAAAATTTTTTTGTTCAGGAAACGTAGAAAATACTGTTTTTGACGTTTTATTAAATTCGACATGATAGAGTTACACTGATCATAAAAGTCGTCAGTCTTCACTGTTCTCACACTGTAAAAACTGATGGGTTAAAATAACATGCATAAAAATTGGTTAATTCAGATGCATTTGACCACTTTAACCAATATTTTTATGGTTACTTTAACCAATCATATGGTTATTTAACGAATCAGGTTTTACAGTCAAATACGTCAATGTTAGAGCTATCCTTAACAAAATCTTTCAGACAGTTGTGAAGTACACTTCCGTGGATGAAACGAAATGGTTTCGCGAATCTCTTGAAAGGTTTTTAGCAAGTTCTTTTTCAAGGTATGTAGAAAAACAGGCTAAAAACGCAGTAAATTTTGTAGATGTTGACGTCGACATCCATGAACAGATAATCAAAATCAGACAAGACTACCATAAAAAACCACAGAATAAGAATATACAGAAGAGTCCCTTGTGTTGGAGCCTTTGATGTTTTTGTCTTCGCGCATGTCGTGTCGCGCATTTTTTGACTATTTCCAAACCTTTAAAGTGATCCGAAGTCCTTTCTTAAGTCAAAATAGATTGAATTCATTATCAAGTATTGACGTCATGTAACTTTAGTGGTTGGGAAAAAGTGAGAAATCCTAATCATCTGGCTGGAATAATGGCTGACATGAGAACACGTTGTACACCTGAGTAACTCTTCTGTATAATCATTAATCTGTGATAAAACCATACACTTCAACTTAAAGGGTGGGAGGAGGGGTGTGATGTTCATATACTCAGTTGTGCACCATTGACGTTTTTTGAAATTACATTCGCTTTAAAAAAATCAGTTGGGCTGACCTGAATATAAGAATATTTACCATTTTACCCAATAATTAGCGCTTACCTTTGCCCTTGACATCAGCGTTTTGTCTCCATTATAGTACGATAAATACTTCTAGGAAATAATTATCAGAAGCAGCGGAGCATGTTTTCGAAGGTGGGGACTGGGGGGAACTAAATTGAAAATAAATTAAAACCAAGTGGAAGCGCAAACCCCAAACAGCTTAGCGTGTGTAAGGTCGCACAAAATATGAATCCACATGATCATATCGTCACGTCAGGATTCGATAAGTCACAAATAAATTAATGAAGAGTAAAACTAATGTTTAAGGTAGGTTTGAGTATGAAAAATTGTTTTTAGGTATATAAATAAAGAAGTTCAAAACAGAAAAAACAAAAACAATGAGGCCGAATCCTAGAATACAAGTAGCAGTCATAGATAGTCCTCGACTGGGTACGAAACAAAACAATAGAAAAACTTTGTTCTTGACTTTGTTTTCATTTATTGAGCATTATGTTTTGTAAGACTTGACAAAACGGTTAGCAATTTTTGTTTTCTTTTCTAAATTGTTGCTTGTTATGCACAATATGCCAACACTTTAAATATATTGAAGAGATCTACATTTAAAAATTCAGGTCCGTATTTTCAGTAAGCAAAGTTACATGAAATTATTTCAACATTGATGTTTAAACCGAAAGTACTAAAGTTCAGACAGATTTAAGGACCTTTCAAACTCATTTTGACTTTGAATAAAATTGAATTTATGCTAGATAGAACTAATAAGCTCCAAAGCAGACCACAAGACACATTAAACATGGACTAAAAAGACTAGAATGTTTTTGAGGGAAAAATTTATCGTAAATTACTAAATTCTCAAGATGACTGTCACTGACTTCGAACCATCGACATGGCAACTTGTCCAATGAAAAAACATGAGACGCATTTTTTCAAATATGAACTAAACCGGATATAATTTTTCATCTAAAAGTTTCTTCTTAGATGAAAGTCTAACAATAAATTTTCTCAATTCGTCCAGTAACAACACAGTGGAAGCAATGCAAGCTAAAAGAGCAAGATCAGAAAGCAGCAATGCTTCTGTCTGAAAAACAGCTTGCAATGGCGGGAAATAAATTACCAACATTTGACCAATGAGAGAACCACCAACAGCCATGAGAAACATACGGTTTGTCATTGAGCCAATCGTTAAAACTGACTTTACCTTAACAAAACATAAAACGTGTTGGTGTGAGAGTTAATTTATGAAGTAGCATCTGTTCGACTTTACTCTAAGGTAAAATTAAAGTTAGTAGAATGTTGACTCTTGTATTTTCTAAATTGTAAAACAAATGTTTGAAAAAACTGGTTAAATACACTAGTAATCGTTCATTTGTAAAATAGATTTTTCTTCTAACAATCCTTACTGAGCGAAAGAAGATCCTTTAATCTCATTTCTTACGCTCTAAGTCACTTTGAAGACATCAGAAGAAAAGTTAATCAAGGAAACCATTACTCTTTTGAATTGAACTGATGAGTTTTCAGTTGATATAAAGATAGTTAGAATACTTTTTTTTACGAAGAAAGCTGTTTTAATGAAAACAAAAAAACGCCAATTTCTCCGCCATATTTTTTTTCACTACTGTTCGCCATTTTTAATCATTAATGTTTGCTATCAGATCCGAATGATCCTTGTATATCGAGGATTTGCTATCATGTGACTGACAGGGGAAAGTTGTGTTGTCGGGCTTTTTGATAAACAAGTAAAGATGTTTACATTGTCGTCACATTGTCTAGTCTTTAACCAATCACAATTATTCGCATTACTTCATTTACCAATCAAACTTATCCTGCAGTCTTGATTGGCTATTGTGATAATTAAAAAGTCCGTAAAAGGAAGGGTTTGTGTATTTGATAAAAGGTTTCTATAGAGGCCATCAAACACAATGATATAAATAGACCGTTACTGAAAAACTACGAGAGAGGTCACATGACGATATTACGTCACACTCGCCCCCATTTCTCTCAAACACAAATAAAAGTTCTACTTCAACATCTTACCTGTGATCTGCAACTGAGAGCATTAAACATATCAAAAAATACAAAACACGTGAAAGTCATTGTTGTATCACGTGCTGTTATTTTGTCATCAATCATCTAAAACATGAATAATAGAACGAATGACAGTAAATTAGACACAGCAAGAGATTGTTATCCACCATTGAACATAACCATCGATTATTTCCCACAAAATAATATACTTTCTTTACAAAAGGATTCAACCAAACAGCCTCCCTTCTGTTTTCTCAGTTGACAACAGAACAAAAAGTAAAACAGACGATTCTTCCATACCTCACGCCAGAAAACCCATAATGTTCCCATCACTATAATCATTGCACTAGTGACAACATTCAACATCAGAGAGCGTGTTATGATTGGTTGTTTTACATCACGAGGTGGCTTCGTCATGACGTCACGATCCACAGGTTCAACTCCCAAACTTAAAGATACAAGGGTGGTGATTTTAGGAACGTGTTCATGATAATGGTGCATAACGAGAAAGCATTTTAATGATTATCTCATATTTATTGCAAAAATTTGATGTTTGAAAGCTAAATATAAATCCTCACGATACAATGTTTTAAGATTTAATTGCAATGACCAAGAAGTAAAAATTAAGGAATACAGGATTAGGGTAGACAAAGTCTTCTCAATTAAATTTTATCACAAATGAGCAACTTCTATCTTCAAGCAAGAGTGGTATAAAAACATTCAACTGAGACGTTCAAGTTCTAACGTGCAAACGCTTGCATCTCTAGAAAGTTTCTACAACATAATTCGCCTACCTTTGGGCAGGTGGTCCATCCATAATGATATTAATCCACAAAATTTGCATGGCATTCAAAGGATTTGGAAGTTTGAGGAAGGTCGAAATACATATCAATGTCAACGCTGCTATACTCCTGAAATAAGATAAAAAGAGTTATTTTAATGAACAAAACTTTTCAAAAAGCAACTCTAACATTTCCAAGCAAATATTTACTTACGTGCTGAGCTGGAAACGCACAAAATTCTTAATATTATAAAAAATCCCCTTTCCTTCTTCAATGGCAGACATGATAGTGTTGAAATCGTCATCCACCAAAATCATTTCCGCAGCTTCCTTACTCACATCTGTACCTATTTTACCCATCGCGATCCCTATATCCGCACGTCTCAAAGCAACTGCATCGTTTACACCGTCACCCGTCATCGCAACCACGTGACCTGCACGTTGTAGCGCCTGCAATGTGTAAATAATTGCTTTACGTCATCACTAGTTTCAGACTCCTCAACAACATAAGTCATGTACGCAAGACAATAATTAGTGAGATATTGTTTTACAAAAACAAGAAATTGTCTACGAAATAGGGAGTTGAATATTCCTTCCATAAAACAATCTAGTACAACAACATTTTAATAAAGTTGAATTCAATGTTGATTTAAAGCAGTAAGAGAAGATTTCTACCTGGACAATTGTTAGTTTATTTCTCGGACTAACACGATAAAATACGGACGTCTGAAATTATAAACATAAAACTTTTACTTCCTCAAATTGTTCATAATCTTCAATGATCAAGTATGTTTCTTTTTGCTCATCATGAGGATCCTATATCTATAAACACATCACAAAAAGAGAGTTCCCTCCCCCCAAGGTAAAATTTAACGTATAAATGCTAAATAAATGAATGCGAGTCAGTATTTCAAAGGTCAAATGTGATTTTTCTGTTTTCATACAGTAATATGGGCAACATTCTTCAGACCACATTACAACATGACAATTACCAACGAATAATGAAGCTGAATAACAAGTGAATGTTTTTATACTAATGCTAAATTCAAGATTGGGTGTTATTACATTCAAGAAATGAAACATCATTTTTCAAGCACGAGTGACTCATTCTTTACATGGCAGTTAACAAATTACTATAAATCGAAATAGTGCTGTCCTGAATTGATCCAAGATTCGTTTACTGAAAATTTATGACAATTCCATCCTCCATCTCGGCACACAGAAGGTAATTAATAACAGAAGAAAGGGATTTATAAGGCAATACGTACAACGGCTACATTGACTGTCGATACATTGTTGAATGCCGTGGTACACCTATGTATATATTTCCTCAAAATCCCTTCAAGTACATAAAAAACCTTACCCTTTTAATGACGTTATCCAGTTCGTGAGGCTGCAAGGCGTCTAGTTCTTCCCCCGAAAGCACGTGATAACCAAGTCGGTAAATTCCGACGATTTCCGCTAAACAAAAGATAACATTTGTTTAATAAGATATCGCAAGTGAAAGTTCCAACTTTTCAGTATATTTACTATTTATGGATATCAAAAAGACTCCATTAACCGAATTACGAAGTGTAAAATTCTAATACTCTTTTAAGTCTAGGCAGTTCAGACACATACGTCATAAACACGTGAAGACAACGTGGTTTGAACTCATACGTAAACTTCGAAACACTAGTCTACCGCTCTCTACTCGTTAATCTAAACGAACCTGGAGACCAATGAAATTGCTACTACGACAAGCAGTATTAATTATTAACAGAAAGTTGCAACAATTCTTATTTTCTGACTATGGCTTTCAATTCCTTAATGTAAGTCTAGAAGATAATAACATAAAACCGTACTCTTATCTAAAATACATGTCATCATTGTCATGATAATCTGTCCATTCGCTGCTGTACTAATCTTAACTTTAGAGAACTGTAGTGATGAAAAAAATCCTTACCAATAGTAAGAGCAGTGAACTTAGAGTCGCCAGTTATCATCTTCACCTGGACACCACTGCGCAATAGCGTGCGCACCGACTCCTCAACACCAGGACGAGGCGGGTCCAAGATACCCATAAATCCAAGAAAGTTAAGCTGTTCGAGACTTGTTCCACTAGCAAAACCAATCACTAAAATAAACAAAACAATGACAACATCACTGCTACAGTACTTGATCTTAGAAAGGTAAATAGTCCTCCATCCTGCGGAGTTTCTCGATCAAAATGAAAAGATTATTTACATTATAGATAAGCAGGTCACCGTCACCTATTTGGCTACAATGAAATGCAATTCTACAAAATGATAGAACGCGCCATCCGCTCAACTACAAGACCACAGATGATCCATCAGTGATTTCTATAAACGCGTGAGTGATCATACAACTCAAGATTTGCTATTCGAAAAAACTTTACGACCAACCCTGTTTTATCTATGACATCACCGACTTGACAGTCCAGTGACCAAATAGATCACCTATCTAGCACCTCACCAACTAAACTCCAAGAGTAAAATCAAAACACAAACATTACCAGATATTCTTTACCTCTCAATCCCATCGACGACATTTGTGAAATACACTTATTAATTCGCCCCAGTTCTTCAGCTGTCAACACGGCCAACTCGTCATTATTCAAGAAATGGGTGCAAAGTCCAAGAATTTTCTCCGGGGCGCCTTTCACGTAATATAGCCCCTTTAAACGAGAACGAAAACATGAAATGGTTCATCAGAACCTTGAAGATTAAGAGATTTCTACCTCAGCGTTTTGTTGTCGTTTCCAACTGCATTTTACCGCCATCCATTTGTGTTCAGAACTGAATGGCTTTTCTTCCAGACGAATATATTCATCTCTTATATCATTCATACATAACTGACAAAGATAAATCCAGAAAAAAATGAATGAGATCAACGTATTAACAAGAATTGCAGGCCCACATATTGTCAGCGGTAACTATTTAGTATAACATACCTTTATAGCGGCAACAAGTAAAGCACCTTCTGTTGGCTGACCCATCAAAACGCCCGCATTTAAGGTGGCATTATTACAAAGACAGCCTGCCTATACAGGTGGCGAAAAAATCAAAAGTTCAGTTTATGTTTAATAACGTACATTTCAAAAGTCATTTACAGTTCAGACATGTTTTGCCCAGGACGAGAGTGCTTATACAAATAGTTTCGTTAGTAGGCCATTTGATACCTCGAAAAGTACGAAATCATCAAAGTAAGTTAATGAAAAGCTTACCTCGACAATTTTTCTGATATCGGCATGCTTTCCCGGATCAACAACAACATTTCTTTCTACAAGACGTCCTTGACAGAGATAGGATTCAGATGTCGTTACGTCACCTTCAACACTATATCCAACACCTGATACCTAAGTAAAAATATCCAAAAAAATCGTCAAACATACATAAAATGCCCTGTCTGGTGCAAACTATATTTTCCTAGAGCTTTTGCATTCAGTCAACTTCGGCTATCCCTGAGGAGCAGCTTTATACTTCACAAAAAACTTCAACCAAGCTATAGGCTATCAAGATTTCATATAAAAGAAATTCGAAGAAAACAATTCAACGCTCTGACTATGTTTATGAATTACCTGCGCAAGTTTTCCATTTGCGGTACATATCTGCGTGACAGTCATCTCGTTTTTCGTCAAAGTTCCAGTTTTATCGGAGCAAATTACAGTCGCACATCCTGATTAAAAAATAACCAAAAATTGTTCTTTGTAAGTGGATGGAAAAATTCTCACAGTAATTAAAGTTAATTGTTCATTAATGGACACTTTTTCTGGGTTAACTGTCTGAATTGTCTCCCTAATTAAGTTTTTTAAATATTAATCTCCTCTTTCTTATAAAGTTTCAAAGGAATTTCTAATACTGTGGCGTCTGAAACATCTTTGAAATGTTTATGAAATGGCTACGTCATAAATTTCATACCAAGAGTTTCAACTATCGGCAATTTCTTTACAATGGCGTTTCTCTTAGACATTTTCATCACGCCTAAAGCCAGAGTCACGGTAACCACGATTGGAAGGCCTTCTGGGATAGCGGCAACAGCTAAACTGCACGGTCATATAGTGACGTCATTAGGCTGCATGTTCATCACGTGATTAACTGTATCGACTTCTGCTTTACCTTACTCCTATTGTAAACATCTCCAAAATCTTTCGATTTTGTAGCCAGCCAAGAAGGATGATCAATGCTAAAGTTTAAATGAAAGTTCACATGTGAAAAGGAGAGCAGTATTTTACAATCATAAATAGATATGTCGGTGTATTTTATTGATAAAAAACGGGGATCATTATGAGTGCAAGGATTGCACAGGGGGTATTGTTAACTTAGAAAAAATTTAAACAGGGAGAACGTTGATAAAAGCTATACTTTTCACAACTTTTTGTCAGAGATTGAACACGAGAATCATTTATCAAATAACAAGCAAAAATATAACGATATAATAGTTTCAAATACAATAAGCTCTCTGTGGTACGCTTACCAATAATACATAAAGAATAAAACGACAACTGTTTGCCCAAGGAATCCATTGTTTTCTGAAGAGGAGTTTTTGGCGGCTAAAACGTGAACATAAAACTTTGTAGAGATGAAGATAAAGTCTAAAGACGTTCGCAAAACTTATATTTAATACGAAAACTAAAATGCTAAAGATGAAAAACATGACATGAAACAAAAACTTCTGGAAATTTGTTATCTAAACAGATGTTAAAGTGAAAAAAAACATGTGAAACATGACAATTAAAAATATTTCAAGTAAAAACACTCCGTGTAAAGAATTAACACATATACAATGTATGAAATGCAAAAGCATAGCACGTGACTTGTGAAATACACGTTAGGTAAAGACAATTAAAGTGTAAAAGATGACAATTAGCAATACCTCTTCAGCTTTCATGAGTTTGAAAACTTCACCAAACTGCGTGTGTTCGCCAGTTCCCGTTACAATCCCCTAAAATATAATTTTCAATGACTTTAATTAATTTTCATTCATAAACAAAAGTATAGATAACACCCTTTTACCCTTTATCACCCTGTACTTGACAATATTTAATAATGTGGAGCTCTCAGTATCAAGAAAGAGTTTGTAAATTTTCACCTTATCTAATGCCGTCGTTAACACTAAATACATTTAAAAAGCACAGTTTAAATTGTACGACGGTGTTAATGGTAAGGCCCAAAGGTCTTGACTTCTATTTTTGCCAACATAACAAGAACATCACTTCAGAAAAGTTCATAAAGTTGAGTACCATGCCTTCATTCACCATTTTATATCATTTAACAGTCCCCCCCCCCTCCGGCTACAAGAGAGTACATTAAAGACATAATGAAATTCACACCCTCTAAAGCCTTTTCTTCCTGGTACAACTACAAAGAAACTCACCTTTCCATTTCCACAGCGAACCAAAGTGCCCATAAATGCTACATTTTTTTGCTCGGTAACGCTACTGTTCGCTAAGGCTTCTGGTATTGATGAAGTATCTTTCCTCTGGGGTTCAGTTTCCCCAGTGAAGCTTGATTCATCAATTTCAAGGTCTACGGCCTAAACACAACAAAAATATCAAGGTGAGAAAGACAGCTGGTCTTCATATGGTAAATGAGTGAGGAATTTCAGTAAAGTTTTCAAAAAGAGTAAGGAGATAAGTATGTTCAGAGGCAGTCGAGGGAGAAACAGCTCACCTCAACCAATCGTATATCAGCTGGTACACGATCACCAGTAGCTATGACAACAACATCCCCACATACTAATTCTTTGGCAAGAAAGTTTACCAATGAACCATTCCTAAAGCTAAAAATACAGAGAATATTCAACAAAGAAAAGGCATCCAACATCTATAAACTGAAAACAAATAGAATGATAGCATAATGCTATAACCAACAACTACAAACAATAACGACCTTATCTAACAACATTTGAGAAATTAACCTTCCACTCCTCTTCCTTGTAAACAAAACAATTCTACTCAAAAGCAGAGGTTAATTTCTCAAATGTTGTTAGATAAGGTCGTTATTGTTTGCAGTTGTTGGTTATAGCGTTGTGCTATCATTCATTTTGTTTAATAACATTCCAACTATTTAAACTTGTAAATATATAAACTGCTGATAACAACAAAACATTGACATTCTTAAGTTAAGAGTCCATGCACATGGTAGACATGAAAAACAAAAACAACAAGAAAATTTTACCAATGACAGGTTGGGGGAACAAGTTTTTTGATTTCTTCAACAGATTTATCCGAGCGATATTCTTGGACAAATGCCACAGTGACGACTATCAAAACGGCCTAAAAATGAAATAGTTCTCAGTCAGGGTGTCAGGACCTTAGTCATGAACATTTTCAAAAATGATTCCTAGTAAAGTCACTAATTATAAAAACATAATATATACTTACCACCGTAATGCTTAGGGCGTCATCGTATTGTCCCATTATAATGCTTACAATTCCAGATGCAAGCAGCAGCAATATCATAGGCTCTTTGAACTAAAAATTTATATAAATTTCTTTAATTTATATACTTTGCTTTAGCGAGTACATCAGGAGTGATCTGACGTTGATTCTCGAGTCCTTTAATACTCCAGTCGTTTTATACTCCAGGCTGGTGTCTTCCTCAGGAGTGATCTGATTTTGAAACTTAAGTTGTTATACTCCAGTCTAATGTCTTCATCAGGAGTGATCTGATGTTGAAACTTGAGTCCTTATATACTCCAGTCTAATGTCTTCATCAGGAGTGATCTAATTTTGAAACTTAAGTTGTTATACTCCAGTCTAATGTCTTCATCAGGAGTGATCTGATTTTGAAACTTGAGTTGTTATACTCCAGTCTAATGTCTTCCTCAGGAGTGATCTAATTTTGAAACTTAAGTTGTTATACTCAAGTCTAATGTCTTTATCAGGAGTGATCTAATTTTGAAACTTGAGTTGTTATACTCCTGTCTAGTGTCTTAATCAGAAGTGATCTGATGTTGAAACTTGAGTACTTATACACTCCAGTCTAATGCCTTTACCATGATTGATCTGATGCAGCCATTCGATTCCTACTAGAAAAATCTTAACAGAATAAAAAAACCACCCAACCTGATCAAAATATTTTCGCCATATTGGAACTTCAGCTCCCACATCAAATTCGTTCAACCCGTATATTCTTGCACGTCTTTCGGCTTCAGATTTGTCCAAACCAGTAGATATATGAGTCACAAAGTCCTTTTCTACATCGTCGATGGACATGCTAGACACTTTCGCTGATGGTATAAACGGCAACATTTTAATCTCCGGAGTCTTACTCTTACTATCTGTTTCAGATTTCGAATTCATTTAAACTGTGCAGTTTTCGCAAGCGTCGCAGACGAGAAGAAACTGTTAGCGTGTTTTCATTTCGGATATCCTGAGGACATTTCTGTCAGCAGGTTAATTCAAAACAACTTAAACATGCCAACATAACAGAAATTTTTAATTTTAATTGTCATAAATTTATTCGAGCATTCTATTTCCAAACATCACAATCATGCCGAGCGATACTTCATGTAAGTATTTCATTCATAAATTTCACGCTCCAGGAGGGGAGGTGGCTGTATCCTTCCCAAGAGCTTATTACCATAAACTATTAATTTTCTTCCGATTAGGCAGAATTTATAATATTAATAATTAAATAATAGACATGGATTCATATTGCCTATAAGATTTTTCATACATCGTCCAATTCCGCGAAGAATTTAGCTATCAATTACTGTATAGGAAATACTTTGCCATCTAAACTATTTTCCTTCTCCTCCTATAAACCCCACACCCAGTGCAAACGTCCTCCCCCCTCCCCGCCAGTAAAAACCCATCACAATAATGACCATCAAATCATTCCATAGAAAAATCCACCCGTGCTATAGTTCATACGTGAATTTAGTCCATATGATTAATAGTGAGATGTTCACAGATCACTTCAGTAGTTCACAGATTCCATCCAAATTCCGGAAAATAACATACTATTGAAAATTTTGTTACACGTTGAGAATAATTACAGCCAAATTTTTGTATATCTTGGCAAAGTTCGGTGTTCGTTGATATTTAAAGGTAAATTGTTTCATTGATATTTTTGCATTGATCTGAAAGATCCTGTTGGGAAGATTTATTTTCCTCTTCAACACAATACATAGAAACACATATATATAAGGATTTATGGTTGTATTTCATAGTTGATACATCTTGACGTACAATTCACTGACTGACAACGTCAATCTAAACATGAACGACTTATTATAGAGAATGTAAACGGTCCATATAAAACATCCGTTTCCCAAAAAATTAATGCCATTTCCAACCACCCAATCTTCCCTCCAAGGATGAACAAATAGTAAGTTCTTATTAATTGTATTCATACAAATTCTATTAGTTTACATCGAAGTTTCGAATACTTGGCTTTCATTTGAAAAATTGTTTTGATTTAATCATATTTTATATTACATACGTATGATCTTATTTTAATTATAAAAAGTTTCTATGAGAATATCAAGTGTACGCGGCTTGAAATTTTGTGCAAAATTATTCCAAAATAGGTGGCAGAGGTCTATTTTGGAATACTTGAGTTTCTTTCTGAAATTCTTCACTAAATTAGAGAGCGAGGGAACTCTCTAGTTTAGTTAGAATATTGTAAAAAATCTTTTATGTGCATGTTTTTGTGTTTTTGTGCATGTTTATGATCATCTGCAAACACCGAAGAATGGAAGTCGAAGATATTGTCTTCTCGAAACATGCCTTCTTTAAATTTTAATATTTAACCCAAAAATAAGTAATAAAAATTGGTTTAACTTACTGCAAAAAGCGTTGCTTGACAATGACAGGTTATAGCTGTGTGGTTCTGAAAGAGATTGAAGCAAAGAAGATTGATGAACGATACAAGCAGATACATGCTTACATCTCTGTTCTGCTCTTCTTGATCTTTTCGTCCTCCGCATCTGAAAAATACTGAGGAAAAAGTTGTAGTATGACAAAACAAACAAACAAACAACTGACAAACAAACACATACCGCAGTCTCAATCTTCATCGGTCAGTGCCACGAATGACTGTAAGAATAATGTTAAAATACAATCATGACGAACTGTAGGAGCACATAAATTTTCAAAAACCAGTGTTTGCAGACGATCTGTCGAAATTTCTATCAAAACTGGTACTTTACGATGATTTGCAGAAAACAGCTGTAAACTGCAAACATTTACAGGAAAGATTTACTTTAATGGCACAAAAAATAACTGTCAGATTTTTCAAACAAAGTCAATCATCTCCATTCAACATAACGGACAGACAGAAGTTAAATTTTGTACTGCTATGTAGACACTGTTATAACATCCCTCAATATTATAACAGTGCAATCATAGGTACAAATAAACCACTAAATATTCAAAGTAGACGGCTAGTTTGACTGGCTCGTTATAATCATTTCACACATAGATGTTGAGTTTAAAGATTTTGCAATACTCTGCCTGCGTATTGCAATTTCTGTTTTCAACCATGATGATGGATATAATGTAAATTACATTTTGTTTTAATTTTACGCAAGATACGAGAGCAAGAAGCACGTTTATATTAACATGCTCTAAAGCATGTTAACTGATTTGTGCTAACATCTACAAAATTACTCCATGGTATATAGAAGCGCCAGTCAGTTGTTGCACAAGTACAACACATCTCTTTACTACCAAATCCCCCAGTTATTACCAAATCAAGCACGTGTCAGAACTAGGCAATAAGCAAACATAAGCTAGCTCTCTGTTGGTCGGTCGAATTATTGATATGGACAATAAAGAAGGTCGAAGGATGATCTGTTTCTTCCGCTAGCAGCATCTTGAAGTCAACTTTGTTGTCTAGAAATATAGAATGCGAGAGAAATGAAATTGATTTTTTCAGTATCGGAAATCATCGCACCATGAACTAATTATGCTCGTTAATAAATCAGTAACTATCTCTACCTGCTTTGGTTACTTCTTAGTACTTTAACATGGCTCTCTGATCAAATAATTTAGTATGTTCAGCATCATTAATTCTTTTGACACCCTGGCTCTTGCGTTCACTTCATTGCCAGCTTTCCTCTTTATCGTCAGTGATTCTCAACCGTGTGCACTTTTAAATTATTTGTTATAGAATTGAATTTCTTAGCCTGTGGTTGTCATATAAAAACGATTTTCTTCTTTTCACCTTCCAATGGCAAAGTTACACAACGAGAAGGTGCTGTTGGTGCTGTCTTTGGTCATACTAGTCTTACTGCACAAGCAAAAATGATTATAAATTGTCAAACTAGACAGTATAAATGAAGGATTAGAATTAACATGAGCACAAACATAAGCAAGACTGAGCATAAACAAAACAATATTTAAAAGTATTTCCGTTTTCCTGGTCTTTAGGTCTCGCGAGAATACAAAATTGAATGCATGGTACACACGAATAGAATAAACATAAACGATAAAACTTTATTTCTTTTTCCCTTCAGAGTTTACAGAGAAAGACATGGAAATCTTCTTTCGTTTTTCTCTTGTTCTTTTTGTGTTCTTCTTTCAGCTAATGCCTAACACATTTCCTTTAACCTGTGTAATGGTGTGACTTCGCTCTTTTGAGAGTGTGGGAGGAGCTTTAGGAGTAAATTTGCCCATAAAAAGCGTGGTGTCATTTTTTATGTTGTTTCGTAAGCTGAAATAAGTACAAAAGATTGAAAAGAAGAATATGATGTTTGATGTTTTTTCTGTAAACCCTCGAGAGAGCCATAAGCACGCTCGTTGCTTATGCTTGGGATTACGTAGATGTTAATGTTCCAACTTTTGCTTATTGTTTTTCTTTAACACTTTATTGACACTTGACACAACATTCAAAAATACATATATTATATACAAACAATTAATGGAAAAAATTATTGCTTCGTTCCTGCAGTTGGATTGGCTGGATTTGAAAAGGATGCTTTATATGACAGACGAATTTACGTTCGTTTTATTCAGTTATTTTGGTGATGATTGACGTTGTCATCAATGTACAGTATGTCAAGAGGCATCCTATGGTGATACAGGTGAGCCACCCTCCACCCCACCCCCCACCCCCCTCAGATTTAAGAATTACTCAGGAATTTGTCCAAACAATTCATTTTTTGAGAAATTTTCAGAAATTTCCTTCAAATAGGCCATTATTTTCTGAGAAATTTCCTTAGAAAGAAGGCCATATTTGACCATCATCATCAAGCCCACTACTTCATGTAAAAGTTATATATGGTCTTCCAAGAAAACAACATAACAATTTTTTAATTTTTAAACCTCACAAGCCATCCTCCGCAAGAATATTTCTCTCCACATATCTGTTGTAAAAGAGTGAAAGGCAAATAATATTTTGAAGAACATATACAGTTCTTTTTGAAAGCAGGAAACAAGGTAAAAGATATATATGTTATTGTTATGCCTGAGTCTGACTTTGACTTTCACAGCGGGAAATTCAAACAATATTTATTTTTTATTTCTACGTATCAAAGATATTTAAGTTTTTTTTTCCTACACAGCCAATATTGTGAATTATCTTTTGTATAACATCTCTAAGTAAAGCAATATCGTTATAATGGATCAAGTTCAAGAACTTTCTGAAGCACTGCCTTTGCCATGTCAGCCATTCCTAAACGTCGAAGTAAATCAGTGCAAAGAAAGGTTAGTTCATGAAATGAACAAAGGACTGTATGCAGAATGATATTGAATTGGATTTAATGTAATAATCTAGTTGAGTGAGTCTGTGTTAGTGAAACCATGCTACAGGTGAAACTAGGTAATGAACAAATCATGTTTTTGTTTTGTAAAGAAACTTGAATAATTTTAATATGTTACTAGATTGACATCATTAGTCATATGTTATGCTTCAACAGACTCACTTCTTCAAACACCACTGTGCTGTCAACTCTACCCAATTTTTGGACTTCCACCCTGAACAAAACCATTAATTCAATTTGATAATAAGCATAAAAACATCTTAATAGTATTTACCACTTTATTTTAGCACAATCCCGGAGTATAAAATTGTAAAGGTTGTCGAAGACTTTCTTATCAACATGAATACGCTTCATGGCGACTCATGTTTCGTGGAATTTGTCGATCCTTTTTTGAAGGAACATGTCAAGAGCATAACTATTGTGTGTGACACAGATAATTTTTCAACGTATGGCAAGGTTATTGATCCTATTATCAGACAATATTTACTTTAGCATGTGTGAGAGTAGGCTGTTCACACCCCCCTGGTACTCCACACATCCCTTTTTGTTGAACCCCCCCACAGAAAAGAAAATGCAAGAACTCTTAGAGGATTGACTTAGTTTGATAATGAAGATTTACATGAAGTACAAACCTTCATTATTTTTTTAACAGATAATTGATTTGAAAAAAGTTATGCTAAAGTATCATGTCTATCAACTTCATGATGGGGGGCCTGGATATGAAGAACTTGAGGACGATATATCTGCTGCAGACAACTGGCTTTTGCCTACAGGTGATTAATTTTGCCTGCAAGTAGGTAGCATTTGCCTGCAGGTGGGTAAATTTTGCCTGCAGGTGGGTTGCATTAGCCTGCAGATAGGTAAATTTTGCCTGCAGGTTGGTAGCATTTGCCTGCAGGTGGGTAAATTTTGCCTGCAGGCGGGTAAATTTTGCCTGCAGGCGGGTAAATTTTGCCTGCAGGCGGGTAAATTTTGCCTGCAGGTGGGTAAATTTTGCCTGCAGGTGGTCAACTCACTTCAGTCCCAGGTCTTTTCGCTTTCACGAGCTATAAGTATTAGCAACTAATACAATTAATTCATCATTTTTAGAGGATTTTCAGGGCTTGTGGGAAAGCTTGCTCTTTGACTCGGATGTGAAAAATCAGGTTGTTCTTTACGATGAACATTTAATGTTTTCTCCCTTGAGCGAAGTTTAAATTGTACCTTGTTAATGACGTCTTTAGCTCCGAAATAAGTTAACGTTTCAAACAGTTAGCTTTCAAAACGTCAATTAGATTTTTTAAGGATTTTCCTAGTTTCTCCTATTCTCCAATGTACATTAATGTACTCGTTTATCCCTAAGCAAAGTTCAACGAAGTCACTGATCTGCTAACTTATTAATCTCTAATATTTTCAAAAGGTTTACGCAAGCGATGACATTGTGCACCGTTGTAGTGACAAAGCTTACTTAGTAAACATTAAAAATACACATCTCAGCAATTCTAGGGAGTTATGTCGATTAAAAAAATGTTAAAATTTTGTTTTCCTAATTTATTTACGAAAGTATATGTCGTGCCATGACTATGATATTTCATGTATCTCATTTTTATCTTATTTTTGTAGTTGCTAAGATATGCGGCAACGACTCTTCTCTTCTCCGACAGGTTTGTCGTGTGAAATGAAACTATTGAACTGAAGACTTTTTAGAGAAGCGAAATTGCAAAATCGTCCGTTTTTCCATCTTTCTAAAATCACTCCCAAACAATGACTTTTCAGAGAATTTATAAGTCACGTGTTTGAATCACATTTTAGAGGCGTCGATTTCAACATCATCTCGTGGAATAAAGTTATCTTACTGCATGGTAAGTTAGTTTCCTTGGTAACCATACGTGAGTAGCTACTTACTTCATCGTCCGTCACGTGTATCTTTTTACGAATCAAACTGGATTCTATTTTTGCGTGTGTTGACTTTGTAACAACTCTCATCTTTACGGAGTAAATCTCTTATCACTCATAACATTCAAGATTGAAAAATCACATATCAAAGTATTCATGAGAATAAGTTAGCTGCAATCAGATATAAAACGCGAGAGACGAGATGGTGTTTTAACGAGCCAACTGCGAAATGACGTCACGACCACCATGTTTGTGTGACGTCACCCGAAAACAAACAACGAAGCCAATCAAATACCAGCATTTACCATGCATAGTATATCATGTTTGTCTTCACGTGATCTACTGCAAATATCCAGAAGAATGAGTCGAGGTTTTCTTTGAAACCTTCACAGGACCACCCGGTACTGGTAAAACATCCTTATGCAAGGCGCTTGCTCAAAAATTATCCATACGACTTTCTGAAAGGTAAAAAACCACATTTCATTTTGATGTTACGTAAATCGCAATCCATTACTATCCATGTGTGTACTGCAACTAATATTGCCACGTAATTTTATTGTTATGTCGTGAATTATAAATACAAAGTATGATCCGAAAAAGGACACGTTGTAAACTCAACATTCAATTTAGAAAACAAGACGATTAAAAATGTAAATATTACACTTTCAATTGTTTTGCTTTGTAACTTTTATTTAAGTTTACAAGATGTTCTTTTTTTGCATAATCTTTTACTTTGTTTTTAATGAAATTGTCGTCTGCTCAAGGATTATGAACTATATAATTAAAGTGTGTTTCTACTTTTGAATCCTTAGATTTAACTATGGCCAGCTTATTGAAATAAACAGTCACAGTTTATTCTCGAAATGGTTTTCCGAGGTAGGCATCATTTTGAATAGCTCAAAGCAACATCACCGAGTGCGAAAATCTTTTGGAACCACAAAACATTGCCATAAATTTCCGTGAATTTAACCATCTTTCAAACTGTCATCCACCTTTGTCGTCACTCCCTGTCAATGTAAAATGCACGGCTCACATCAAAATATCAGTTTAGAAAACTGACATTTATATACCTGGGATTAAGATCTCGTTGAAGTTAATAAATCTAGTTCCGTATCACAAAATGATCATATCCAATTGAAAATAGCATCTGTAATTTAAAATGTACATTGACATTATCTTTCCCTACAAACAGAGTGGAAAGTTAGTGATGAAAATGTTCCAGAAAATTCAAGAGTTTATCGACGACAAACAAGCTTTGGTCTGCGTTCTTATAGACGAGGTAAACTTTGCTTAAACATTTCTTTCTTAATGCTCATGGTCAGATAGATGAAAAATCACCGACTATTTTTGTTTCTTGTTTCACGAAATACCCGAAGCACATGTACGCTTGTCGATAATGTTTGAGGAAAATACCTTTGCTATCCATATCTTTTACTTCCGAAGGTTGAAAGTTTAACATCGGCAAGAAAATCTGCGTTGAACGGACAAGAACCTTCGGATGCCATTCGTGTTGTGAATGCATTTCTCACTCAAATTGACCATATAAAAAGGTAAATGCAAAATATGAGCAGAATATGCATTTCGGCGAACATTGCGTCCTCGTGGATTTTTTAGTGGACTAAGAGATTGTATTCGGTTATATGAACGGCGAGGCCAGCCGGCAGGGTTGTTGCGTTATGTATTTTTTAATAAAATAGAGACTTTGTCGTGGTGACAAATCTGAAAATAGTTCTAAAGATAGCAAATACCATAGTGAATGGTAAAAGTAATATAATAAGTTGATAGTTCTTACAAGAACTGTTTTAAGTAAAGAGCACTAACCCAATAGTTCTAAATTAAACGACACGATTCATTTCGGCAGACTATTCCTCAGGTGTCAACGTCTGCTAAATGAAATTTATAATCTACCGATATTTTTAATGCCAAGACAACAGTCTTTATCAACTTATTATATTACATTTACCATTCACTATGGTATTTGCTTTCTTTAGAACTATGTATTATTTCTTTCTCTACAATGTTGTCGCTTTTACAGGGAGTAAAAGCACGAAAATATTTATATGACATTAACAAACTTGCTTGATGAGAACTTTGCTCAGTCAAATACTTACTATCTATCAATTACGTATTTACAGAAGTCTTCATTTGAACTTCATTTATGCGTTTATTTGCTAAACCTAGTCTTCCCCAATGTTGTTTTCTTCTTATTTCAGACATCCTAATGTAATTATATTGACAACATCGAACATAACTGGAGCCATTGACGTTGCGTTCGTGGACAGGTTGAAAAATATGTTTATGACTCGGAACATTTTTTAATTCACTTTCTCATCTAACTTCGCTATTTGTTCGCCCACAGAGCCGACATCAAACAGTATATTGGCCCGCCATCAGCTAAAGCTATTTATAAAATTTACCATTCTTGCATCAAGGAACTTGTAAGGGTAGGGTATTCAATGTTTTTACCACAGGATAAGAAAAAATATAGTTGAAACAGCACTATTTGTTTGTATGTAACTTATGTCTTCTTGTGCACGTGATCAACGAAATGGCTGCCGGTCAATTATATTTTCTGACCTAAAAGGAACGCGAAATGGCTTACTGCAACCTGTCATCATATACAATATGAAACAACAATTTGCCTCGTGAAGTATATCCCCTCTTCTCAGTACTGTGTACCTGTACGTCTACTGCTTTATTTCCATACCACAATATAGTCGTTTGTGCAGCAAACTAAGTTTTACAAACACGTTGCTTAAATAGAGATTAAACGTTGCTTAAACGATTACATTGTTGATAATGTTTACATAACCAAAATTAATGTTCATCTTTTCATCACAGACCAGTATCATATTACCAGCCACTCAAATTTTGGATTTAAGGTACAACTGAAAAAATCTACGAAGTTTTATTTTGACGAAAATTGACGTTGCTTTTTTTCTTCTTATATTTGTCCTTTATTGTGTATGTAGAGCTCTGGAAATTTTACGGTTTGTTAGAAATTTTTTTGTTCACTTCTATGTTGATGACATGGTTTTCATTTCCGATGTTCAACTTTTCCTCCCTATTTTCCATTGCAGCTTTGTCGACAACGATGTAACACACTGTAGTCTTAAATTAAAGAAGATAGCCGAGTAGTAGTAGATGTTTAGATCGTCCAGTTAGTGGAGTCCTGCGAAGACTGTTGATGTTGATGTTGACTGACTTCTCGACAACCTTAGCGGTAGTCATCTTCAGAGTCAACATCAACAAAAACAGTCTATCTCAGGACTTTACTAACCTGGACGACCTACATCTACAAACATAACGATACTTCTACAAACATGATTTAAATGTAAAAATTAGTTGAGTTGTTTGTGTATGTTCAGATGAGTTCTCAAATAATTTGGGACTGAGGTTTAAAATATACCGTCTTAATACTTGCAACATAAATAAATTGAACTTTGTAATACATCTACATTTAAGTCGTAAAGATGTTTTTCTTTGTTATCGTAGTCAGTAGTTATCAAGTAATGGACCACTCTCAAAATCACAAATATTGGTTAACTTTGGTTATGTTTCTTTGGAAGGCCTAACCCCCTAATTTTTTCTTGGGGCTTAAGCTTACCCTCCTGCTTTCTTTGAACTTGCAAGGAGCAATCAAGCGTCTCACTGTGATAAACCTACGAAGTACTCTTTATCTCATTTTCTTGTTTAGAAAGTTATCAACTAAGTGGTCGAACTCTTCGTAAACTTCCATTCCTTGCACATGCGCTGTATTCAAAGTAAGTAATACGAATTAAAGCCTTCACCCGTGTTCTTTTGTTGTACATGCATGTACTTATATTGTCCCTCAAACCTACGTAATAGGCGCAAACGATAACCTTAGAAGAGTTTTGAATAATCTTTCAATGGTTGTCGACAAGCAGTTCAAAGAAAAGAGAATCTTTGCTCAGTTGGTGAAGAAAAAGGCGTGCAAACGTGATCTTTTAACGATTGTATACTTTTATACAATCATAGAAATATTTTGATATGTTTTGTTGAAGATTAAGATTTTGTATTGCTCAATTTAAGTTCAATATGTAACATAGATCACAAAGTTTGCTAACTTATATTGATACTTTGAGACTCCTTACATGACGTTTCCGCAACACACCCGAGGTCAAAGTTCGTATATATTAAAATGCAACAATGTGTATAGTTCGTTATGGAAGATCATGTGTAGATTATTTTATATAGGAAAGGATATTTATACGATATAGTTAATTGTAACTGTTTAATTTCAACTTATGTTTACATTAAATGACATCCTTAAGCCAACTTTACTAATATTGATCGCTATTTTCGTGTTATACATCTATAATCATCTTGTTGTTAAAGATTTGAAGCTTTGCTGCGATAATACAGGTTTGTACAGCTATCTCATCTTTGTTTGTTGACTATCTGATAGCATGTCAACTCCGGGGACCAGATTTTTTATCGAGATTTATATGACATTAGAGTTTGTCGTACGTCAGTCTAATATCTTAAGTATGAACGATATGTTTTGAAAGATAAGTTTACATATACTCTAGCGTAGTGTCTTCTATCAAGAGTGATCTAATGTTGAAACTTGAGTCTTATATACTCCAGTCTAGTGTCTTCATCAGGAGTGATCTGATGTTGAAACTTGAGTCTTTATATTCTCCAGTCTAGTGTCTTCATCAGGAGTGATCTAATGTTGAAACTTGAGTCCTTATATACTCCAGTCTAGTGTCTTTGTCAGGAGTGATCTGATGTTGAAACTTGAGTTCTTATATACTCCAGTCTAGTGTCTTCATCAGGAGTGATCTAATGTTGAAACTTGAGTCCCTATATGCTCCAGTCTAGTGTCTTTTTCAGGAGTGATCTGATGTTGAAACTTGAGTTCTTATATACTCCAGTCTAATGTCTTCATCAGGAGTGATCTGATGTTGAAACTTGAGTTCTTATATACTCCAGTCTAGTGTCTTCATCAGGAGTGATCTGATGTTGAAACTTGAGTTCTTATATACCCCAGTCTAATGTCTTCATCAGGAGTGATCTGATGTTGAAACTTGAGTTCTTATATACTCCAGTCTAATGTCTTCATCAGAAGTGATCTGATTTTGAAACTTGAGTTCTTATATACTCCAGTCTAGTGTCTTCATCAGAAGTGATCTAATGTTGAAACTTGAGTCCTTATATACTCCAGTCTTGTGTCTTCATCAGAAGAAATCTGATTTTTAAACTTTTGCTAGTGTTATTTAACCATGTTATCTAAAAACTTTATCCTCCATAGTCCATTTTTGTACTTGTGTTTCCACTTGTTTTCTTTAATGTTTTAAAATAATGTTCTTGTTGACAGCAGAGAATTATTCTCATTATGATTTGGTCGTTGGAATACTTTCATCGCGCGGCAATTTTGATTTGAGGCAAAGTTTACGTGAATCTTGGGTTGGCTATGCAAGACGACATTCATCGCTCAATAAAAGGTAAACACAGGGAAAAAACTGAATTTTTTCATGGAGGGTAGTTGTAGTGTATTTTGTGTTCAATTAGAGCTACTTAGCATATGAAACGTTACAGCAAACAATATTTGTGAAGATAAAGTGTAGAACAGTGTTTCAAATTGGCCTGTCGCGTTTACAACGAATTTCTTCAATACCAGAAAACGTTTACAAAGTATTTCTTCAATACCAGAGAACGTTTACAAAGTATTTCTTCAATACCAGAGAACGCTTACAAAGTATTTCTTCAATACCAGAGAACGTTTACAAAGTATTTCTTCAATACCAGAGAGCGTTTACAAAGTATTTCTTCAATACCAGAGAACGTTTACAAAGTATTTCTCTAATACCAGAGAACATTTACAAAGTATTTCTTCAATACCAGAGAACATTTACAAAGTATTTCTTCAATACCAGAGAACGTTTACAACGTATGTCTTCAATACCAGAGAACTTTTACAACGTATTTCTTCAATACCAGAGAACATTTACAAAGTATTTCTTCAATACCAGAGAACGTTTACAAAGTATTTCTTCAATACCAGAGAACGTTTACAAAGTATGTCTTCAATACCAGAGAACGTTTACAAAGTATTTCTTCAATACCAGAGAACGTTTACAACGTATTTCTTCAATACCAGAGAACGTTTACAAAGTATTTCTTCAATACCAGAGAACGTTTACAAAGTATTTCTTCAATACCAGAGAACGTTTACAACGTATTTCTTCAATACCAGAGAACGTTTACAACGTATTTCTTCAATACCAGAGAACGTTTACAACGTATTTCTTCAATACCAGAGAACGTTTACAACGTGTGTCTTCAATACCAGAGAACGTTTACACCGTATGTCTTCAATACCAGAGAACGTTTACAAAGTATTTCTTCAATACCAGAGAACGTTTACACCGTATGTCTTCAATACCAGAGAACGTTTAAAGTATTTCTTCAATACCAGAGAACGTTTACAAAGTATTTCATCAATACCAGAGAACGTTTACAACGTATTTCTTCAATACCAGAGAACGTTTACAACGTATTTCTTCAATACCAGAGAACGTTTACAACGTATTTCTTCAATACCAGAGAACGTTTACAACGTGTGTCTTCAATACCAGAGAACGTTTACAACGTATGTCTTCAATACCAGAGAACTTTTTAAGTATTTCTTCAATACCAGAGAACGTTTACACCGTATGTCTTCAATACCAGAGAACGTTTACAAAGTATTTCTTCAATACCAGAGAACGTTTACAAAGTATGTCTTCTTTCAGTAGTGTAGCGCTGTGTGTTCCTATGATGGCGTATAGACTATACCAACAACAAGGTCTTTGTTTCGTTTATTAGTTTTGTTCAACACAAGAACAACTCATGCAAACTACATTCTTTCTCATATGATAAATTTAACTGTGTTGACTAACGTCATTGTATTGAGGCTAAACTCGTATATTCACAAGAAATAACGGTTCACGGTACACTTGCCCAAAATATCACTTTCTTTGCTGTGGTTTTCTTGGCCCCAGTTCCCAACAACCGTTTCTGTCGCAAAAAAACAATTGTACCAGTGATATAACTAAGCACAATGACTAAATCTGAAAACATAAAGTGTTGGTTACTATTCTATTGTTGTTTTAGAGTGTTGGTGAAGTTCGTCGTTTCAAATAATGCATGTTACGTTCCTCCAGAGTTCAGGATTGATCCTTACAAATGCGAAAGAAAGAAAATCGAATCTCCAGGTTTGAAAATTTACTTTTGATTTGATAGTTGTGAGGTTTGGCGCCTGGAAAAAGCCGATAAAAACCAATATGACGTTGGAATCTCGATGCAGGCAATAAACTAACGAGGCACATATTTACAAACGTCGAACATAACCAACTATACTTGTGATATTCAAAATTAATCAGTTGCGGATTACTCATTACGAAAAGTAAACCAAGTCATAGTTAGTTTTTACTTTTTGCTGCTTGGAACTTGCTAAAAGTGTTTTTTTTAGACCATTTATGATGTTGAAAACCGTACGAGCGATTGAATATTGACGAAAAAGACTTTCGTACCATCTAGTGTTTAAATCCGTGATGCTAAGAACTCACGAGGATTTCCCAATTTCTGCAGACCGTTTTGATAATTTTTAGATTTTAGCTTGAACTATTAATTTCTTTTGTATCGTTCACACTATGTGTTACAAACGCAAGCTAGGAAATGCAAAGGCAAAGGAACGTAAAGAACGCAAACGTTGTTAAAAGACTGAGCTTAGTGGAGGGATTAAATATCACCAGGCCTCGTAATTTTGTCTTAGCCTACATGCTCCGTAATTATTAATCAGCCACTTCTGCGAATTTATCATTGCTGTATGTATTTGTAGCGAAGATCAGACAGTCTTGATGAAAATATGTGTTGCTATCTCTCATAGAGATTTTACCGTCGTAGAGGCTGGAACGAGTGCATGATCAAACGTGTTTATATGTTTGTCATATTGATGTTTAGACTACGAAAATGAAATAATTGCTTACAAACGACCAAATGAAGAAAATTTGAGATATTTTCACAGTGGATCTATCGGATGGGACTTTGATGTGAGTATTAATTTGTTATTTGTAACCATTAAGAAATGCTCAACGGCACTGTTGCATCGAACTTGGGACCATCTGAACAAAGTCTGAAACCGGTTGCATAAAGTGTCTGTTTCGCTTCAGGAGTAAAAATTTGGGTTGGCAGTAGAATACAGTTATTTTCATACAGATCATCCGTCCCATTATTTTGACTCGTCTTGGCATCTCTTCATCATCGTTGAATTCAAAAAGAAACTCTTCTGTTCGACTCTACGACAGAACTGCCAAGGTTAAACCATGCAGTTTATAAGTACCGTTTACAAGTTATTTGATCTAAATTGTTTTATCTCGTTTCAGAGCGAAATTATATCTGTTCATTTCTCTTTCCAAGACCCTGGTACAACAGAAAACGGTTCGTCGTTTAAAGAAATCGAAAACTTTATTTTGCCCAAGGTTAGTAACAAGTCGATAATTTATCAAAATATTCAAGTGAATTGTTTGAGCCCGGGAATATCGTTATCATGTTTGTACAGGTCAGTAGAGTCCTGAGAAGGGCTGTTAGTGTTGATGTTGACTGACGTTTCGACAACCTTAGCGGTAGTCATCTTCAAAGTTAAGTGAGGAGTAAACGTCTGCAAGCAGATAACAAATATGGCAAACCTGACGTTTACTCCTCACTTGACTCTGAATGGATCTGATGTCGTTTCCTTGGAGATAGAGTGTCTATAATGACGAGCCTGTTGAAGCTAATGACTTTAGACCCAAAAGGTTGTTGATTGTGTTGTACGAAAGATCTAGTTTCACGAGTTGCCTGAAGAATAAAGTAAATTGTTTGAACCCGGGAGTATCGTTACATGTTTGTTAATGTAGATCGTCCAGGTTGGTATAGTCCTGAGAAGGACTGATTTTGCTGTTGTTGACTGACGTTTCGACAACCTTAGCGGTAGTCAAAAATGTCATTCTTGACTCTGAAGATATCTACCGCTAAAGTTGTCGAAACGTCAGTCAACATCAACAGCAACAGTCCTTCTCAGGACTCTACTGACCTGGACGATCTACATCCACAAACATGTAAAATATTGAAGCTTAGTCACAAGGTTAATTATGACTTTGAACTTTTCTATAGAGTTTGAACATTTGGTACGTTTCAAATGCCATTATAGGACTTCAAGGGCAGCGTCGTGTCTGAAAACGTAAAATGTTCAAGTTCTCGATGCAGAAAATGCGAGCATTTTGCCAACATTGAAAACGGAGAGGATTATTTCAATGTACACAAGGTATAAAACCATAAAGAAGTTTTGTGTCATAGCCAATTGGGGGTGAATTGTTATGATTTAGAGCAAGTGAAGCGATTTTCTCCGAAAGAATTACTATCCAGTAATAAATGTTTTTCTTCGGTGCCCTCTTATCGATATTTGGACTAAATTATTGACATTTTACGATATTGCTAAATACAAGTTTTTCAATGGATATTTATTGTTTATTTTACAACAGATTCTTAAGCACGAGGCTTTATTTCGCTTTTGATGTAGCAAATTCATGTGAATTAATAAACAATTGGTTACTTAATCGATGTTGCAAACATTACTAATCTACTAGAACGTACATGTATATAAAGGGTTTTCCAAATCAATGTTAAATAATTTGATTTAGAATTTTATCTTTTGTTGGCTACGGTTACAAATCTATGGTGAATACTAACCCAAACCTACTCTTGATTCCTAGATAAGACGGATTAACAACGAGTTCGCCGTCTTTCCCGAAGTCGAGGAATCAATTCCTGATGCTAGATGCGTTGATGGGGCTGGAACGTTCATGTATCGACTTTACAGTAGGTGTTTTTATGCTACATTACGTACGTACTGACTTCTTCGTTTTCGCGGTTAACAACGAGAAATTTGATGCAACAGTTGCTCATAACAGGATGCTTTTCTGCGCACATTGAAAAAGAAACATAATATCCTCAGCAGTAAAGTGGATTTGTTGCTAGCATTTGTGGGGGTAAGCCTCTTCTCAATGTTAGATTAATTTTAATGAAGAATGCCTCTCCTGTTGTAGTCCACGCATTGCCCCAAAGCCTTATAAGCTGTGAGTCTTTTCCGTTGGAAGCTTGCGAGAATTTTTAATTTTGTTTACTCTTTAAGAGAAGAGAAAATTTTGAAAACATAAAATCCTGTTTTTGGTCCATTTCGATATCCTATTAATTGAAAGGTGGCAAATATCCCTATTACTTTGGGATGTCAATAGCAAGCTTCTGCCCATCAGACCCCAGCGATAGGCTTTTCTCAGGGTACGATGCTGCTAAAATCGGATTTGGATATTTGTTGGTAGGGTGGTTTCTTGCAATGAAGTGCAAAGTACACATGCATGTATGTAATAAATTGGATGGCTGTCTCTATGCGATCAAAAGAAGTCATATGAATCCGAAAAGTTAACTGTTTAATCGTAAAATCACTCGAAATGTGAAGTTACTTTCTAGATTGAACCGTGAAAATAAGGTAAAAAGAAAGTTATTATTCACAATGAATTTATGACATAAGGGTATAATTTAAACGATACAAATGGCTTGGCTTATTAAATGCTAACTTTGTAAAATCTATTATAAGAATTAGATAATCCATTTTTTCCATGAAGCTCATGGATACTTTTGTTCATGATATGAGAGTTATATTGTATAAGGAGGCTATCGTTCATCACGAGAGAGTTATGAGAAAGTTACCTTGTAAAAGTTAACATGTAAAAAGCGTATAAACATATTTACAGTTGGTTTAAATTATAAGTCATTAAGGCGGAATTTTTTTAAACTTTTGCAGTATCCTTGAATGTTCTAGTTTCTTTTTATACAAAAAAAAGATTAAATTCAAAAGCAAAAAACCCCGTTTTCGGTCCATGCTTCCCGATACCTTCTTAAGCCGAGGCACTAGAACGCCGCATGTTAACGTTTCGGTAGGAGATTTCGGCCCCTCCACGCTATCCTACTTGGGAGATGCAATAGCAAGCTTCCGCCCATCAGACCCCGAGATCACCTGCGATAGGCTTTGCTCGGGGTACGCAGGGAGAGTGCGGTCGCGACCCGAAACGTCTGGACCCCTAAGCCACTGCATACATATCGCACCCAGCTTCCACTGCTAGTTGACATCTACTATACCTAATATTGGCTTTATATATATATACAAAAATTCAGAGGCTTACGAAAGTTGCGGTATTATTAAAGTCACTACTGCGCATGCCCAGATGATTTCTTTGATAATTTGCGACTAAGTGAGCTAATTGCCACAAATATAGTGCAAATACATATAATTAGTCGTTGCCATGGCTATGAACAATTGGTCAAATGTACTGCGCATGCTCATGCGCATGCGCAGATGATTTATCCATTTAATTGTTACTAAGCAGGCTATTTACTTCAAATTCGGTTCTAGTAGATGCAGCTGGTCGTTGCCATAACTATGAAGTCAAAAACTGTCAAGTAAACTGCGCATGCTCAGTTGATATCTTTAATAATTTGTTAGTAAGCAAGTTATTTACTCCCTAATTGATTCTAATAAATGCAGTTGGTCATTTCCATGATCGTTTACTCGGACAATTGGTCAAGTAGACTTTGCTTGTACTGCGCATTTCCAAGCGTACTGCGCATGCTCAGATGATTTTTCGTACATTTATGTGACCAAGCGATTTAATTACTCAGAAAGCGATGAAAAAAGATCCAGCTTGTCGTTACCATGACTATGAAATTGAAAAATTTGTCAAATGGACTGCGCAGGCTCATATGAAGTTTAAAGCCTAGTGCTAAACACTAATATTCCTTCACCAAATATTAAAAGTAAAGATAGTACAATACATTATGAATAAATTTCTTTAAAGTCTGTAGCAACTCTCAATCTTTCGTAGATTCTCCGGGGAAGAGAGTCGTGACGAAAGAGGAAGAGGAAGCTCGAATGTCGGAGTGGCAGCGATTGAAAGACGATGAAAACGAACGTTTACTTAAAGAAAGCAGAACAATTTCTGATATTCTTTTTGTTTCAAATGTCGATGTTTACAGAAATCTTCCATCCCAGTTGCTTCAGTTTTTCGCATGGTAAGAGGATGTCTGAGACTTTTTATATATTTTTTCATGCAACTGTGAAATTTCTGGCGAAAGTGGCCAGTCTCAAATCAACTTTAAACATTATTTTTGCCCAAATAACTTGCATTAGTGTATAATTTATCTCGCCATTATCTCCTTACCCACGACATCAGTCGTCATATGTCATTTTGATCTTGCTTCATGTCGGATTTTCTTTTTAAATAGGCTCTCGGCGACTTTAAGTTTTTCCTTTGTAATGAAAACTGACGATGATTGTTTTGTTAACCTGGAGACCATCTTACAGGTTTGTGAAAGCTCTTCAATAAATAATAGGAAAATACGTGTTGCTATCTGGGGAGTTGGGAGTACATAGAGATAACTTGGGAGTTGGGAGTACGTAGAGGTAACTTGGGAGTTGGGAGTACGTAGAGGTAACTTGGGAGTTGGGAGTACGTAGAGGTAACTTGGGAGTTGGGAGTACGTAGGGGTAACTTGGGAGTTGGGAGTACGTAGAGGTAACTTGGGAGTTGGGAGTACGTAGAGGTAACTTGGGAGTTGGGAGTACGTAGAGGTAACTTGGGAGTTGGGAGTACGTAGAGGAACTTGGGAGGGGAATAGGTAGAGGTAATTGGGAGTTGGGAGGAACTTGGGAGTTGGGAGAGGAATGAAGAGTTGGGAGGAATGGAACGGAGTTGGGAGTCGAGAGGTAACTTGGAGCTGGGAGAAGGAACTTGGGGAGTTGGGAGGAATGGAGAGGAAACGGAAGTTGGGAACGTAGAGGAACTTGGGAGGAATAACTGGAGGAATGGAGGAGTGGAGTTGGAGGAATGGGGGTAACTTGGGAGTTAGGAGTACGTAGAGGTAACTTGGGAGTTGGGAGAACGAAGAGGTAACTGGGAGTTGGGAGCACGTAGGAGTAATTGGGAGTTGGGAGTACGTAGAGGTAACTTGGGAGTTGGGAGTACGTAGGGGTAACTTGGGAGTTAGGAGTACGTTGAGGTATCTTGGGAGTTAGGAGTACGTAGAGGTATCTTGGGATTTTGGAGTATATCAATCTGGTGGCTTAAGGGTGGTTTTTAAAATGGTTTAGATGTGGTTTTAGAGGGGCTTAAGGGTAGTTTAAGGGTAGCGAAGCGTAACTTAAAGCCTTGGACCACCTTTAAACCACGCTGAAGCTATCCTTAAAACATCCTTACTCTACCCTTAAACCACCCTTAAAACACCCTTACGCCACTCTTAAACCATGCTGTGGAGATGATTTTTACACCATCCCAGACTTCTCATTGAGAGCTTTGGAATGAGCCTCGTTCCGAGTCTCTACAATAAAAGCACGAGGAAATAGAAGTTTCGCATACTCAGTATAGAGTCGATTTCAACATTAATTACCTCCGGAAGTAAACAAGCTGCACAGATGATTTTTGACTCAATCTAAAGATTTTACTCAATCAAGCGATTTGTAAGGGTGTCTTTAATTAAGCTTTATATCTTTAACATTGTACCGAAGAACTTCTCGACTAAAGAAATATTTGATATTTTTAGGAAATGGAAAGTCATAATTTAAAAAACACGTCTAAATTGTGGTGGGGAAGGTTTAGTTCAACTCGTCACAATATACTGTGTGTGTGTAGATGTAGATCGTCCAGGTTAGTAGAGTCCTGAGAAGGACTGTTGGTGTTGACTGACGTTTCAACAACCTTAGCGGTAGTCATCTTCAGAGTCAAAAATACTACTGCTAAGATTGTCGAAATGTTAGTCAACACCAACAAAACAGTCCTTCTCAGGACTCTACTAACCTTGACGATCTACATCTACAAACATGTAACGATACTCCTGGGTTCAAACCATCTACTTTATACTGAGTCCATTCTAAAGATTTTATTGACATAGTGCAAATCCTTTTGCGATATCATGTTTTGTGCATTAGGAATTGCCAAATTTGATAATTTTTCCAAGTACAACAGAAACGAGATTGCGAGAACATACGAATTAGCGTTTTCCATGCGACTAAACTATGAACAAGGTATGAAAATATGAGTTGTAGTTATTGCTTCTAAATGCAACTGCTTCTTCATATTTACAGCTTTCGTACTGATTGGTTGATCGAGAGACAGGGAAAATGGGCCGAGCCTGATTATCCGGGAGTGACTTATCCGACATTTGCCTGCGGTGCGGGCAGCATCATATCTTCGGATATTGTTCACTGGCTGGCAAAAAACGAGAAATCTCTGAAACGTTATCAGGTATATGATAGAAAAACCACGACGAGATTACAATGTTGAAAGTGACCTATTGATGTGTAAGGATGTAGTTCTCAGAGTACTAGATATTGACACTTGTTTTTTTTCTTTCTTGTGTAAAGGGGGAGGATGTCTCTATGGGTATTTGGTTATCAGCTATTGCTCCTGAAATTTATAAGGTAAGATCTCCTGTTCTTCTCTGCAAGTTTGCGACAGTTGTTCAACAAGATCCTTTATGGTGATTGTACTCTTACGAGCCCAGGTTCTTATGAACCAGCGGCCGAACATGTGACGGTGTTTCCTTTTTATTTCAAATACTTCAGGATGAGCGATGGTCGTGTTTCGGGGATTGTCAGATGGAAATGTTTACCTTGCCCGAGCAGGATACCGATTCTCTTCTCTATTTATGGGAAAACTTTATGTCCTGCGGTAATCCTTGCAAATGTTGAGGTACGTTAGTTATGTCGTGGGTGGGGGGGGGATTTGGGGATAAGAAAAATTCCAAATCCACACAGAAAGATAGAAAAGTACAGCTTCAATTAAACTTTTTGTCTTTTTTTCACTTAATTAAATCTATTTTCTCTATATTACAAATTTAATGTTTTGGCTTTTTACGTACGACATTAATTTAAATTAAATAAAATCTATAGCGCTGTGTAAACGTTTTTGTATAAAATGGTTATTGCTTGGAATATCGACATTTTTCCTGCTGTGCAAATATTTTTGTGTTCATAACTGCAAAAACAATCGAAATAATTCCGAATAATTTTGCTAAAAATTTGCCATGCAGGTGTAAAGATTTCGATTAGCCTCGCTTATGTCCTCGCGTACTTCATGTAAAATATTTATTGCAATGCTCATTGTGTGATGTGCATAAGTACAGACTTGAGTCTTGCTGCGATCAAATTGCGTCATTAGCAACCAAAAACGTCATAAAATCAGAGATCAGATACAAGATATAGACCAAATTGTAAAATCAAATTTATTGTAACGTTTCGTCTTACTCAAGACATCTTCAGACAAACGTTACAATAAATGTACTTTGTCTATAATCAAAACTTTATGCATCACGAATCGATTTCCGCTCGGCAAGTCTCTCGCTACTATTTTAAATCAGCATAAAATTTTTCACATTTTCTTAACGAAATGCATGTCGTTTTTTTTGCGTTTGAATATTTATTGTGGGAAAGGTTTAGAAAGTCGATTCGATCGTTTATAATTAACTGTCTTCTCGTAGTAGTTAATCTTTATGTGGACACATCTTCATGGTAGTCAAGTTGTACCACAGTTCACTGTCAAATCTCATCTTTTCTGAAGCAGGATTTATAAATATTCTCTTCAGTACAACACACGGCCATATTCCTCCAAGAATCTTTTTTCAATATCACGAGGATTCAGTAGAAACGTTTGACATGACCGTTAAAGTTTCTTCATCGGAAACGCTACTACCGTTTGGCAGGGCGATAAAACGATCAGCGTTTTTAATATCTTCTATTAAACTTCCACCTCTTTCCTCGCGTGTGAAAACGCTACCGTTGCTTGTCAAGCTGTCGGCAACGTTCGACACCTTTTGACCAATTTTATCTGGAGATTCCGACTCTCGACCCTGAGCGCTCTCCGTCTCGCTGTTGAATCTGGAGTGACGAGTCTCGCTACTCGTGGAAATGTAGCTGTTCTCTTGTGGACTTCCTTGTTGTCGTCTCTGCTCTCGTTGTTGTTTGTATTCACATGCTGCAAGTTTCGCAGTCAAATCACGTATTTCCTCCTGTGAAAAGTGTAAGGATAATGATTTTAATATAGGAATGTCATTAATTGAACATCAAATCGGCTTATTTCATAAGTGTTAACGGATTCTTTGCTACAATTTCATTGGTTTTAATTGAGGATAATTACTCGAAATTGAAGACGATAATCTCTCTAAATTGAGGATAATAATCACTTTCGCGTGTTGCGTGAGTTGAGATTTTGGCAGTTGTTTAACAAAAGCATATTTCACACGTTGTTTGACGTGCGCCTTTAAATGGCTTAATGCATAATGTGCTGTCACAAGGAGCACACATTCAATTTTCAAGTTTTGAGAAACTGAAAGACCGTAATTGGACGTGAATACCATCACAGGGACCAAAGTTCAACTCATTTCACCCATACCTCCCGTCAGACCCTGGTGCATCTCACGATCGACTCGTTCTTTAGCAACTCTGCGATGCTCTGACAAATCTCCCCTAACACTCAAACCTAGGCCACCCACTTTGCAAATGGAAAGTCGTTCTTTGTGTTTAAGACAAAAACCGTTAACATTTTTTTTATTTGAACATTCTTCGAAAAATCCTCGTTTTAATCTGTACTCAAACAGTATTCCCAAAAAATCTTACCCTCAGTTGTATATTCTCAGTTTCCAGTCCCTCGCGGGTTTTTTCTTCATCGTTCTCGCACACCAAAGTACCGTCCTCCAAACGGTTAAGATGAAATGGTGATTTGCGAAGATCCGTCATCGTTGTGGCTATAGACGAACTACCCCGAGAACGCCTTCTTTGATTTACATTGTATTTTTTCAAGAAGTATACCTTCAAAACAGACAGGAAAAATTTAATATTGCGAAGGGCAGTTATAGCTCAGCAAGTACCCAGACTGACTTAAGCATTAAATGTGATGTACTGGAATACTTGAGTATGCTTCGAAACAGAGAAATGTCCTTTGAAAAAACGCGTCGTGCAGTTTTATAACATTCATACTTCCACATTAGTCAATATGTGTCGTAATGTATCCTGAAACATTTCATAATTTAATTAAAAACGACTTCGCGTGACCTACAGTATAACAAAGAGATAAATATCTTTGCTGCTGCATGATTCCTTTCGATGAGAGAATGTAACCCTTGGCTAATCTCTTTTGATATTTGAAACGAACGTCCAAGACATATTTGGCCATTTGCTTACGCTAATTTGTTCACCATATGGTGTTTCAACGACAATTTTCAATTTAAAGTTTTGAAAAATAAAATTTAATGAAGAAAATATAAGGCATCGAGGATAATCTGACGTGTTTATCTTCGAGAGCTCTTCAAGTTGGCCTTGGCCATCGATTTAAAAGCTTTTGTTCTATTTTCTTTTCGGGCTCATTGCCAATCGCATCATAACAAACTTCATAATCAATCGTAAAACGCTTACTCGTCCAATGATGGAAAGCCACAACTCAACGAAGAAAAGGTCCAGTAGATAGACGTATGGACAAAAACCCGAAGCTCTCTAGATTACAAATTTCTGCTTTTTGAGAGGTTTTAAGATCCTCTTTCATCGGCAGTAATTAATACTAAGTTGACAATACAACCATTACCTTGAAAGCAAAGAGCAAAACCAACATAACGGTGGCAATGACATGCGTTGACAAACTGTTTACGACATACGCGACATCAGGATTGTGAAAGTTATCTAGAACAATTCTAAATAAAAGAGAATGTTGTCAAAACAATTCAACCTTTAACGCTATAACCAAAAACTACAAACAATAACGACCTTATCTAACAACATTTGAGAAATTAACTTCCACTCCTCTTCCTTGTAAACGAGACAAGTCTACTCAAAAGCAGAGAGCCTTTATGCCCTTCTGCTTTCGAGTAGACTTGTCTCGTTTACAAGGAAGAGGAGTGGAAGGTTAATTTCTCAAATGCTGTTAGATAAGGTCGTTATTGTTTTTAGTTGTTGGTTGTAGCATTATGCTATCATTCTTTTTATTTAATAACATTCCAACAATTCAACCTTTCATGAAAAATGACAGTAACACCGATGCAAACATTTTGCTTTACCTCAGAAGACCAACTACGATCTTAACAAACAGAGTGTTATATATACACCAGGCGATGTACTTGCTCTCGTTGTACGCTGAGGGAGCATTTCGTACACGGATACAAAGCCAAACACCCCACAGCAGAAATAAAACCTCGCCTAGGAAAGAAGAAAGGCACACAAACTTTAGTCTCTTCAGAGAGTAAGAAAATACATCGGAAATTATAACAAGTTTCACCATAAATAAACTGGAGATTATCAAAATAAATGGTTTGAACCCGAGAGTATCGTTACATGTTTGTAAATGTAGATCGTCCAGGTTGGTATAGTCCTGAGAAGGACTGTTTTTGTTGTTGTTGACTGACGTTTCGATAACCTTAGCGGTAGTCATCTTAAGAGTCAACATCAACAACAACAGTTCTCAGGAGTCTACTAACCTGGACGATCTTCATCCACAAGCATGTAACAATACTTTCGGGTTCAAACCATTACTATTCTTCAGGCAACTCGTGAAACTAGATCTTTCGTACAACACAATCAAAACTCTGAAGATGACTCTGACTACCGCTAAGGTTGTCGAAACGTCAGTCAACAACAACAAAAACAGTCCTTCTCAGGACTATACTAACCTGGAGATTATCAGTTGTGGTCGTGCCTATAGTCTTAGGAGAGTAAAAACTAACAGTTGTAAAGAAAGCTTACATACAAAATAATAAAAGGGCTTACCGATTTCAAAGGCATTAGTGAACCACGGTTTGACGCAGCGCCTGTATTTGTAACCGGAATTTGTCTTTATCGTCTCATATTCGTGATCTTGTGTTAAAGTCCAGATAGCGAAATAAGAGCAGACGGCCAATAACATAAGCAACAAGTAGGTCAGTAACGATTTATCTGTAAGTTCGATGGTTTTTGCCGTCCGCAGACGGAATATGACCGCAATCCTAGAAATGAACAATCAATGAGCAAGTTCCAATAAATCGAGGACACGGTAGAAGTGCAAGTTATTCATATCGATTCTTGCTGGAGTGAAAAATTTGGTGGTGCATCATAAGTTGATGCTATTTCGCTGCAAAGCGTCTAAATATGTTCATAGCAAAACGTAACTGCCGTATTTTGGTAAGATACGAACTGGAAAGATAACTGTAGAGTACGTTCAGCGAATAACGTAAGAATGCAGTTTGTGGACATTGACTGGTAACTCTTACCTCCAAGTTTTCAAAAGTAACGAAGCGAAAGCCAATGTGAAACCAACATGATAAAGCCATGATCTTGCAATACAAAGTGAAATTGTTTCATCAAAGAAGCCCAGTGTCACCTATGGATACACAAGTAGTTGACGATAATGAGCAAAGCATGTAAAATCCCATAGTATCCTCTACATGCTCTATTGTAAGAGAAAGCAAGCATGCACCTATGTGTACATAAGTGTCCTCTACATACTCTATGCAAGAGAAAAAGCAAGCATATACCTATGTGTACATACGTAAGTGTCCTCTCTTTCCTCTATGTAAGAGAAAACAAGCATGCACCTATGTGTACATAAGTGTCCTCTACATACTCTATGCAAGAGAAAGGAACATGTACCTATGTGTACATAAGTGTCCTCTACATGCTATATATAAAAAAGCAGTATATACCTCTGTGTACATAAGCGTCAAACCAAAGGCGATGATCACCATGAAAATGGACTGGACGCTTTCAATATCTAAATAAACCCGTTGTAGGTAACGACTTTTAAGAACTGCTTTCAAACTAGGAGGTTAAAACCACTAGAAAACGTTCTGCACATCAATAACATGAAGTTAGAGACTGTTGAGTTTTCCTGTTTATATTCTGTCTAAACTCCAAACACATCAAAAGGGGCTTAGCGTTACCTAAAAGTTCGTCTCTAAAAGTAAACTGATGTCAGTTAAACCCTCAACAAAAGACACCATGTTTGTAAATATAGATCGTCCAGGTTGGTATAATCCTGTGAAGGACTGCTTTTGTTGTTGACTGACGTTTCGACAACCTTAGCGGTAGTCATCTTCAGAGTCAAAGAAGATGACTACGGCTAAAGTTGTCGAAACGTCAGTCAACAACAACAAAAACAGTCCTTCTCTGGACTATACCAACCTGGACGATCTACATTTACAAACATGTAACGATACTCCCGGGTTCAAACCATTTACTTTAAGAGACACCATATTACCTTTGTCTCACGATGAAGGAAGATGAACAAGCCAGCAGAGATAGCCAAAAATTGGGTCATACCATTCACGACCAAAATCAGTTTTCTTATAACCATACGTTCTTGGTACAAACAAGGCGAATCATCAACACAAGTTGTGCAACCCTCGCGACATGGAAGACAATTAAATTTTGAGTTGTCACCATTCGCCTTGCTCACATCTTTCCCATCGAAGTATTTCTTCTTTGCGTCTAGCCGTGGAAAATAATATCCTTCCCGACATACACAGCGGTAGTTGCCCATTTTGAAGCCACCACCGGGCAAATGGACACACTGAAAAACGACAAGACAGACGTAAAAAGAACTGTTCTACTGTAACAATTTCGTGAAGGAAAAAGGGCAAAAAATTGCTTGAAATTACGACACTAAGCCGGGGGCTAAGACTCAATCCAGATAAATGCAAAAGATAGATGGTGAAATTATAAAGGAACAACGTAAACACAAAAGGTTATTTTGAAAAAGTAAGTTTGACGACAATGTTTGACTGTCTACAAAAATGGAGGCATGATTGACGACCGAGAATTGTTATAAGCTAGTATGGAGCACATTTATCACAAGGCCAGTACAGGCGCACTGTGATCACATGACGAGTGCTGGAGAACAGTGATCACATGACGAGTAATGAAGAACAGAGATCACATGACAAGTTCTGGAGTACGGTGATCACATGACGAGTGCTGGAGAACAGTGATCACATGACGAGTAATTGAAGAACAGAGATCACATGACAAGTTCTGGAGTACGGTGATCACATGACAAGTGCTGGAGAACAGTGATCACATGACGAGTAATGAAGAACAGAGATCACATGAAACAGAGATCACATGAATTTTTTATTATGTGAAACAGTGACATTGCCTTTCTTATTGCTCTTAAACGAATGGCAGTATATATCCGTCCCACTAATGATATAACCTTGCTCACCTTAGTCGTTTTGTTATGACAAGCATGATTGCCATAAAATTGTACTTTGTGTTTCCGATTACGTCGTCGATCAATCTGAATGTCTGGTGGTGCTTCGCATTCGTTGATGTCAATGGAGTCGAGATTGACGTGGAAGGTGACAATTCCACTACACGAGGAAACATCAAGTTAAAATGGTGGCGACTCCCTTCCCCTCCCCTCCCAAACACCAAAGCTGTAAACTGGGTAGTTTTCTCGAGCAAAATTCTGTAGACAGTGCTTTTACATGAAGGTTTTTCATCAGGAGACGAACGCAAGGAAAACAATCTCACTGGTCAGTTTACTCTCTAGTTCATACTTGTATTGAACAAAAAACACGCACAGCACGTTAAGGAGTTAAAAAAACAACGATAACCTCAACAATTTCCATCACCAAACAACGACAACATAAATCGCGAGTTAAGCTTTTTCTGACGGTTTTTTGTGAATTTTATTCATTTCCTCTGTGTGTTTAACCAATTTACAGCTTTGTATTACCATCTGCGTTTGTTTTTCTGTGTAATTTGATATACGACACACACTACAAGTCGGGGCCCGTTCGCTGCTCTCAAATCAACACTCAAGATTCTTTCGTCTCTGTATTGTTGCGTTGCTCCTTATTTGGTGCTGTTGTTACACTTATTCTCTGATAATTTATATACTTTTATTTTCTATTCAAAATTAAGCTATCAGTAATTTCTGCATTGTCACACTCACCACCTGCGCAGTGCGCAGAAAACAAAGTAATTATTTCCAATGAGCACAACACAAGCGAAATGCTTCAGCGGCCTTACTTGTACATGGCGTGGGGGGTAATAAGATAAAAAACGTTCACTTACACTAAACATTCTCGCTTGTAATTAATACCCGTAATTGTCAACAACGAAAAATGTAGTTGCAAATTGATAAGCGCGCGATATTGAGCCACATGAATTCAGCACCTTTCAAAACAAGATGCTTTAATTTTCATTATCAAAACAACAGCAATATCATACAATTCTAGAAACAAAGGTTGAATTAGTTGTAGCGTCGATCTATCGAGCTCTAAAACATATCCAGTCAAGCACATGTTCCCCCCATAAAAAAGCAAAACGTCAATTGCTTTTTTGACCTCGAGCTTGGACCTGCGAAAAGCTACAATTCACATTAGTAATAAAAAAAATATCTTTGATATTGGCCGATGGAATTTGCCGAAATGAAAGCACATTAGAGAATCGATAATAGACAAAAGCGAATTTCGGAATCGAAGACGAAAACTTTTGCAATTTGTTAGACCGCTGATTCTAATTCTCGCAGAAGAAGGTTGTCAGGTAATCGAGGAAACTTACTAGGACCTTCCATTTGCAATTTAAAATGCTTTTTAACAGTAAATAGTCCTACGTAATCTTTGTTTTGAAACGCTAAATTTGTCTAGACACAATCAACACTCGACCGCCTGCAAAGACTGACTGCGAAACAGACGATAAAAACAAATCCAAAACCCAACGACTAATGTTCGAAGTCAATCTATAAGTGTTTTGTTTACAAGCCGTGTGTCGCGCTTGCAGACACTTGAAATAACGAAAGTCGCGCTTGATATTTCTATCCTAATTATTTACTGGTCCAACTCGCTTTCACCGACTCACACGAAAGCTGTGCATAGCTTTGCTGACATTTAGTTTTAAACGCTGAAAGTACCCGAATTTTATAGTCTGCCTAATTATTATTAAAACACGAGGGTTAACTTTCAATTCAACTCAATTTAACACTTCAAAATACGTTAATACTTACAGGAACTTCCCTGCTTCGTCGTAAAATGGTGTTAAGTAAGTGAACATCCATATTCTACCCCCATGACAGTCGTAATATGGCGTAGTCCATTTTCCCAACTTGTCAGGCACGTAATTTGTTGTAGTATCGAAGTGTCTCCCGTAATTTGTGTCATTTTCATTAATCACATTTCGTAAACGTCGATGTAAATCGACGTCGTAAGAAACTGTGTTGTATGGAAGCGTGATGTTTCGGCGATATTCCTCACTAATTCGCCACCAGGTAAAGTTATCTTCACCTGAGAATTTTCTGTTCGGATTTGGAGGAGATAGATAGTCGTACAGTCTTCCCCAATCGCTAATAATTGTTTTGTAACTCGCGTTTGTACCAGGGTATAATTCTTAAAGGCGTACGGACAAAATTGTCGTCTCCTTGGAACATACTCTTGTCGAAACAAATTGCAGAGCCAAATATCTGATCCGATGATAATGTTATCGTCTTTACAAGTGTATAGATTGCTTGTACACTTTCGACCAAAGATCGATTCTGCGAGTCTTTAAATGGCCACATTGACATGAGGTAACTGGCAACATTTCGCACGGTTTCAATGTCTTTGTTCCAGAAAGAATAATCTTGTATGATGTCCTCATCATGTAAGAGGTTGTAGTCATGTTGACAAGGTGCCGTAGCCAACTTCGCGTCGATGACATCGCGATAGAGAAGAATCAGTTGTAAATCGTCATTTTCTGCGTTCACGTTGGCAAAAACGAGAAGTAGAAGAAAGCCAACAATGGTGTTGTTCAAGAGCACTCTTGCCATTTAAAGTTCCTTCGTTCAACAAATGTTTTCGCTTTTTTAACCTAATTATTTAAGTAGTTTCTGAAGCGATATCTTCTCACCTTTCACCCATTGAGTACGAGAAGAGCCCCACGCTCTTCAAGCGTATCTATGACTTTCGAATAACAACTACACCCTTCTATATGACTCTGCTATATACATTAAGGACTGTTGTTTTCAAAGTATTTTGGCTATTTGACATGGCCGGATAACAACAGCACACATCACAAACACCTATTCATTACCATATAAATTGTTTTGTGTTCTTTTCTTTGTCTTCCAAATTCGATTTCGAAGTTGTGTGCAAATTAGAACGAATTAGAGCTCATCAGAAGGCAAAATTGTTTTTCATCGTGATGTAATATGATCGATCACATTAACGTCATTCACACTACCTCAGTCATTGGCAATGTGAACGTCGTCTATAGCATCTTCTTATATGAAAGATGTTTACATGTTGCACTCTGTACAGCTCATGAATTCAAGATGCTTTATTAATGTTATTCATGAGCAAAAAAAAATACTCAATTGTTTTTTGAAAATTCTTTAAATCCTTGCTGACTTACGTCAGGCTACCTACCACGACCCTAAGTTTACAGGTTGTGGAAAGTATTTACGTACAAATTTTATGTAAAATTATTAATTAATATATTCTAAAACAATGGCTTTCGGAAGGAACTTCGTACTAAACCTTTCTTCTGGATAATATCAAATTTTGCTACAAGACCCTTCTATTAAGACGGTGGCGGACAAGAGTTGCAGAGTAATTTATAGAGCAAGTCAATTTAAAACTTAAAAGTACCTTTAAAACAATGCTATTGGCTACGGACTGCCAAACAATAAAATTTAACCCTTTAAAATTTGCTTTTAAATTGTTCTGGAATGTAGCAGTACCAAAAATCTGTTGTTGCAATTTTTTTCTGAAGCGGGATTTGTGTACTTTGGGCAGAAATTAACGATGCGAAAGTTATCTTTGGTCTTTCCTTTCATTTTATAACAAAGAATATGTTCGATCACATGAGTGACATCCTTATCATGTTGATGTTGTTGATGTTCTTGAAACAACAGAAATTATCGCTGTCTTCAAATTAATTTGCAGATATATCTATTGAAATACAAAAGAAACTCTGATTACATGAAGAATACGAAAATTTACACAATGATTACACAGATTGTAGATATTGCACAGTCACGCAAAATAAGATAATTGTTGATGACGTCATCAGTTATGGGGGAACGGTCGGGAGCTTGGGACTAGGATCGAGAAGGCGCCATCTTTGATTTGTTGATGATAAAACACAAATAAAAATGTTGTATTTAGATGAAAATAAAGAAATGCAAAATCCATAGAAAAGAATACTGATTTATCGTGAATTTTTTTATAAAATAAATTATGAAAAGCGGAAACAATATTCTTTTTATGGCTATTTGATGGCCATGAAATCATTTGAAACTGGAAACAAGATCGACAATGACAAACTGATAGGATTCTCGTTTTTTGTTCAAGCGAAACTATGGGAAGAAAGCTCTGGTTTTTATATGAATCAATGCTACACAAATGACTTCGAAGCATTCAAGCGAAGTTTGTCTAATCGATGCAGGCGTTACTTCTATTTCAAAACTTAACCTAGATCCTTCGTTGTTGTCATTGAATGTACATTGTAATTTGTTAAAAAGACATCGATGGTTTAGACGCTTTGGGGAAATTGAAGCATTTGGATTTATCCTCGAACTCCATTGAAGTGATTTCGGGCCTAGATAACCTTGTATGTCTTAAGTATTTGAATTTGTCGTGCAACGCCATCACCACAACAAAAGGACTTGAAAATCTAAGGTAAGTCTACATTACTGTGGAGTATTGAGAAATCATATTCCAAACCCATGTGCGTTTCTCCTCCCTTCCTTGTGAAACTACTTTGGGGATAATTTGGTATGTTCTATTTTTATAAGTGATCGTACATAATCTGATTTACTGAAAGTATGTTTTCATTCTTCAGGCAAGTTTGTAGATAGATTGTCCAGGTTAGTATAGTCCTGAGAAGGATGTTTTGTTGTTGTTGACTGACATTTCGACAACCTTAGCGGTAGTCATCTTCAGAGTCAATGACATTTTCGACTTTATAGATGACTACTGCTAAGGTTGTTGAAACATCAGTCAACAACAACAAAAACAGTCCTTCTCAGGACTCTACTAACCTGGACGATATACATTTACAAAAATGTAACGATACTCCCTGGTTCAAACCATTTACTTAATTCTTCAGGCAACTCGTGAAACTAGATCTTTCGTACAACACAATCAACAGCCTTTTGGGTCTAAAGTCGTTAGCTTCAACAGGCTCATCATTATCTACACTCTATCTCCAAGGAAACGACATCAGATCCATTGATCACATCATCAACTGTCTGAGTGAATTTATCCAACTTAAAGAGATTGTTTTTTCTCAAAATGAAGATACCAATCCTGTTTGTAAACACCCAAAGTACAGATCCCTAGTACTGTCAATGCTACATGATATTCAAGTTTTGGATGGTATGGATCGATTAGGGAAACCTGTGGATAGTGAAAATCTATCGGATAATCTTGGCTTAACAGGTAGGAATGACCGAGCTTGTTTTTGAAATGGAAACTAACTGTTGGTTGGTTTTTTGCTGTTGTGGTAGCTCGCATTCATGACAGAATAAAAAAGTTAACTAAACTATCACAAAACCCATTTATATGTAGTTGAAAAAGATTTCCTAGACTACAATTTGTTGACTATTAAGTTTAGTTAACAACCATTGATAATGCTATAACTAAACATTGATTGTCATGTTTGTTTTGTATGAAATACACAATGTAACCAATTAATGTCCATTTCTAGATGTTGATGATTACATAAACTATCTCATAAAGTCATCCTCCAATGTTTCAACAAAGGTCAGTATTGTGCAAGCGACCAACTGTTCTGATGTTTTCCCTTGAAGTAAGCTGGCAACATTGAACTAAGATACATGGAACGCTACTTGAAGCAAATAATTGAAGCCAAATATTACACCCAGACACGCGGGATTTTACCTCTAGACACGTGTGTAGTGTTTCGAGATACTCGCGGTGTGAAAATTGATTGACTACACACGCGTGTCTGGGGTAAAGTCTCGCGTGTCTGGAGTAAAATCACGGTTTCAAAAAATTATTAGGGTTTTGTATTACAGGTAGCGTTCCATGTATTTTAGTTGAATGGCTAACAATAAAACCAGCGTTTCACATTAGAGGAGACTGGAAATAAATGTAGAATAGCTCTATGTCTAGCTTCTTCGTATATAGAAAGTGGGTCAGTTACCTAGCGTTATGGCATAGCTACTAAACTCGAGAAGAGGGTTAACGTGTACCTAAATATTATTTTGCATTCAAAATAATATATTTCCCTGATATAACACCAAATACATACATGTATACATTACCTCAACTTGTACACTTCTCTCTTTAAATGAAAATACGAAAATAAATTCTTCTTACAAAGGCGGAGCATGGTGGATCCTCGACCGATGTGACCAGTACGCCAAGAATCGACGAAATGCTGTCGAAATTCAAACGTCAGCAAATGGAAGCACCCATGACGTCACGCGAAGATGACCATGATTTCCAATCGACGGGTTCCCGTAAGATTGCTTCGTCAGTAGATCATGAAGTACGATTAGAAAGACTCGAACATCAGCTGGCTCACGTTCTCTATAAACCTGTAAAGGTTCGTTTCATAAGGGAGGTAGCTTGGGTTGGAGGAGGGAGGGGTGGGTGTCTGTGTTGAGAAATACATGGAACTGGAAGAAATGACTTTTCTATAAAATTAAGGTTCGTGAGTTCACCCCTCACCCCCCCTTTTCAGTAATTTTCAATGAAAAATTTCCACCAACTTTCTTCCTTCACCCTCCACCCCGCTTTTCTTTAATAATTATTAGTTAACCGTGACATTGACGTTTTTCTTATTCTTCATACGCAGGATGTCCGTTCCAGTCCGTCATCAGAAAAAACTGAAAAAGCAAACTGCAAACTTAAACGTAAGCACCACGTGTCGTGAATTCGGGGCGTGCGTTGCATTCTGGTGATGTGTAAGCACCACGTGTCGTGAATTTGGGGCGCGCATTGCATGCTGGTGATGTGACAGTTTGAATCTTTATTTAATTCATTCCTACAATTGTTTTTCTTATACGAGACAGTTAAGTTACGGGGATATACAAGGCGGGAACTGTTCTGATAATAAATAATAAAGCCCAGAAGAATGGTTTTAAAGAGACATTAGATACAAGAATATGTACATGCAAAAAGAAATATTTATTGAGTAGCGATGAAATGTTACGCTTCTCAATAAATATTTCTTTCTGCATGTACCTATTCTTGAATCTAATGAGTCTTTTAGAAACCACTCTGACGGACTTTAATATTTATTATTAGAATTTGAGACAGTTTATGTAAAAAATTTCGTAAACTGTTTAGGTCATTCACATATATTTCTTTATCGGCAGACACGCGACAAAAATCCTCAGATTCAGACACAGTGACGACGGACAGTCCTGTAAAAGAAGAACTCAAGCAGTATCCAAAATATATCAAACGAAATGTATCATCTTCTAAGCGAGGAAGAACACACCAGACCCCGAGCACGAAAAAAACAAACTTCTACGAAGAAAATGGCCAAGGACGGTAAAGGCAAAACTAAAGACAGTTTCAAAACAATTGAGAATTCATCGACAACCAATGAAAATGAAAAGATTGTGAAGTTTAGTGGAAATAATGAGCAAATGATGGCACAAGGCTCGCGTTATGTACGACATCACGAAGATGATGCTACATTTTGGTAAAATCTATTTTAAATTTTGTTGTTTTTCATTGTCTGGCTTATTGTATGTTTTACCAAATCCTGCGATAAATGTTCTCTTTGTTAACCTGTTTATGAGTGCCGCTCTTTAAACCTTCGTGGACCAGGGCCGTACCTAAAACGTTATTTGAGGGTGGGTGTATATTCATATATTGAGTTGTACCCAACTGATTTCTTTTGAAAGCCAAATCACTTTGAGAAGAAGTCAGTCGGGCAAAGCTGAATATATAAAAACACCCCCCCCCCCTCAATTAACTTTGTAGGTACGACCCAGCTCAGGGCTGGTGTTTTTTGCTTATGTCTTGCCCCCTTTAAGGTTTCAGGGTGGTATTTGAAAGAGAATAGGGTATCACAGATAGATGCCCAACCGATCCAATCGAGATTACTTTCGATGCATCTTTTAAGTGTGGTCAAGCAGCCATGTATTGCAACCAACAACTGCGCAAACGCGGCAATCCTTTTCAAATACGTAATCGTGTTATTCTTGGCTTGCATGCTACGTCATAGCCGCCATGTTTGATGATTATAATGGCGAGCATTTCCTTGTTCCAGGGAAAGGGTTGCAAGCCATCAATATTTCAAGAATCAGAACGTGACTAGATGAAATCTTGCAAACTGCTT